CAGCTAATCTCATCGTCGGTTAACGTCTTTATAAAAAATGCCTACAGCTCGGCCATCCTGACTTTTTGACCGTCCCGGTCAACGTTATTACCAAAATTACAATACGCAATAAATAAAATTCCTTTACCAAATAATTATATAATCATGCTCGAATATACGGGTGCATTTGATCCGTCGCAAATTAGTATCACATCTCGTTTTTTTTCTTTGCGCTTCGTCAAATTTGTCTGAGGTTTATCTCGTATCGAGGTCGCGCTACGGATAATCGCTCACCTTAATTGGATCGCGTAATAGATCGCTCGCATCACCTCGCTGCTCAATTTTTTACCATCGGAATTATCATTCTATCATATTTTCCACCCGTCCGTTTGCCCTCGGCGTGCCCACAGCAATTGATACGTGCTCTATAGCACCGGATCCCAAATATCTCTCAAATATGTCAGATTTAACACAAGTTCCTCTGTTCGAAATTGAACGTCTCGATTTACCATACGCGCAGAAATATTTAAAGAGATACTCTACCGATTCCTCCGATGCTGTTGACTTACGCGGGTAGAGCCGGATAAATTTAGCGAACACGTCGATGACGACAAACAGGTGACGCCCAAACTTGAAAACAGAGTTTTTTCGAATAAAATTGTACAATGATTTTGCCACCAATAAAAATCTCGGCATAGATCGATGAAAATGACTCGCGAGTCCGACGAACCTATGTACGTCCCTGATGTTACATGGCACCGGATCATTCAACGCAGACTCTATATTCTCATCGCTCGGTCGTTCGTGTTTTAATGCGATAACCATCTCGAAGTCCGGCGCGCATTTCTCCGCTCGAAAATTACTTAGATAACGAGATTCATAGATCTCGCGAATCTTCTCGGCCGCATCTTGTCAACCGCCGGATTAATTTTCAATTCTTCGCTCGGATGTACAACACTATCGTCGCATTCAATATGCATCATTTGGCAAATGACGCGCGCTTCTTCCGTGCTTACAATTTCGAGATCTTGCCCTAAAGTAACACGCAACGACGGACAATTCAAGAAATCTCTACCGAGTAGCACACTATACGCCATCGTATTATGAGGCACCGTGTAAAACTTTATTTTCAAACGCACGCCTCTCACCTCTAAGTCGGCGTGAACGATGCCGTCGATATTTAACCGCGAGCCGTTGATTCCGCAAAATTGATCGATGCTCTCGTTCTCGAGCAGACGTGAATCGCCCTGAATTATATCGCTTTTCACCAAACTAATCGGAGAACCCGAATCTATCAACGCGTCTACCACATAATTATCAAACCCGTTATTTTCATTTTTAGTCCTGATTTTCACCGTAATCATGTATGGTTTTAGTAACGCAACCGGTTGCACGACATTCATCGACGTAGTTTGCGCAACGCTGTTCGGCGTTTCCGACGCCGCGGACCGATTTCGCTTCGGACATTCTCTGGCGAAATGGTCCGGAGATTCGCACACGTAACACGCTCGCTTCGCTTGCGGTCGCACACACTGGGCCGCGGTATGGCCTGTTTCACGACACTTATAACACCTCGTCGGGCCTTCCCGCGTCGCCGCCTCTGCTCTGACTCCGCTGGTTGTCCTCACTCCGTCTCTCCCTGGCCGGACGTCTGGTCTCTTTGGATTCCCTCGGACCACCTTCTCGAACGCCTTCAATAATTCTCTTCCGGATTGGAAGTTCATCAGGCGCGCCTGACTCTGCAGCCGAGGATCCGTCACTCCTTCGATGATGTAATCGAGGAGCTCGTCTTCCGCGATTGGTACGCGATTTGCGAGAATCACCTTTTCGTGGTAATAATCGCAGAATTGCTCGTCTCCTTTCCACACACGAGCCTCGAATTCTCTCCTCAGTGTCAGCTTTCCTGGCCGCAGGTCGAACATCGACTCCATTTCCCGCAGAAGGTCCTCCAGGTCCAGCGTCACATACTCGGCCTTGGAGTAGAACCACGTCAACGCACGACCTTTCAACCGAGAGCTAATTAATACTCTCGCTGAATTCTCGTCCAACTGGTACGTGCGTCTCAGCAGCTCCAACTGCTGCCTCCATCTCCAAAAGGTGCTGTCCGTCGCGTCAAACTCAGGCAGCAGCTCCTTGATTCCTCTCACACCGCCGAACGCAGAAATGACGCTGCCATTCGTTATCGTCGGTGTCGAGGCTGCACTCCTCATCATCTCTATTTCCCTTTGGAGCAACTGTCGCTCTCTCTCCAAAATTTCTCGCTCTCGACGCAGTAACAAGAGTTCCGCCTGCGTCGCGTCGTCGTGCTCTCTCCGTTCCGGCGTCGTCATCCTCACTCGGTCTCCTCGTCTCGGCGTATCGTCCACGGTCTCCATCTCCATGGCGTCACCCTGTTCACTGGGTGAACGCACACCTCCTGAAGCCGGGATGCCATCCGAATATCTCTCCTGCCTCCGTTGCTCGCTCAATCTCGCCCATACGCCTGAATCGTTGGCATTCAGGCGCTGGATGAGCTCGGCTTTCGACCCTCCCAAGGTCAGTCCTTCTCGCGAAGAGCCTCCTTCATCTCAGCGATGGTGAAATCACTCGGCTGCATCGACTCCGCCATCGTTCCTCAGATTTGCTCGATCGGTTCCTCGGGCACTCCGCGATGTCCCCAACACTCGCGCAACCCAAAGATCACTATGCGTTGATCGTCTCAACCCGCGCGTCCCACACTCGACGCGTATCGCGAACTCCCGAATCGCCTCTCCCAGGCCGAATTCGCGAAACCGGGTGCAACGCCTCGATCCCACTTCTGATTTACTGTAGGCGTATCTTTTATCTAATATCGAATATATCAATTAATTATTGATTAAGGAAATGTAGGAGTGCAGGAGAAGGCCGGATTAATTTTGTTGACTCAGGAAAAGAAGTCAGGTTCGGAAGATATATATATATATGTTTATTGCGAGTCAGAAACGTCTTCGCTGTCCAAGTCCCGGTTCTACTCTGTCTTCCTTCCGCCGCCTCGATATGAAGGATTGTCTGCCGGTTCGTGAGAGAATGCGTGCTTGTGTCTCGATAAAACGTCCCGAAGATGATGTTCTCAACTGTGATCTGTCCCGATTCCCAAAAAGTCGGCATATTTATACCCGGTGTTAAAACCTTCCCTACCCGAAACATCGGACCAATCAGAATTACCTTTGTTCATCGCGCAGAACTGTGTTTTCGGTTTTCTCGACAAACAAAGGATCGCTCAGAACGCTTTCAATAATAAATATTACAAATAAATAAGTACCCGGCACGAGGTCGACAAACAAAACACGTAAATCAGCTAATCTCATCGTCGGTTAACGTCTTTATACAAAAAATGCCTACAATATAAATATGTTTTTTTTTTTTTTTTTTTTTTTTAATCGGCCAACAGAGCCAAAGCACGAAAAATTAATTATTCGGAACTGTATTCGCGCCTATTTCTCCATATGTAAGTTTCGAGATTAATTTATATATGGAACTTAGTGATCTCAAACCAAGAGATACAGTTCCGAATAATTAATTTTTCGTGCTTTGGCTCTGTTGGTCGATTTAAAAAAAAAAAAAAAAAAAAAAAACATTTATAACATTTTCTTATATCTCCAAATCATATAATTATTGATATTTATCTGTAACAATTAATGCAATATATATATAATATCTTTATATGTACGATAATAACACTGTACTTTTTTTGCGTAGAGATAGAAGAGTTATTTAAGTTAGTTAAGAGTTACTAATCACTTTGTTAAATAATAATAACATTTAAATTTCTTTGAAATATAATTCTCGATATTCCTTGGTCGTTCCCTTATATTTAACAAAGTGATTATAGTAACTCGACTTACATATATAACTCTTCTATCTCTACGCAAAGATAAGTACAATGTTATTATCGTGCATATAAAGATTTTATAATCGCAGTTAAAAAAATATTGATCCAAAATATTAATTATTTAAAAATACAAAAAAAAACATTTTATAGCACTGATATAAATATATATGTATTTATATACATATATATTTATATCAGTGCTATAAAATGTTTTTTTTCGTATTTTTAAATAATTAATATTTTGGAACAATATTTTTATAAGCATACTATATGTGTGTATTTTATCATTTAATTTAATTAGTTTCTGTAATAAATAACAAAATAAAATTATTTCTTTAAAATACAATATATGAAAGTGATAATTAATCGTATAAATAATTTCCTTTTCAATTAAAGATATTTCAAAAGTCATTTATTCATATCAAATATGGCAGCTATTGGATGCACATGTAAAACGTTTATTCATCGTACACACACTGCACATTTGTCAGATTTAAGAATTTTTTCTTTTCCTTCATATTTAATGGTTTATCTTCATTCAACATCGATTTCATGAATTGCCAATTACAAAATCGCATTACACAGCGGAATAAGCACTATTCTGAGGAAGATAATAAAGATAGAACATTAGAGATTTTTAGATTTATGCTGAAATACAATAAAAAGTAATTTAAAAAACAAATATAAACAGTTATTTTATCTACATATAAATAAAACACAACTTATAGAATAATAGGAATTATTCAAAATAATGATCGTGTCATAAACTGAAAATCTTTTCAATCACAAAGAATATATCGCATGCCGTTGTGTGTGCTTCGTCATCAGTCTTATTAAAATTCATTCGCTCAATTTTCGATAAGAAAAAACTTCAATCTTTTCTTATCGTTAACTGACAAAGTTTGCATGTCATTAGCATGATTTTTGCATAATTTGTGTATAATTGTGTTTTAACCTTGAATAGCACGATATTTTGTGAAACGAATAGTTGATATTGGACTTTGCGGTCTATCATATAGTTCTGTTTTTTTGCTAACAAAATATCATTAAAAAGTTTATTGTTACATAGTTGTCTATTTAGTCAATACAAAATATTTTTTCGAAATGTTGATCGCTTTTTTCTCATTTACTTTTAATAATTTATTTAGATATAAGTTAAAAATAAATACTAATTAAGGAAAAAAAATACGTGCATACAAAACATCTCATTATTAAATTCAATGAATACAATTTTACGGGGTTTTTTTCAACATTTCGTACGTTGTTATATTATACCAATCTTTTCCAGCGCGAATAATAATCAACATGTAAAAATGAATATACACAATCGTTTAGTTGTAGCTCCGTCGCATATCGATAAATAGCATTAGCGAAACACGTTAGTCATTGGGCTTTATTTTTCCGCATGTTCGACAGAAAGAAAGTGCAGAAAGAAATTTAAAATTTCGCGATTCAAAGTTTTAGTGGCTAAAACATTTGGAAACATGTTTCGCTTTCTGGTGATAGTCACGGCGCTCTTCGTCCTGATTAATGCGGAACTTCAAAGGTCAGAATATAAAGTGTATTAATTAATACATTATATGTATATCTATATCAAGATTTATAAAAATTAATCTTCTATTTCTTACATCTGATTTTCTGGAATCGATATAGAAACAATTATTCAATAATAATTGAACAAAATCTCTTTACAAAAAATTTATTTCTGTTTATTTTATTTATTAAAGATGTAGAATGTTCCCTTGAAAAAGATTCTCTGTGAATTCGCAAAGCTTTCGTTTATCTTATCATGTTTTCTAAATGAGATTGGCAACAATGTTTGCGATTTGCGATAAAATATATAAATATAAATTACCAAAATTTCTGTAAATTTTCTGAAAATATAATAAATAATAAATAAATATATTATGAATATTCTAGTCATTTCTAGTCAGTTGCTCTTTTGTCATGTATTTACTTGACACTCTTTATACATATTATATATATATATATATATATATATATAATATATATATATATATATATATAATATGGGTGTAATGTATATAATTATGCATGTAACAAAATCTTCTTTATGTCAATTCAAGGATTTCATTATACAAAATGAATACTGTTCGACAAACTTTGAAAAAAGTTGGCACCGATTTACAACAGATTGTTTTAGCCGAAGGAAACTTTACAGAACCATTGCACAATTATGCAAACGTTCAGTATTATGGTAAAATTGGCATCGGAACTCCGCCGCAAGTATTTACAGTAATTTTTGATACTGGTTCCTCAAATCTTTGGGTTCCATCCAGAAAATGCCCTATTATCAACATTGCGTGCTGTAAGCTTCTTACTGTTAATGTATATATATATATATATATATATATATATATATATATACAAATGTCAATTAATTCGTGTTTAATAAGTATACAATATAATCAAATTTATTAATAAAAAATAAGTCCCATAATCTTGAGTAATTTTTTTTATATGGTGCTTAATAAAAGTAGAATTATTATATATGTATATATAAGTTTCATGCGCACAATCGACGCTGTTTCGAATATAAGGATATAAATTTGTGCCCTCTGCACAATTATATATAGTTGTAACGACAAATTAATTTTTGCTATAAATTTTCGCTAACGCTCAAATATCCACGTTCGATTTCTATATAGTTTATTTCAAATATATATATCTACTCTTTTGAAATTATTAATATCAATTTAAAATGTATATTGAACAGTAAATTAATGTTATAAAATTTTATTTTATCATATTTTTTCAAGTATAAGCCTAGAAATTTTAAAATAATTAAATATATGTATCACAATAATTAAAATTATTTTAATGTATATATATTATATAAAGTGAAACTCTAAATTTGCATGCAAATTTATTTACAATTTATCAGATTCATTCTCTCAAGCTTTGACAATATAAATAAAGATAATTGAAGATTTAAAGCAACACAAATGCATTTACGCATGTATCTAGTGATTTAAATAACATATATGCGATTTTTCAATAATTATTCAAAATTTAAATGTTGATAAAAAATATATATATATTTTTCCTATCAACATCTAAAATCTTTTCACTATTTCTAACTTAAGCTTCTTCATTATTTACTATTTTTTCTAGTATTGCATAATAAGTATAATAGTAATAAATCCAATACATATCAACGAAATGGTACTGGCTTTGCTATTCAATATGGCACTGGCAGTCTGACTGGATTCTTATCTACTGACGTAGTAACTGTAAGTCATTAAATAAACAATTCAATACAATCACAACTACAATCGTAGTATAAACATTTTTCAAATAATTTTATGTTGTCATATTCATACGCAGTGTAATATATTATTCAATTCTTTACTAGATTGCTGGTATCACTGTTCAGAATCAAACATTCGCGGAAGCGATGCTTGAACCAGGCTTAACATTTGTTACTGCAAAATTTGACGGCATCTTGGGCCTAGCTTATCCCTCAATATCAGTCGATGGAGTGACGCCTGTTTTTAACAATATGATCAAACAAGGCCTAGTATCAAAACCTGTCTTCAGCTTCTATTTGAATAGGTAGATACGTATTTTTTTTACATAGATACGCTACTAAGCATATGTCGAAACAAACTCTATTATATGTATATATATCTGAGTGTGGGTTGAATATATAATGAAATAAAAAATGTATAATAAATGCAGAAACCCTTCGTCCAAGTTGGGTGGTGAATTGATATTTGGTGGTACTGATCCTGATTATTATAAGGGTGATTTCACTTATCTTCCTGTTACTCGCAAAAAATATTGGCAATTTACGATGGATAAGTATGTTATTTTTTTAAGTACACTGATCATATTCTAACAAATTACTGAATTCATAGTGTTATAGGGTCAAAATAGGTTTGAACATCTTGTGCAAGTCTAGCTGTCAAGCTATCGCTGACACAGGTACCTCGCTAATAGTTGGACCCCCTTTGGATATCGCATTTATTAACAGATATATTGGAGCTTCTCTTATTGATGGAACAGTAAGTAAACAATCATATTTTTCATAAAAGTATGGTCTTTTATAAAAGAAAAACTATAAAATGTTATTAAAATATATAAAATCAATAAATATATTTGTCAAATTATAACTCACAATCAGCCAGAAATGATATTGAATCGACGTTGATTCGACGACGAATTGACGTCGATTCATCGTTGAATCAACGTCGATTAGATAAATCGATTCGACGTCAATTTGATCATTTATTTCTGGCTGGGTAAATTATTAATCTAATATTCTTTTTTGTCTAAAGGTGGACTGCAATCAAATTTCTAAGTTACCCACAATTAGTTTTATTTTGGGTGGTAAAGAATTCAATCTCACCGGTAAGGATTACATCATTCAGGTGCGTATTATATATATGTGTAATACTTAATTCTATTATAATTTGGTTTAACTTCATTAAGAATAAAAGAATCTCACACTCAATTCTTTACAGATTGAACAGTTTGGCTTCAAGTCATGTACGAGCGGTTTCCAAGGATCTGACATGAGTGCGAATGGATTGCAATGGATTCTGGGCGATGTATTTCTTGGCATTTATTACACAGTTTTCGATATGGGCAATGATCAAGTAGGATTTGCCGTAGCAAAATAAACATCGATTCCATTTTCTTGTAATTACTGTTAGACATTGTTTTTTTTTGAATGACAATCTTGCAACTAATTAACTTTTCTTTGTATCACTTTTCATGCTTATTGTTTCGTAATTTTTAATTTATCCGGCATATTGTTATAGGTGAATATATGTCATATTTTCAAAAATTAAAATAAAAATATATATGCGATATTTTCTACGAATAATTTAAATTATCTTTCATATCAAGATATATACTATATTATATTAATATTTTACATACATATATTCTGAATACAAATAAATAAGTTAAAATAAGATATATATGTGTATTCTTTTTATATACTCAATATATGTATACTGACATCTAAAATATCCAAATAAAATCCAATTTTATTTTATTACATTAAATAAAATATCATATCTTGTTGTATGTATCTCATGTGTTTGTAATCACACACACATTCATTTTTATTAATACTTATTCATTAAACAAATAAACTTTAATTTTAATCATTGCCTGTTTAATAAATGTATATATTATCAACATAACTTTTTGCATGATTTGTGCTAATTATGTTTTGTACCCTTAAATATTGCTACTTCTATTGTAAAAATAAATGGCCTTGTCGTTTATTAATTAAATATAAAGAATATATTTTTGCAAAAAGGTAATTTCTTTTTTATTTAATTATTAATAATTTATCTAAATTCACGTTGTATTATTAAAGAGGAATACCAAAAATATATGTTTAAATTAAATTGATTAATAGAATCGGAATTCTTTTTAAATGCTTCGTGTGTTGTTACCAATCTCTCCCCGCTGAAGCATTTTATAAGCGCTTCGCGATCGTATTTATAAGCCGCTAAATATCGATACAAAGTTAGTATAAAAGTGCTAGTGATCGACAACGCTTTATTTTTCTGCGGGTCCGGTCATAAGGAAGAAATTTAGTTGTCGTTGGAAATTTCGTGATTCAAAGTTCCAATCACAAGTAAATTCGCGAACATGTTTCGCATTTTTATACTAATCGTCGCGATCTCTTTGATGATCGACGCGAAATTGCACAGGTAAGAGCACGTTGCATTGCATTATATGATATGATAAATATGAAGATTATAGAAATGATTCTTTTTTCGTAACTGCATCTGATTAATAAGATTTGAAGCGAAGCTTGTGTGCACGCAATTAACGTTTCAATAACGATAGGACGAAATTAGTTTACAAAAATGTATTTTTATTTATTAGTAAAAAGATAGCGACATAGAATATGTTATAGAAAAAGTGATTCTATGTGAATTCAAAAAATTTGTCTGTCTACCTTACAGTTTTGGTCTACATTTAATTGTCGTTAACGTACATGGTATTATAATTCGAGATCAAAACACTCAAGTACAAGTCATTTTTTTCACGCGTAAGCAAATAAACTCTCAGTACCAATGTTATTTTTTTCTGTTTGTTTATTCAGCTCTATGTATACATTCTACTTTTATAATATTACTTTATTTGGAGTTATCTTCTTGTGCCAGATTGCATGCAATACTAAAAATCAAGATCTTTTAAGTTATAATGACTTTATTTTATATATATATAATGCATGATCCATAAAGTAAATATTATTTTAAATTTATATATATTTATTCCTTTAGCTTACAATGCCAAGAAAGGACTTGGTTTACAACAAAAAAAAAGACCTTAACTCACGCATCCATTCACACCTTTCCCCCAGAACATCTCTCGCGAGTCGCACCAATTTGTTATTGACTAGCTCTCACAGCCCGACCTCTTCCCTTATTTCTTATTCTTAAAACACCTACATTGTCCCATATGACGGCATCAACACATACACACATTTCCATAACCCCTAACTTTCTTCGTTCACATTCTCCCTTTCTTTTAATACTTTCCTCTTCTTTAATTCCTTCTCCTTTTCCTTCCACAATTTCAAAACCATTCTATCTTTTGTTCTATCTCCTTTGTATAATAATTCTATATTATACATTTATTTTAAATTTATATGAAACGCATAAATTAAAAAAAAAAAAAATTGCGGAGTTAATAAATGTTTCTGCTATAATTAATGCATATATTATTTATATTGTGTAAAATATGTAAAATTAGACAAAATGTTCTTATTTCAAGGATATCATTATACAAGATGAAATCTTCTCGATACATTTTGAAGAATATTCCAAAAGTTTCTATGATCGAAGATGGACCTAATCCAAGGGTAAATTTATGCAAATATATAAATGCTCAGTATTACGGTAATATTACTATCGGAACTCCGCCGCAGAAATTTAAAGTAGTGTTTGATACTGGTTTCGCAAATCTTTGGATACCATCCAGAAAGTGCAACGTTTCTTATAGCAATTTTTGCGGTAAGTAATTTATTAAAATTTACACGGTGTCTGATATATGGTGTCACACCGAAAATATACAAGTAGATCTTGTTTTATTTGAAGACAATTTTTCCTCAGCAAATATTAAAAAATTTTTTTATTTTTAAAATCTCCCTATTGCGATAATTTTTGATATTACTTTCTATATTTTTTACAGACACGCATCCGAATTATGATAGTAAAAAATCTAGTACATATATAGAAAATGGTACTGAGATTAACATTAACACTGGCAAAGGAATTATTAGAGGATTTGTATCTACTGATGTAGTGACAGTAAGTAATCATTAAACAAATAGGCCAATTTAATCAACTTCAATCGTAGTTAATAAACACTTTTCAAATATTTTTTACATTGCCATTTTCGTGATATTTTATTATTAATATATCAATTCATTTCTAGATTGCCGGTCTCAATGTTAACAATCAATCATTTATAGAAGCAACATACGTGCCAGACCTTGCGGTCTTTCGAGCGCATTATGATGGTATTTTAGGCATGAGTTATGCCTCTATAGCTAATGGCGGAGTAAGACCTGTGTTCGACAATATGATACATCAAAACCTAGTGTCAAAACCCATTTTCAGCATTTACTTGAATAGGTATATATTTTCTTATGCATTGCATATGTCTAAACATGGTTTTAACAAAAAATGTGTATATTATAATATAAAAAATATACAATCTGCGCAGAAATCTTTCAGACCATGTCGGTGGTGATTTAATATTGGGTGGTACCGATCCCGATCTTTACGAAGGCGAGTTGACGTATGTTCCTGTTACTGAGAAAAGATACTGGCAATTTGCTATGAAAGAGTACGTTATTTTTTAAATTATGCTTATAATCATAGTTACAACAAACTGTTAATATTATTATTGTGCCGTAGGATCACAGTACGTAATTATACCTTCTGCGCGAGTGGCTGTCAAGCTATCGTTAATACAGGCAGCCCATTTTTATTTGGACCTCGTGCGAACATTTCTATTATTAATGACCTTATTGGAACTTATGTCTTTGGTGGAGTAAATTTTGTAAGTAAACAATTATAGTTTTCACAATGACATAGCTTTCTGTAGAAAAATTATAAAAAATTACTAAAATATAAATTGATATTTATGTGTTGTTGGTTGCTATTTTTAATTTGATATTCTCTTTTGTTTAAAGTTACTCTGTGACACGAAAAACTCTACTAATATGCCAGTAATCAGTTTTTCTATACGTAATAAAGTGTTCAATCTTACCAGTGATGATTACGTCCAACCGGTAAATAGTATAGATCCTAAAATAAATTTAAACCTAGAAATGATTTTCAAATCGACATTCATTTGATAATTATTTCTGGCTAGAAAATTATTTAAATTTAGAAAACTTACATTTTTTTGTGTGTCCTTCAATCTATACAGATATCAACACTAAATAAGGTGATATGTTACTCCGGTTTTCAAGCGCATGACTCTAATGAAAATGTCTGAGTTCTAGGATATGTATTTCTTGGCCGTTATTATAGCGTGTATGATTTTGAAAAAGACCGAGTGGGATTTGCTCCATCAAAATAAATGTCGATTGCTATTTCTTAAAATTATATAACAAGACATCGCATTAAATGATAACTTCGCGAATAATTTGGTAACCTTTCATGGTTTTTTAATGTTTATTGACTTGTAGTTTTTATCTATAATATCTTGATACATTGTTATAAACGAATTTATACGTTTTGAAGAATTAAAAAAAATATATATGGAAAATAATTTCCATTTATTTGATATATTTTCTTCTCAGACACGCACTGTATTCTATTTCTGAACACAAATAAATTAAAAAAATTTTTTTTCATACACTTTATATATATACATATATATATATACATATATATATATATATATATATTAATTATTAATACATATATATATACATATATAAATTTCACTAACATAATTATAGTTTTCCCTTAGATCTATTTTTTTACAAATTTATCCAAAAAAATGTTTGTTAATAATAAAATCAAACTCCAATGTAAAGTCAAAAGTAAATAAATTTCAAGATTTCTTTGAGAAATAAATTTTTCAAAAGTAAAATAGATGTTTTTTTTCTTTAATATAATTGTTAATATATATACATTTTCCAGGCTTCCATATTTGTAATACTCATTTATTTAAAATTTCTTTTCTCTCATTCAAAATCGCATATAAAGTAATATTTCAATAAAACTACGATAATGAAGCAAAAGCATATATTTATATAGATATATAGACAAAATGGTTAAAAATAAAAACGATGGGTGTACAGATTTAATCGTATAATAGATATATAAATAAATGAGAAAACAACAGAATAATTAAAATTTATCAAAAAGATGATGCGGTCAGCTATATCCCAAATCGGAATAAAAATTCATCAAAGTAATAAAATATCATACCACATCACGTTGTGTGAAACTTTATCGAAACTTTATTATAAATCTTTTAAGATGAATTTGTAGTTTTAAGAAAAAAATTCAATCTTTTCCCTTCGTCAACTGATATAAAGTTTACATATCATCAATATAAATTTTTGCATAGTTTATACATAAATATTATTGTTATTTCTCACTGAGATTGCTTTTTCATTTAAATATTAATATATTATCTAAATAACCGTTGTATTAATTAAAGTAGCATACCAAAAACATATGTTTAAATGAAATTGTTTAATAGAAATCTCTGTCGGAATTCTTTTTAAATGCTTCGTGTGCATGTCGTTACCAATCTCTTCCCGCTCAAGCATTTTATAAGCGTTTCGCGATCGTATTTATAAGCTGCCGAATATCGATACAAAGTTAGTATAAGAGTGCTAGTAATCGACAACGCTTTATTTATCTGTGTGTCCGGTCATAAGAAAGAAATTTAGTTGTCGGTAAAAATTTCGTGATTCGAAGTTTTAATCGCAAATAAATTCGCAAACATGTTTCGCATCACTTTTATGCTGATCGTCGCAATCTTTGTGATCATCGACGCAAAATTGCACAGGTAAGAGCACTTTGCATCGCATTACATGATATGATAAATATAAAGATTATAGAAATGTGTTTTTTTTTCGTAATTCTGATTTTTTGGATTCGAAACAAAGCTTATGTGCACGCAATTAACGTTTCAATAACGATAGGACAAAATTATTTTACAAAAATGTATTTTTATTTATTAGTAAAAAGATGGCGACATAGAATATGTTATAGAAAAAGTGATTCTATGTGAATTCACAAAATTTGTCTGTCTACCTCTCTCTTATAGCTTTGGTCTACATTTAAATTGTCGTACATGTATTATATTATAATTCGTAATTGTAACGTACATAATATTATAATTCGAAATCAAAACACTTAATTAAGTATAAGTTATTTTTCTCTGTTACTGTTTTTTACTGTTTATTTACTCAGCTCTGTGTATATATTTTGATTTTAGAATATTACTTTATTTGGAGTTATCTTTCTGTATCACAATGCATGCAATGCACGTTTTTGTTCTAAAAATCAAAGTCTTTTAAGTTATTATGATTTTATGTTATATATATAATGCATGATCCATAAAGTAAATATTATATCAAATATATATAAAACGAATAAATTATATAATCGAAAAAAATCGCGGAGTTAATAAATGTTTCTGCTATAATTAATGCATATATTATTTATATTGTGTAAAATATGTAAAATTAGACAAAATGTTCTTATTTCAAGGATATCATTATACAAGATGAAATCTTCTCGATACATTTTGAAGAATATTCCAAAAGTTTCTATGATCGAAAATAGCACTAATCCTAGGGTGCCTTTATGCAAATATATAAATGCTCAGTATTACGGTAATATTACTATCGGAACTCCGCCGCAGGAATTTAAAGTAGTGTTTGATACAGGTTCCGGAAATCTTTGGATACCATCCAGAAAGTGCAACGCTTTTTATAGCAATTTTTGCGGTAAGTGATTTATTAATAATAAGAATATTTTAAGTCGTCTCATTAATTTTAAAACCACAATATACACTTCATTTCTCTCGACCAATAGAGCCACACGCGAGAGTATTGCGACAATTAAGAAAGAAAAATAATTTGGACCAATATTTTTCTCGCCTATTTCTTTACAAGGGAAGTTAAGAGAAGGAACAAAAAAAATTTCTGAGATCCCAACCATAGGATTCAAATTCTTTAGTTTCCAAATTTTCTTTCTTTCTTAATTGTCGCAATAACGTCACGTGTGGCTCTATTGGTCGAGAAAAATGAAGTGTAAATTGTAATTTATTAATATTTACACGGTATCTGAGATACATGGTGTCACACCGAAAATATACAAGTAGATCTTGTTTTATTTGAAGACAATTTTTCCTCAGCAAAAATTTAAAAAAAAATTTTTTTTAAATCTCCCTATATTGCGATAATTTTTGATATTACTTTCTATATTTTTTACAGACACGCATCCGTATTATGATAGTAAAAAATCTAGTACATATATAGAAAATGGTACTGAGATTGACATTAACACTGGCAAAGGAATTATTAGAGGATTTGTATCTACTGATGTAGTAACAGTAAGTAATCATTAAACAAATGGGCCAATTTAATCAACTTCAATCGTAGTTAATAAACACTTTTCAAATATTTTATATACATTGCCCTTCTTGTGATATTTTATTATTAATATATCAATTCATTTCTAGATTGCCGGTCTCAATGTTAACAATCAATCATTTATAGAAGCAACACACGTGCCAGACCTTGCGGTCCTTCGAGCGCATTATGATGGTGTTTTGGGCATGAGTTATGCCTCTATAGCTAATGGCGGAGTAAAGCCTGTGTTCGACAATATGATACATCAAAACCTAGTGTCAAAACCTATTTTCAGCATTTACTTGAATAGGTATATATTTTTTTATGCATTGTATATGTCTAAACATACTTTTAACAAAAAATGTGTATATTATAATATAAAAAATATACAATCTGCGCAGAAATATTTCAAACCATGTTGGTGGTGATTTAATTTTGGGTGGTACCGATCCCGATCTTTACAAAGGCGGGTTGACGTATGTTCCTGTTATTGAAACAGGATACTGGCAATTTCCTATGAAAAAGTACGTTATTTTCTAAATTATGCTTATAATCATATTTACAACAAACTATTAATATTATTATTGTGCCGTAGGATCACAGTACGTAATTATACCTTCTGCGCGGGTGGCTGTCAAGCTATGGTTACTACAGGCAGCTCATTTTTATTTGGACCATTATCGAACATCTCTATTATTAATGACCTTATTGGAACTTATGTCTTTAATGGAGTAAATTTAGTAAGTAAACAATTATAGTTTTCACAATGACATAGCTTTTTGTAGAAAAATTATAAAAAGTTACTAAAATATAAATTGATATTTATATGATGTTAGTTGCTATTTCTAAATTTGATCTTCTCTTTTGTTTAAAGTTACTTTGTGACAAAAGAAACTCTACTAGTATGCCAGTAATCAGATTTTCTATAGGTAATAGAGTGTTCAATCTTACCAGTGATGATTACGTCCAACAAGTAAATAGTATAGATCCTAAAATAAATTTAAACCCAGAAATGATTTTCAAATCGACATTCATTTGATAATTATTTCTGGCTAAAAAATTATTTAAATTTAGAAAACTTACATTTTTTTGTGTGTCCTTCAACCTATACAGATATCACCACTAAATAAGATGATATGTTACTCCGGTTTTCAAGAGCATGACTCTAATGAAGATGTCTGGGTTCTAGGAGATGTATTTCTTGGCCGTTATTATAGCGTGTATGATTTTGAAAAAAACCGAGTAGGATTTGCCCCAGCGAAATAAATGTCGATTGCTATTTCTTAAAATTATATAACAAGACATCGCATTAAATAACTTCGCCAATAATTTGGTAACCTTTTATGGTTTTTTAATGTTTATTGACTTGTAGTTTTTATCTATAATATCTTGATATATTGTTATAAACGAATTTATACGTTTTAAAGAATTAAAAAGAACATATATATGGAAAATAATTTCCATTCATTTGATATATTTTTTTTCAGATACGCACTGTATTCTATTTCTGAACACATATGACTTAAAAAAAATTTTTTTCCATATACTTTATATATACACATATATATATATATATATATATATAGTATATATATTAATTATTAATACATATATATATACATATATAATTTTACTAATATAATTATAGTTTTCTCTTAGATCTATATTTTTACAAATTTATCCAAAAAAATGTTTGTTAATAATAGAATCAAACTCCAATGTAAAGTCAAAAGTAAATAAATTTCAAGATTTCTTTAAAAATAAATAATTCAATAGTTAAATAGATGTTTTTTTTTTTAATATAATTGTTAATATATACATTTTCCAGGCTTCCATATTTGTAATACTCATTTATTTAAAATTTCTTTTCTCTCATTCAAAATCGCATATAAAGTAATATTTCAATAAAACTACGATAATGAGACAAAAGCATATATTTATGGTATGGTATATAGATATATAAACAAAATGGTAAAAAATAAAAACAATGGGTGTACAAATTTTATCGTATAATAAGTATATAAATAAATGAGAAAACAACAGAATAATTAAAATTTATCAAAAAGATGATGCGGTCAGCTATATCCCAAATCGGAATAAAAATTCATCAAAGTAAAAAAATATCATACCACATCACGTTGTGTGAAACTTTATCGAAACTTTATTATGAATCTTTTAAGATTTATTTGTAGTTTTAAGAAAAAAATTCAATCTTTTTCCTTCGTCAACTGATATAAAGTTTACATATCATCAATATAAATTGTTGCATAGTTTATACATGAATATTATTGTTATTTCTCACTGGGATCGCTTTTTCATTTAATTATTAATAATTAATCTAAATAACCGTTTTATTAATTAAAGTGGCATACCAAAAATATATGTTTAAATTAAATTGTTTAATAAAAATCTCTGTCGGAATTCTTTTTAAATGCTTCGTGTATCGTTAACAATTTCTTCCCGCTCAAGCATTCTATAAGCGCTGCGATCATATATATAAGCCCCTGAATGTCGATACAGGGTTAGTATAAGAGTGGTAATCGACATCGCTTTATTTTTCTACATGTCCGGTCAAAAGGAAGAAATTTAGTTGTCGCTGAAAATTTCGTGATTCGAAATTTCAATCGCAAATAAATTCGCAAACATGATTCGCATCACTTTTATGCTGATCGTCGCAATCTTTGTGATCATCGACGCAAAATTGCACAGGTAAGAGCACTTTGCATCGCATTACATAATATGATAAATATAAAGATTATAGAAATGATTCTTTTTGTCGTAATTGCATCTGATTTTTTGGATTTAATACAAAGCTTGTGCGAATGCGATTAACGTTTTAATAACGACAAAATAATTATTTTACAAAAATGTATTTTTATTTATTAGTAAAAAAATGGCGACATAGAATATGTTATAGAAAAAGTGATTCCATGTGAATTCACAAAATTTGTCTGTCTACCTCTCTCTCTTATAGCTTTGGTCTACATTTAAATTGTCGTACATGTATTATAATTCGAGATCAAAACATTTAATTAAGTATAAGTTATTTTTCTCTGTTACTGTTTTTTACTGTTTATTTACTCAGCTCTGTGTATATATTTTGCTTTTAGAATATTACTTTATTTGGAGTTATCTTCCTGTATCACAATGCACGTTTTTGTTCTAAAAATCAAAGTCTTTTAAGTTATTATGATTTTATGTTATATATATAATGCATGATCCATAAAGTAAATATTATATCAAATATATATAAAACGCATAAATTATATAATCGAAAAAAATCGCAGAATTAATAAATGTTTTTGATATAATTAATGCATATATTATTTATATTGTGTAAAATATGTAAAATAAAGACCGAATGTTCTTTATGATATTTCAAGGATTTCATTACATAAGGTGGATTCTATTCGACACACTTTGAATAAGCGTGACACTGCCAATCCAATGATCAAAGCTAGCACTACGGTGCCATTATGGAAATATGCAGACTTTAGGTATTATGGTAATATTACTATCGGAACTCCGCCGCAAGAATTTAAAATAGTGTTTGATACTAGTTCCGGAAATTTTTGGATACCATCCAGAAAGTGCAACGTTTATAACATTCTTTGCGGTAATTTATTAATATTTACACGGTGTCTGATATAAGGTGTCACACCGAAAATATACAAATAGATCTTGTTTTATTTGAAAACAAATTTTTCATCAGCAAATACTTGAAAAAATTTTGTTTTAAATCTCCCTATTGCGATAATTTTTGATATTACTTTCTATATTTTTTACAGGCACGCATCCGTATTATGATAGTAACAAATCCAGTACATATATAAAAAATGGTACTGAGATTAACATTAACACTGGCAAAAGAATTATTAGAGGATTTGTATCTACTGATGTAGTGAATGTAAGTAATCATTAAACAAATAAGCTAATTTAATCAACTTCAATCGTAGTTTACAAACACTTTTCAAATATTTTTTATACATTGCCATTCTCGTGATATTTTATTATTTATATATCAATTCATTTCTAGATTGCCGGTCTCAATGTTAAGAATCAATCATTTATAGAAGCAACACACGTGCCAGACCTTGCGGTCCTTCAAACGCATTATGATGGTATTTTGGGCATGAGTTATGCCTCTAGAGCTAATGGCGGAGTAAGGTCTGTGTTCGACAATATGATACATCAAAACCTAATGTCAAAACCCATTTTCAGCATTTACTTGAATAGGTATTAATTTTCTTATGCATTGCATATGTTTTAACATGTTTTTAACAAAAAATGTGTATATTATAATATAAAAAATATACAATTTGCGCAGAAATCTTTCAGACCATTTCGGTGGTGATTTAATATTGGGTGGTACCGATCCCGATCTTTACGAAGGCGAGTTGACGTATGTTCCTGTTACTGAGAAAAGATACTGGCAATTTGCTATAAAAGAGTACGTTATTTTCTAAATTATGCTGATAATCATAGTTACAACAAACTGTTAATATTATTATTGTGCCGTAGGATCACAGTACGTAATTATACCTTCTGCGCGGGTGGCTGTCAAGCTATGGTTACTACAGGCAGCCCATTTGTACTTGGACCTCGTGCGAACATTTCTATTATTAATGACCTTATTGGAACTTATGTCTTTGGTAGAGCAAATTCAGTAAGTAAACAATTATAATTTTCACAATGACATAGCTTTCTGTAGAAAAATTATAAAAAATTACTAAAATATAAATTGATATTTATGTGTTGTTGGTTGCTATTTCTTAATTTGATCTTCTCTTTTGTTTAAAGTTACTCTGTGACAAGAGAAACTCTACTAGTATGCCAGTAATCAGTTTTTCTATAGGTAATAAAGTGTTCAATCTTACCAGTGATGATTACGTCCAACAGGTAAATAGTATAGATCCTAAAATAAATTTAAACCTAGAAATGATTTTCAAATCGACATTCATTTGATAATTATTTCTGGCTAGGAAATTATTTAAATTTAGAAAACTTACATTTTTTTGTGTGTCCTTTAATCCTTACAGATATCAGCATTTAATAAGACGATATGTTACTCCGGTTTTCAAGAGCATAACTCTAAGAAAAATGTCTGGGTTCTAGGAAATGTATTTCTTGGCCGTTATTATAGCGTGTACGATTTTGAAAAAGACCGAGTGGGATTTGCCCCAGCAATATAAATGTCGATTGCTATTTCTTAAAATTATATAACAAGACATCGCATTAAATGATAACTTCGCGAATAATTTGGTAACCTTTTATAGTTTTTTAATGTTTATCGACTTGTAGTTTTTATCTATAATAACTTGATACATTGTTATAAACGGATTTATTCGTCTTGAAGAATTAAAATGAGCATATATATGGAAAATAATTTCCATTCATTTGATATATTTTCTTTTTAGATACGCATTGTATTCTATTTCTGAACACAAATGAATTAAAATAAATTTTTTTTCCATATACTTTATATATATGTACATATATATATATATTAATTATTAATACATACATATATATATTCATATACATATAAATTTCACTAATATAATTATAGTTTTCTTTTAGATCTATTTTTCGACAAATTTATCCAAAAACTGTTTGTTAATAATAAAATTAAACTCCAATGTAAAGTCAATAGTAAATAAATTTCAAGATTTCTTTGAGAAATAAATTTTTCAAAAGTTAAATAAATGTTTTTTTTCTTTAATAAAATTGTTATTATATACACTTTCCAGGCTTCCATATTTGTATAACTCATTTATTTAAAATTTCTTTTCTCTCATTCAAAATTGTATATAAATAAGCAATATTTCAATAAAATTTCGATAATGAGGCGAAAGCATATATTTATATAGATATATAGACAAAATAGTTAAAAATAAAAATGATAGGTGTACAGATTTTATCGTATAATATATAAATAAATGAGAGAACAACAAAATAATTAAAATTTATCAAAAAGATGATGCGGTCAACTATATCCCAAATCGGAATAAAAATTCATCAAAGTAAAAAAATATCATACCACATCACGTTGTGTGAAACTTTATCGAAACTTTATTATGAATCTTTTAAGATTTATTTGTAGTTTTAAGAAAAAAATTCAATCTTTTTCCTTCGTCAACTGATATAAAGTTTACATATCATCAATATAAATTGTTGCATAGTTTATACATGAATATTATTGTTATTTCTCACTGGGATCGCTTTTTCATTTAATTATTAATAATTTATTTAAATAGCTGTTGTATTAATTAAAGTGACATACCAAAAACATATGTTTTAATTAAATTGTTTAATAGAAATCTCTGTCGGAATTCTTTTTAAATGCTTTGTGTGCATGTCGTTACCAATCTCTCCTCGCTCAAGCATTCTATAAGCGCTTCGCGATCGTATTTATAAGTCTCCAAATATCGATACAAAGTTAGTATAAGAGTGCTAGTGATCGACAACGCTTTATTTATTTGTGTCCGGTCATAAGGAAGAAATTTAGTTTTCGATGAAAATTTCGTGATTCGAAGTTTTAATCGCAAATAAATTCGCAAACATGTTTCTCATCACCTTTATGCTCATCGTCGCGATCTCTTTGATGATCGACGCGAAATTGCACAGGTAAGAGCACGTTGCATTGCATTATATGATATGATGAAAATGAAGATGATAGAAATGATCCTTTTTCGTAACTGCATCTAATTAATTAGATTTGAAGCGAAGCTTGTGTGCACGCAATTAACGTTTCAATAACGATAGGACGAAATTAGTTTACAAAAATGTATTTTTATTTATTAGTAAAAAGATAGCGACATAGAATATGTTATAGAAAAAGTGATTCTATGTGAATTCGCAAAATTTGTCTGTCTACCTTACAGTTTTGGTCTACATTTAATTGTCGTTAACGTACATGGTATTATAATTCGAGATCAAAACACTCAAGTATAAGTCATTTTTTTCACGCGTAAGCAAATAAACTCTCAGTACCAATGTTATTTTTTTCTGTTTGTTTACTCAGCTCTATGTATATATTCTGCTTTTATAATATTACTTTATTTGGAGTTATCTTCTTGTGCCAGATTGCATGCAATACGTTTTAGATCTAAAAATCAAAGTCTTTTAAGTTATAATGACTTTATTTTATATAAATATATAATGCATGATCCATAAAGTAAATATTATTTTAAATTTATATGAAATGCATAAATTATATAATCTAAAAAAAATTGCGGAGTTAATAAATGTTTTTGATATAACTAATGCATATATTATTCATATTGTGTAAAATATGTAAAATAAAGACCGAATGTTCTTTATGTTATTTCAAGGATATCATTACACAAGGTGAATTCTATTCGACACACTTCGAAGAATGTTGCCAATGACTATTTCAAATATTCTACAGACGAAGATGACCTTTATCCTTCGGTGCCTTTATGGCATAAATATGAAGATATTCAGTTTTATGGTAATATTACTATCGGAACTCCGCCGCAGGAATTTAAAGTAGTGTTTGATACTGGTTCCGCAAATCTTTGGGTACCATCCAAAAAATGCGACATTTTTTATAGCGTGACTTGCGGTGAGTAATTTATTAATATATACACGGTGTCTGATATAAGGTGTCACACCGAAAATATACAAGTAGACCTTGTTTTATTTGGGAATAATTTTTTCTCAGCAAATATTTAAAAAATTTTCAAATCTCCCTATTGCGATAATTTTTGATATTACTTTCTATATTTTTTACAGTAAAGAATGACAAATATGATAGTACAAAATCCAGTACGTATATACAAAATGGTACTGAGATTAAGATTCCATATGGCAGTGACTTTATTAGGGGAAATATATCTACTGATGTAGTGAGTGTAAGTAATCATTAAACAAATAGGCCAATTTTATCAACTATAATCGTAGTTCATAAACATTTATCAAGTATTTTTTATACACTGCCATTCCCGTGATATTTTATTATTAATATACCAATTTATATATATATATATATATATATATATATATTTTTAGATTGCCGGTCTCAATGTTCAAAATCAAACATTTATTGAAGCAACATACGTACCAGGCTATGAATTTCTTACTGCACGTTTTGATGGTATTTTGGGCATGAGTTATTACAATATATCTGTCAGCGGAATAACGCCTGTGTTCGACAATCTAGTGAAACAACACCACGAGTTATCACCTATTTTCAGCTTTTATTTGAATACGTATATATTTTCTTATGCATTGCATATGTCTAAATGTTTTTAACAAAAAATATATATATATTACAATATAAAAATATACAATCTGCGCAGAGAGGTTTGGGACAATGCCGGTGCTTTAATATTGGGTGGTGCCGATCCCGATCTTTACGAAGGCAATTTGACGTATGTTTCTGTTACTAAAAAAGGATACTGGCAATTTACTATGGAGGAGTATGTAATTTTCTAAATTATTCTTATAATTATAGTTACAACAAATTGTTAATATTATTATTATGCCGTAGGATCACAATATATGATAATTATAATAATAATAATTATAATTATATCTTGTGCGCGCGTGGCTGTCAAGCTATCGCTGATACAGGCATCTCATCAATATTAGGACCACGTTCGAACATCTCTATTATTAATGACCTTATTGGAACTTATTACGTTAATGGAGAGTATTTAGTAAGTATATACAATTATGCTTTTCACAATGACCTAGCTTTCTGTAGAAAAATTATAAAAAGTTACTAAAATATAAATTGATATTTGTGTTGTGAGTTGCTATTTCTTAATTTGATATTCTCTTTTAAAGCTAAACTGCAACAAGAAACACAGTCGTGAAATGCCAGTAATCAGTTTTTCTATAGGTAATCAAACGTTCGATCTTACCAGTAAGGATTACATCCAACCGGTAAATAGTATAGATCCTATAATAGATTTAAATCCAGAAATAATTGTCAAATCGACATTGATTTAACAATTATTTCTGACTAGATAATTATTTAAATTTCGCAAACTTACATTTTTTGTGTGCTTTAATCTATACAGATACCAGCACTAGGTCACACGTTGTGTAAAACTAGTTTTGTAGAGAAAGACACTGTTGATAATTTGTGGATTCTAGGAAATGCATTTTTTAGCCGTTATTATAGCGTGTATGATTTTGAGAAAAACCGAGTGGGATTTGCCCCAGCGAAACAAATGTCGATTGCTAGTTCTTAAAATTATATAACAAGACATCGCATTAAATGATAACTTCGCGAATAATTTAGTAACCTTTTATGGTTTTTTAATGTTTATTGACTTGTAATTTTTATCTATAATAACTTGATACAGTGTTATAAACGGATTTATTCGTTTTGAAGAATTAAAATGAGCATATATATGAAAAATAATTTCCATTCATTTGATATATTTTCTTTTTAGATACGCATTGTATTCTATTTCTGAACACAAATGAATTAAAATAAATTTTTTTTCCATATACTTTATATATATGTACATGTATATATTAATTATTAATACATACATATATATATTCATATACATATAAATTTTACCAATATAATTATAGTTTTCTTTTAAACCTATTTTTCGACAAATTTATCCAAAAAACTGTTTGTTAATAATAAAATTAAACTCCAATGTAAAGTAAAAAGTAAATAAATTTCAAGGTTTCTTTGAAAAATAAATTTTTCAAAAATAAAATAGATAATTTTTTTTTTAATAAAATTGTTATTATATACATTTTCCAGTTTTTCATTTCGGTAATACTGATTAATTTAAAAATTTTTTCTCTAATTCGAAATTGCATAAAAACAAGCGATATTTCATTAAAACTACGGTAATGAGGCAAAAGCATATATATTTATATAGACAAAAATGATTAAAAACAAAAGTGTACAGATTTTATCGTATAATATATAAATAAATGAGAAAACAATACAATAATTAAAATTTTTCAAAAAATGGTGCGGTCAGCTATATATCAAATCGGAATAAAAATTTATCAAAGTAAAAAAATACCATTCCACATTACGTTGTGTAAAACTTTATCGAAATTTTATTATAAATATTTTAAGATTTATTTGTAGTTTTAAGAAAAAATTCATACTTTTCCTTACGTCAACTGATATAAAGTTTACATATATCATCAATGTAAATTTTTGCATAGTTTATATATGAATATTATTGTTATTTCTCACTGGGGGATTGCTTTTTATTTTATTATTAATAAATTATCTAAATACGCGTATTAATTAAAGGGGCCTACCAAAAATATATGTTTAAATTAAATTGATTAATGGAAATCTTTGTCGGAATTCTTTAAAATGCTTCGTGTGTTGTTACCAATCTCTCTTCGCTCAGGCATTCTATAAGCGCTGCGATCGTATATATAAGCCCTTGAATGTCGATACAAAGTTAGTATAAGAGTAGTAATCGGCAACGCTTTATTTTTCTGCGGGTCTAGTCATAAGAAAGAAATTTAGTTGTCGTTGAAAATTTCGTGATTCAAAGTTCCAATCACAAGTAAATTCGCGAACATGTTTCGCATTTTGATACTAATCGTCGCAATCTTTGTGATGATCGACGCGCAATTGCAGAGGTAAGTGTATATTGCATTACATTATATGATATGATCAATATTGAGATTATAGAGATAATTCTTTTTTTTTCGTAATTGCATATGATTTTTTGAATTTGAAGCGAAGCTTGTGCGAACGCAATTAACGTTTCAATAACGATTTGACGAAATTATTTTACAAAAATGTATTTTTATTTATTAGTAAAAAGATGGTGACATAGAATTTGTTATAGAAAAAGTGATTCTGTGTGAATTTGCAAAATTTGTCTGTCTACCTTATAGTTTTGGTATAATTGTTATTGTCTTTTACTGTTTGTTTACTCAGGTCTGTGTACATTTTCTGCTCTTAGAATATTATTTTATTTGGAGTTATCTTCTTGTGCCAGATTGCATGCAATACGTTTTTGTTTGAAAAATCAAAGTCTTTTAAATTATAATGACTTTATTTTATTTATACAATACATGATGAATAAAGTAAATATTATTTCAAATATATATGAAACGCATAAATTATATAATCTAAATAAATCGCGGAGTTAATAAATGTTTCTGATATAACTAATGCATATATTATTTATATTGTGCAAAATATGTAAAATAAGACGGAACATTCTTTATATTATTTCAAGGATTTCATTACACAAGATGGATTCTATTCGACACACTTTGAAGGTGCGTGACACTGCCAATCCAACAGTTTCTACGCTCAAAGGGAGGGTGCCTTTATGCAATTATTTAAATGCTCAGTATTATGGTGTTGTTACTATCGGAACTCCGCCGCAGAAATTTAATGTAATGTTTGATACTGGTTCCTCAAACTTTTGGATATCATCCAAAAAGTGCAACCATTCAAACATTGCTTGCTGTAAGTTATTTATTAATAGCTACACGGTGTCTGATATAAGGTGTCACACCGAAAATATACAAGTCCTAGTGAGAAATGATGAATCGACGTCGAATCCATGTCGAATCGATGACGATTCGACCAATCATTTCTCACTGGGATAGATCTTGTTATTTGGCGATAATTTTTCTTCAGCAATTATTTAAAAAATTTTATTATTTTTAAATTTCCCTATTGCGATAAATTCCGATATTATTTTCTATTTTTTACAGTAAAGCATAACAAATATGATAGAACAAAATCCAGTACATATATACAAAATGGTACTGCGATTGAACTTCCATACGCCGGAGGCTCTGTGACGGGATCTTTATCTACTGACGTAGTGAGTGTAAGTAATCATTAAACAAATAAGCCAATTTAATCAACTACAATCGTAGTTTATAAACACATTTCGAGTAATTTTATACATTCCCATTCTCGTGATATTTTATTATTAATATACCAATTTATATATATTTCTAGATTGGCGGTCTCAATGTTCAAAATCAAACATTTGCGGAAGCAATACACGTGCGAGGCCAAGCGTTAATTGCTTCAAAATATGATGGTAATATGGGCATGGGTTTTAAAACGATATCCGTCAACGAAGTAATGCCTGTGTTCTACAATATAGTGAAACAAAGACTAGTGTCATCAGCCGTTTTCAGCTTTTATTTGAAAAAGTATATATGCATTTTCTTTTCATGCATTGCGTGTGTCTAAAAATGTTTATAACAAAATATATATATATATATATATATATATATATATATATATGAAAAATATATAAATTGCGCAGAGATCTTTCGGAGAATTTCGGTGGTGAATTAATATTGGGTGGTACGGATCCCGCTTATTACGAAGGCGAGTTGACGTATGTTCCTATCACTAAGAAAGGATACTGGCAATTTGCTATAAATAAGTACGTTATTTTTTAAATTATTCTCATAATCATAGTTACAACAAACCGTTAATATTATTATTGTAATGTAGAATCACAATACCTAATAATAATATTACCTTGTGCGACGGTGGCTGTCAAGCTATCGCTGATACAGGTACCTCATTAATATATGGACCAATTTTTGACATCTTAGTTATTAATAACTTTATTGGAGCTATTGACATTAATGGACTGTTTATAGTAAGTAAACAATTATACTTTTCACAATGACATAGCTTTCTGTAGAAAAATTATAAAAATAAGTTACTAAAATATAAATTGATATTTATGTTGTTAGTTGCTATTTCTTAATTTGATATTTTCTTTTGTTTAAAGTTACTCTGTGAGAAGAAAAACTCTACTAGCATGCCAGTAATCAGTTTTTCTATAGGTGATAAAGTGTTCAATCTTACCAGTGATGATTACGTCCAATCGGTAAATAATATAGATCCTATAATAGATTTAAACCCAGAAATGATTTTCAAATCGATATTCATTTAAATATTATTTCTAGTTAGGAAATTATTTAAATTTAGAAAACTTACATTTTTTGTGTGTGTTTTAATCTGTACAGTTTTCAAATAAGGATCGTGCGGAGTGTATGAGTGGTTTTGTTCCAGAGAATACTGATAAATTGTGGACTCTAGGAGATATATTTCTTAGCCGTTATTATAGCGTGTATGATTTTGAAAAAGACCGAGTGGGATTTGCCCCAGCGAAATAAATGTCGATTGCTATTTCTTGAAATAAGTTGAATAATGATTATAATAATAAGTCATCGCATTTAAATAAAACTTCGCCATTAATGTAGCAACTTTTTTATGGTTTTTTAATGTTTATTAACTACTAATTTTCTATTTATAGTTATGTAATACATTGTTATAAACGGATTTATTCGTTTTGGAGAATTAAAATGAGGATATATATGGAAAATATTTTTCAATAATAATTGGATATATTTTTTTCAATACACGTATTATTTATGAAAGAAAAGAATTTTAAAAAATTTATTTTTCCCAATATTATATATGTATACATATATACACACATATATAATATTGAGAAAAATAAATTTTTTAAATTCTTATATATATATATATATATATATATATTGCATAATTATATATATATATATATATACCTCTGCAAAAATATATATATTACTGTTACCTTATCTTGAAAAGCGTAATATGTTATTGTAAAAGCAGCTGAATTTATTGCTGCTAATTATAATGTTTCTTGAAAACGAAATGTCATTTTCAAAGTTAATTGGTGCATAGCTGTCTGGTTGACGTAAACAATGTATTCTTTCGAAACGCTGATCGCATTTTCCTCATTAATTATACACACATTTAATAATTTATTTTAATAGTTTGTGCTAATTAAAGAAAATATTAAGCAAGATATTTTTAAATTTGATTGATTGTGTTGAAAACCCGGAAGTTTTTTCGAATGTATATACGAATGTATTTATAGTACCGCTGCACCTTGATAAACAATAATAACTCCAGTTGTTGACTAGAATTTATTTTATATACATCCAGTAAGTGCAGAAACTATTGGATGTTCGAAATTTCGCCATTCGAAGTTTTATAATTTCTGAAAATTTCGGAAACATGTTTCGCTTTCTTGTAGTGATCACGACACTCTTCGTGTTGATCGATGCACAACTCCAGAGGTAAATGCACACATTGTATTGCATTACATATCAGTGTGATAAATGTGAAATGTATAAAGACCGATCTATCTCATGAAATTGGTACAAAAATTGCGTAAATACAATTGATATTTTAATCGTAAATAAACGAAGTTTTTTTTACAAAAATAAATGTTTATTTATTAATAAAAAAATAATAGAATGTTTTTAAACAAAAGATTCTCATTAAATTTGTGGGACTCGCGCTTTAGTATATTTTGTAAGTAGAAACTTTATTGAATTGTTCTTATCATGTTTCTAATAGTAAACTAATTTTTAACGTGTAAGTAAGTAAAGTATATACTTAATTTTACTTGTTTGCTTGATGCTCTCTTTCCATATATCATATTTTTAATAAATACAAAATCATCTCGCATAGATTCACCCTTGTATATAGCAATTAAAGTTTGTTAAATTATAATGACTAAAAACTTTAAATTATAAAATATTATTTTATATATATACATATGTAATATATAAATCAGATAATTTAAAGAAAGTATCTTTAATAATTTAATAATTTAATTAATCAAATTTTGTAACATAAATTATGCTTGACTATTTTGTATTTATATTGTTTAAATATATAATAATTTTTTTATTTCTTTGATATTTAAAAATGTATACCTTTTTCTTGACGACTTATATATATTTTTAATATTTACTCTTTGCGCGCGAATGTGTGTGTGTGTGTGGATATATGTGTACATTGACATAAACATAATATGTTCGTGTGCATGTGTATACATGTATATGTAATAAAAAATATTTTTAATATTTAAAAGAATTCCACTACACAAGACGAATTCTGTTCGAAAAACTTTAAAAAAAGCTGGCATCGACTTGCAACAAATTGATTTGGTAGTAAACACTACTTCATCAGTACCATTAAAAAATTATTATGATGTTGACTATTATGGTGCTATTGCTATCGGAACTCCACCACAGACATTTACAGTAATATTTGATACTGGTTCCTCAAATCTTTGGGTACCATCGAAAGATTGCAGTCTTCTCAATATTGCTTGCAGTAAGTGCTTTAATATATGTATATATAAAATAATATATATAATTAATTTGCTTTTGTAAACATATAGTAATATTTTTTGAACTGCTCGGCTTATGAAAATATATTTGTTTAAAAAGAATTAAGAAGAATTTCATGTAATATTTTCTTCTTCGCGCTAAGTGTCACGCAGGAAAAAATAATTATAAATTTTTCGACATTTTTTTAAATCAAGAAATATCGATATATAAATATATGTAACACAATGAATTAATAACATATTTATGTTATTTTTATTAAATATTACACACACATATTTTGTATTTAATTATTTAACTTTTTATTAAGGTTATTTAATTTTATTTAATTTAACTTTATTCAAAATTTTTTTTAAAACTTAACTTTTTTCAAATAATTAATATCAAATCAAAATGTACAAATTAAAAATGTTACAAAATTCTATTTTATCTGTTTACTATACGTGTGTTAAATAAATTTTTTTGAATTTTTAAAATAACAAACTATTATTTTAAGAATTAATAACATTGATGATGTAAATATTAAAAAGTTAAATGCTTTACTATTTGCATGCGCACAAACTTATTACAACTCACTATCTAAAGAAACAAATAAGCTTTGACAATTAAAGTTAACTCAAGTTAAATGGATGAACGCATTTAACCAAGAACACATAGCAAAGAGATTTATACAACGCTATATTGCATATTTAAGTTATTATTAATATAAAAAAATCTTTTTATTTTTAAAATCTCTCAATTTTATTAATTTATAATATTACTTACTATTTTTTTGCAGAAACGCATCGTAAATATGACAGCAGTAAATCCAGCACTTATCGACCAAATGGTACTGACTTTGCTATTCAATAAGGCACTGGCAGTCTCTCTGGATTCTTATCTACTGACGTAGTAAATGTAAGTCATCATTAAACACATAATCTAATTCAGTTACAATTACTTCAATTATAAATAATTTAGAAACATTTCCTAAATTTTTGTGCATCGTTATATTTTTTATTATTTTAATAGTAATAATTTATTATAGGTTGCCGGCCTCAATGTTCAGAATCAAACATTTGGAGAAGCAATTAATGAACCAGGTTTATCATTTGTTTTTGCAAAATATGACGGTATCTTGGGCATGGGTTACAATTCAATATCCGAAGATGGAGTGACACCTGTCTTCCAAAACATGGTGCAACAAGGTCTAGTGCCAGAACCTGTTTTCAGCTTCTATCTGAGTCGGTTCGTATGTTCTTTTATATTGCATTAGTCTAAAAGTGTTTTTAATTATATATATAATAAATTACAAGATAAAAAAATATGTAATTTATGCAGAGACCCTTCAGCTGAGCTAGGTGGTGAATTAATATTGGGTGGTACCGATCCCGCTCATTACGATGGTGAACTCATATATGTCCCTATTAGTAAGCAAGGATACTGGCAATTTGGCATGGATAAGTATGTTATTTTTTTTTAATTACACTAATTATGTTGCGACAAATTAATTAACGTATTTATCGTACTGTAGAGTCGTATTAGATGGTAACGTTGTGTGCGGTAATGGTTGCCAAGCTATTGCTGACACAGGTACCTCGTTAATAGTTGGACCACCACCAGATATTTCCTTTATCAACGATTACATTGGAGCTGATGATAATGGATACGTAAGCAAACGATACATTTATCAATCGCATAATCTTCTATGATAATTTTACTGAACAATATATCTCTATAATACCTATTACTAAGTAGTACAATAATTTAATATTATCTGATGTTGAAAGGTGGATTGCGATTCGATTGATCAGTTGCCTGTAATTAATTTTGTTCTGAATAATCACACACTCCCTCTTAACTCTACCAATTACATTCTTCAAGTGAGTATTATAGATTATAATGCGATTTCTATTATCTAAGAATGTAAAATCACAATTGGATACTTAATTCTTTTGCAGGATGTTTCGGATGATGGCACCGTGATATGTGAGAGCGGTTTCTCAACTGGTAATTTGAATTTAGATTTTTGGATTCTGGGCGATGTATTTCTTGGCCCTTACTACACCGTATTCGATCTGGGAAATAATCAAGTAGGATTTGCTCCGTCGAAATAAATATCGGTTGTCTTGTTTTAAAGTCATACAGTTAGATCTAAATGACAATATCGTCAAGAATTAAATAAAACTATTTTTATATCATTAGATGCCTATTGTTTAGTAATTTTCAATTACAATTATTTAAGTGATCCGTTATATTATAAACGAATTTACGTGATGTATTCGAAAATCGAAACAAAAATATAAATGATATTTTTCATCAATTATTTGTTATAACTATTACATATTGTCCGAAATAAATCTGAATTAATTGAAATAACATGTGTATTTTTCTTGTGTACTCTATGTACTGATATATATATATATATATATATATATATATATATATAGAGAGAGAGAGAGAGAGAGATACGTTATAATATCTATATCAGGAGAGAGAGAGAAAGAGTGCAAATGATACCAATTCAAATAAATTGTGAAAAGTTAAGACATATATATATATATATATATATATATATATATATATATATATATACAGGGTGCCCCATAATTCGCGAATCACCTTTCATGGGCAGATAGAGCGTGTTAAACTGAATAGAAAAGTCCTGTATCATTTTGCGATATTTGCAATAATTATTGAGTTATTAACTAAAATATCTAAACGAATGAACGGGTCGAAAGCGATAGGCCGGACTCGGTGTGTGATGTCGGATGACTTATTTATTATATGCCGCTTAGTATCAAAAGTATCATCTTACTTTTCGAAAATATTTTAATAAATAACTCAATAATTATTGCGAATATCGCAAAATGATACATGAATTTTCTATTCAGTTTAACACGCTCTATCTGCTCATGAAAGGTGATTCGCGAATTATAGGACACTCTGTATATATATATATATATATATATATATATATATATATATATATATATGTCTTAACTTTTCACAATTTATTTGAATTGGTATCATTTGCACTCTTTCTCTCTTTATAATATATATTATATTATAACGTATCTCTCTTGCATATCACTATAATAATTAATAGTCATTAACAGTATTGTATCACAGCTAATGCAGGAATGTTTTATAAATTTTGCAATTAATGATAACAACAAGTAATAATCCTTTCGTTTTTACAATGTATTTAATTATCTTCTTAATAATATTTCTCGTGATTTAATTTAGCATTTTATATATTTCTCAAATTTATTTCATAAATAAACTACGATTCCTTATATATAACTTTTTTATATTTACAATTACTCTATAAAATATATCCTATACAATTATTCTATAAAATTTTGAATACTAAGAAGTGAGTAAAAGCAATATAATAAGCAAACATGTCTATACAGAAATAGTAAAATGTTTGCAGGTTTGCTGACTGCATGAATGCTGCATAATTATGCAAATGTTCGATAGATATAAGAAAGTATTTCTTCGTATCATATTTTACCACATGAGACACGCACACGTTATATAATTATCCGATTCTCCTGAACAAAACATTTAAATTTCCTTGACATCAACTTTTTATCGTCCCGTCTATTAATTAATAAAAAATGAATATTAATGCTTTTATTTTTAAAAAGATACAACGTTATTATTGCGTCTGTAACAAATATAAAATTACGTCAGAATTATCTTTCATTTTCCAAAATATTGATTTTTTAAAAAGTACATACAAAATATTTGATAACATTGACATAAATATATACGTATATAAAAACGTTCTGACTCATTGTGTCCTTTAATGATTCCTTTTATAATAAATAACAAATCAAATGCTTTCTGTCAAATATACAAATTTCAATCATATAAATAATTATACATAACATAAATATATTGATAATACTATATAAATGCGATTATGTATGTCTTCGAATTCATTTAATCTTATCAGACATAATAGAATTTGATACGCTATAGACGTTCGTTTAATTGATATCGTTCACTTTAATTGTCGGATTCAAATGTTCCGATCTCTCACTAGATTTTCTATACTTCCCAAGAGAATGAGTCCATCTTCGACCAGCGATTTCACGTGTACGACAGTGACACGTACCAATTGATTTATTTTAAAATATCATCCATTCGAAGTCGCATGTGTGCGAAAAGCAAGAAATCGCGGAAGCGATGCACGAACCATGCTTAACATTTGTTACTGCAAAATTTGACGGCATTTTGGGCCTAGCTTATCTCTCAATATCAGTCAATGAAGTGATGCCTGTTTTTAACAACATGATCGAACAAGGCCTAGTGTTAAAACCTGTCTTCAGCTTCTATTTAAATAGGTAGATAGGTATTTTCTTTACATAGATACGCGCTAAGCAAATGTCGAAACAAACTCTTTTACATGTATATATATTTGTGTGTGTATATAACAATATAAAAAATATACAATTTATGCAAAAATTCTTATATAATCCTATTATAATTTGGTTTAACTTCATTAAGAATAAAAGAAGCTCACACTCAATTCTTTACAGATTGAACAGTTTGGCTTCAAGTCATGTACGAGCGGTTTCCAAGGATCTGACATGAGTCAGAATGGATTGCAATGGATTCTGGGCGATGTATTTCTTGGCAATTATTACACAGTTTTCGATATGGGCAATGATCAAGTAGGATTTGCCGTAGCAAAATAAATATCGATTCCATTTTCTTTTAATTACTGTTAAACATTGTTTTTTTTGAATGACAATCTTGCAACTAATTAAGTTTTCTTTGTATCACTTTTCATGCTTATTGTTTCGTAATTTTTAATTTATCCGGCATATTGTTATAGGTGAATATATGTCATATTTTCAAAAATTAAAATAAAAATATATATGCGATATCTTCTACGAATAAGTTAAATTATCTTTCATATCAAGATATATACTATATTATATTAATATTTTACATACATATATTCTGAATACAAATAAATAAGTTAAAATAAGATATATATGTGTATTCTTTTTATATACTCGATATATGTATACTGACATCTAAAATATCCAAATAAAATCCAATTTTATTTTATTATATTAAATAAAATATCATATCTCGTTGTATGTATTTCATGTGTTTGTAATCATTCATTCTTATTAAAATTTATTCATTAAATAAATAAACTTTAATTTTAATCATTGCCTGTTTAATAAATTTATATATTATCAACATAATTTTTGCATTATTTGTGCTAATTATGTTTTGTACCCTTAAATATTCCTACTTCTATTGTAAAAATAAATGGCCTTGTCGTCTATTAATTAAGTATTAAGAATATATTTTTGCGAAAGGTAATTTCTTTTTTATTTAATTATTAATAATTTATCTAAATTCACGTATTAATTAAAGGAGCATACCAAAAATATATGTTTAAATTAAATTGATTAATAGAATCGAAATTCTTTTTAAATGTTTCGTGTGTCGTTACCAATCTCTCCCCGCTCAAGCATTCTATAAGCGCTGCGATCGTATATATAAGCCCCTGAATGTCGATACAGGGTTAGTATAGAAGTAGTAATCGACATCGCTTTATTTTTCTGCGTGTCCGGTCAAAAGGAAGAAATTTAGTTGTCGCTGAAAATTTCGTGATTCGAAATTTCAATTGCAAGTAAATTCGCAAACATGATTCACATCACTTTTATACTCATCGTCGCGATCTTTGTGACGATCGACGCGCAATTGTACAGGTAAGAGCACTTCGCATTGCATTATATAATATGATAAATATCGAAGATTATAGAGATGATCCTTTTTTTCGTAATTGCATCTAATTTTTTGGATTTGAAGCGAAGCTTGTGTGCACGCAATTAACGTTTCAATAACGATAGGACGAAATTAATTTACAAAAATGTATTTTTATTTATTAGTAAAAAGATGGCGACATAGAATATGTTATAAAAAAAGTGATTCTATGTGGAAATTCGCAAAATTTGTCTATCTACTTTATAGCTTTGATCTACATTTAATTGTCGTTAACGTACATGGTATTATAATTCGAAATCAAAACACTCAAGTATAAGTCATTTTTTTCACGCGTAAGCAAATAAACTCTCGATACCATAGTGTTATTGTTTTTTTCTGTTTGTTTACTCAGCTCTGTGTATATATTCTGCTTTTAGAATATTACTTTATTTAGAGTTATCTTCTTGTGCCAGTTATTTCTCACTGGGATTGCTTTTTTATTAAATTATTAATAATTTATCTAAATATACGTTATATTAATTAAAGAGAAATTCCAAAAATATATGTTTAAATTAAATTGATTAATAGAAATTCATCGGAATTTTTTTAAATGCTTTGTGTGTCGTTACCAATCTCTCCCCGCTCAAGCATACTATAAACGCTGCGATCGTATGTATAAGCCCCTGAATATCGATACAGAGTTAATATAAGAGTAGTAATCGACAACGCTTTATTTGTCTGTGTGTTCGATCATAAGGCAGAAATTTAGTGGTCGCTGAAAATTTCGTGATTCGAAGATTTAATCGCAAATAAATTCGCAAACATGTTTCTCATCACCTTTATGCTCATCGTCGCGATTTTTTTGATGATCGACGCGAAATTGCACAGATAAAAGCACTTTGCATTGCATTATATGATATGATAAATATGAAGATTATAAAAATGATTCTTTTTTTCGTAACTGCATCTGATTAATTGGATTTGAAGCGAAGCTTGTGTGCATGCAATTAACGTTTCAATAACGATAGGACGAAATTATTTTACAAAAATGTATTTTTATTTAGTAGTAAAAAGATGGCGACTATTAAAGAATATGTTATAGAAAAAGTGATTCTATGTGAATTCGCAAAATTTGTCTGTTTACCTTACAGTTTTGGTCAACATTTAATTGTTGTTAACGTACATGATAATATAATTCAAGATCAAAATACTCAAGTATAAGTCATTTTTTTCACGCGTAAGCAAATAAACTCTCTGTACCAATGTGTTATTGTTTTTTTCTGTTTGTTTACTCAGCTCTGTGTATATATTCTGCTTTTAGAATATTACTTTATTTAGAGTTATCTTCTTGTACCAGATTGCATGCAATACGTTTTAGTTCTAAAAATCAAAGTCTTTTAAGTTATAATGACTTTATTTTATATATTTATATATATATATATATATATATATATACATGATCTATAAAGTAATAATAAAGTAAATAATATTTCAAATATATATGAAACGCATAAATTATATAATCTAAAAAATCGCGGAGTTAATAAATGTTTCTGATATAACTAATGCATATATATATATATATATATATATATTATTTATATTGTGTAAAATATGTAAAATAAAACAGAATGTTCTTTATGTTATTTCAAGGATACCATTACACAAGATGAATTCTACTCGACACACTTTGAAGAATGTTGCCTGTTTCAAATATCCTACAGACGAAGATGGCCCTTATCCTTCGGTGCCTTTATGGAAATATGTAGATTCTCAGTATTATGGTAATATTACTATCGGAACTCCGCCGCAGGAATTTAAAGTAATATTTGATACTGGTTCCGCAAATCTTTGGGTACCATCCAGAAAGTGCAACGTTTTTTATAGCAATTTTTGCGGTAAGTAATTTATTAATATTTACACGGTGTCTGATATAAGGTGTCACACCGAAAATATACAAGTAGATCTTGTTTTATTTGAAAACAATTTTTCCTCAGCAAATACTTAAAAAAAATTTTTTTTAAAATCTCCCTATTGCGATAATTTTTTATATTATTTTCTATATTTTTTACAGACACGCATCCGAATTATGAAAGTAAAAAATCTAGTACATATATAGAAAATGGTACTGATGTTCAAATTGACACTGGCAGTGGCAAAATTGAGGCATTTGTATCTACTGATGTAGTGAATGTAAGTAATCATTAAACAAATAAGCCAATTTAATCAACTAGAATCGTAGTTTATAAACACTTTTTAAGTATTTTTTGTACACTGCCATTCTCGTGATATTTTATTATTAATATATCAATTTATTTCTAGGTTGCCGGTCTCAATATTGCCAATCAATCATTTCTGGAAGCAACATACGTGCCAGACCTTGCAGTCCTTCATGCACGTTATGATGGTATTTTGGGCTTGGGTTATGCCTCTATAGCTAATGGCGGAGTAAGGCCTGTGTTCGAAAATATGATACATCAAGGCCTGTCATTGCCTATTTTCAGCTTCTATTTGAATAAGTATATATTTTCTTATGCATTGCATATGTCTAAAAATGTTTTTAACAAAATATATATATATTACAATATGAAAAATATACAACCTGCGCAGAGATCTGTCGAACGATTACGGTGGTGAATTAATATTGGGTGGTACCGATCCTGATCGTTACACTGGCGCGATTACGTATGTTCCTGTTACTAAGAAAGGATTCTGGCAATTTACTCTGAAAGGGTACGTTATTTTCTAAATTATTCTCATAATCATTGTTACAACAAACTGTTAATATTATTATTGTGCTGTAGGATCAAAATACGTAATTATACCTTCTGCGCGGATGGCTGTCAAGCTTACGCTATTACAGGCACTCAAGCAGTATCAGGACCACTTTCGAACATCACTATTATTAATGACCTTATTGGAAGTGTTCATGAAAGTGGAATTTATTATGTAAGTAAACAATTATGCTTTTCACAATGACATAGCTTTCTGTAGAAAAATTATAAAAAGTTACTAAAATATAAATTGATATTTGTGTTGTAAGTTGATATTTCTTAATTTGATATTCTCTTTTGTTTAAAGACAAGCTGCAACAGGAAAAACCATGTTTATATGCCAGAAATCAGTTTTTCTATAGGTGATGCAGTGTTTCCTCTTAACAGTCAGGATTACATCCAACAGGTAAATAATAGAGTTCCTATAATAGATTTAAACCCAGAATTGACTGTCAAATCGACATTCATTTGACAATTATTTCTGGCTAGGAAATTATTTTAATTTAGAAAACTTATATTTTGTGTGTGTTCTTCAATCTTTACAGGTATCACCACTAAATACCATATTGTGTTCAACCAGTTTTGAATGGTATCAAACTAATGATGTAAATGACAATACGTGGATTCTAGGAGATGTATTTCTTGGCCGTTATTATAGCGTGTATGATCTTACCACAGACCATGTGGGATTTGCACCAGCGACATAAATGTCGATTACTATTTCTTAAAATTATATAACAAGACATCGCATTAAATGATAACTCGCGATTAATTTAATAACCTTTTATAGAATTTTAATGTTTATTGACTAGTCATTTTTTTATTTATATTTATGTGATACATTGTGATAAACGGATTATATGGAATATATTTTCCATTCATTTGATATATTTTCTTTTGAGACACGCACTGTATTGTTCTATTTCTGAACACAAATGAATTAAAAAAAAAATGTTTTCCATATACTATATATATATATTAATTATTAATACATATATATATATATATATATATATAAATATATATATATATATATATATAAATTTCACTAATATAATTATAGTTTTTTTTTAGACCTATTTTTCGATAAATTTATCCAAAAAACTGTTAATCATAAAATTAAACCCCAATGTAAAGTAAAAAGTAAATAAATTTCAAGGTTGCTTTGAAAATAAATTTTTCAAAAATAAAATAGATGATTTTTTTCTTTAATAAAATTGTTATTATATACATTTTCCAGATTTTCATTCTTGTAATACTGATTAATTAAAAAATTTTTTTTTCTAATTCTAAATTGCATAAAAACAAGCGATATTTCAATAAAATTACCATACTGAGGCAAAAGCATATATTTATATAGACAAAAATGATTAAAAACATAAATAATGAATGTACAGATTTTATCGTATAATATATAAATAAATAAAAAAACAAAATAATTAAAATGTTTCAAAAAGATAATGGTCAGCTATATCTCAAATCGGAATAAAAATTCATCAAAGTAAAAAAATACCATATCACATCACGCTGTGTAAAACTTTATCGAAACTTTATTATGAATCTTTTAAGATGAATTTGTAGTTTTAAGAAAAAAATTCAATCTTTTCCCTACGTCAACTGATATAAAGTTTACATATATCATCAATATAAATCTTTGCATAGTTTATATATGAATATTATTGTTATTTCTCAACTGGGATTGCTTTTTTATTTAATTATTAATAATTTATCTAAATAACCGTTGTATTAATTAAAGGAGCATACCAAAAATATATGTTTAAATTAAATTGTTTAATAAAAATCTCTGTCGGAATTCTTTTTCAATGCTTTGTGTATCGTTAACAATTTCTTCCCGCTCAAGCATTCTATAAGCGCTGCGATCATATATATAAGCACCTGAATGTCGATACAGGGTTAGTATAAGAGTAGTAATCGACATCGCTTTATTTTTCTACATGTCCGGTCAAAAGGAAGAAATTTAGTTGTCGCTGAAAATTTCGTGATTCGAAATTTCAATCGCAAATAAATTCGCAAACATGATTCGCATCACTTTTATGCTCATCGTCGCGATCTTTGTGATGATCGACGCGCAATTGCACAGGTAAGTGCATATTGCATTGCATTATATGATATAATAAATATGAAGATTATAGAAATAATTCTTTTTTTCGTAATTGCATCTGATTTTATGGATTTGAAGCGAAGCTTGTGCGAACGCGATTAACGTTTTAATAACGATAGGAAGAAATAATTATTTTACAAAAATGTATTTTTATTTATTAGTAAAAAGATGGCGACATAGAATATGTTATAGAAAAAGTGAATCTATGTGAATTCGCAAAATTTGTCTATCTACCTTATAGCTTTGGTCTACATTTAATTGTCGTTAACGTACATGGTATTAAAATTCGAGATCAGTCATTTTTTTCACGCGTCAGCAAATAAACTCTCAGTACCAATGTGTTATTGTTTTTTTCTGTTTGTTTACTCAGCTCTATGTATATAATCTGCTTTTATAATATTACTTTATTTGAAGTTATCTTCTTGTGCCAGATTGCATGCAATACGTTTTAGTTCTAAAAATTAAAGTCTTTTAAGTTATAATGACTTTATTTTATATATATAATGCATGATCCATAAAGTAAATATTATTTTAAATTTAAATAAAACGCATAAATTATATAATCTAAAAAAATCGCGGAGTTAATAAATGTTTCTGATATAACCAATGCATATATCATTTATACTGTGTAAAATATGTAAAATAAAACAGAATGTTCTTTATGTTATTTCAAGGATATCACTACACAAGATGAATCAACGCACTTTGAGGAAGGTTGCTGATATTCCAAAAGTTTCTATAATCAAAGCTAGCACTCATACGGTGATTTTATGGAAATACGCAGATGCTGAGTATTATGGTTTTCTCAGTATCGGAACTCCGCACCAGGAATTTAGAATATTGTTTGATACTGCTTTCGCAAATTTTTGGGTACCATCCAGAAAGTGCCTGAATATTAATAGCTATTTTTGCAGTAAGTAATTTATTAATATATACACGGTGTCTGATGTAAGGTGTCAAACCGAAAATATGAAAAAGATCTTGTTTTATTTGGAGACAATTTTTCCTCAGCAAATACTTAAAAAATTTTTTATTTTTAAAATCTCCCTATATTGCAATAATTTTTGATATTACTTTCTATGTTTGTGACAGAAACCCATTTGAAATATAATAGTACAAAATCCAGCACATATATAAAAAATGGTACTGAGATTGACATTGACACTGGCAAAGGAATTATTATTGAAGGATTTGTATCTACTGATGTAGTGAGAGTAAGTAATCATTAAACTAATAGACCAATTTAATCAACTTCAATCGTAGTTTATAAACACTTTTCAAATATTTTTTATACATTGTCATTCTCGTGATATTTTATTATTAATATATCAATTCATTTCTAGATTGCCGGTCTCAATGTTAAAAGACAATCATTTATAGAAGTAACACGCGTGTCAGACCTTCTGTACCGTCATGCACATTTTGATGGTATTTTGGGCATGGGTTATGCTTCTATATCCAAAGGCGGAATAAGGCCTGTGTTCGACAATATGATACATCAAAAACTAGTGTCAAAACCCATTTTCAGCATTTACTTGAATAGGTATATATTTTCTTATGCATTGCATATATCTAAACATGTTTTTAACAAAAAATGTGTATATTATAATATAAAAAATATACAATCTGCGCAGAAATCTTTCAGACTATGTCGGTGGTAATTTAATATTGGGTGGTACCGATCCCGATCTTTACGAAGGCGAATTGACGTATGTTCCTGTTATTGAAACAGGATACTGGCAATTTGCTATGAAAGAGTACGTTATTTTCTAAATTATGCTTATAATCATAGTTACAACAAATTGTTAATGTTATTATTGTGCCGTAGGATCATAGTACGTAATTATACCTTCTGCGCTGGTGGCTGTCCAGCTATCCTTGTTACAAGCAGCCCATTTTTATATGGACCAGCATCGAACATCTCTATTATTAATGACCTTATTGGAAGTGTTCGTGAAAATGGAATTTATTATGTAAGTAAACAATTATGCTTTTCACAATGACATAACTTTCTGTAGAAAAATTATAAAAAGTTACTAAAATATAAATTAATATTTATGTGTTGTTAGTTGCTAGTTCTTAATTTGATATTCTCTTTTGTTTAAAGTTACTCTGTGACAAGAGAAACTCTTCTAGTATGCCAGTAATCAGTTTTTTTATAAGTAATAAAGTGTTCAATCTTACCAGTGATGATTACATCCAACCGGTAAATAGTATAGATCCTATAATAGATTTAAACCCAGAAATGATTTTCAAATCGACATTCATTTGATAATTATTTCTGTCTAGGAAATTATTTAAAATATTTAGAAAACTTACATTTTTTTGTGTGTCCTTCAATCTATACAGATATCACCATTTAATACGGTGAAATGTTACTCCGGTTTTCAAGATCATGACTCTGATGAAGATGTCTGGGTTCTAGGATATGTATTTCTTGGCCGTTATTATAGCGTGTATGATTTTGAAAAAAACCGAGTGGGATTGGCCCCAGCGAAATAAATGTCGATTGCTATTTCTTAAAATTATATAACAAGACATCCAATTAAATGATAACTTTGCGAATAATTTGGTAACCTTTTATGGTTTTTTAATGTTTATTGACTTGTAGTTTTTATCTATAATAACTTGATACATTGTTATAAACGGATTTATTCGTTTTGAAAAATTAAAATGAGCATATATATGGAAAATAATTTCCATGCATTTGATATATTTTCTTTTCAGACACGTACTGTATTCTATTTCTGAAGACAAATGAATTAAAAAAAAATGTTTTCCATATACTATATATATATATTAATTATTAATACATATATATATATATATATATATATATAAATTTCACTAATATAATTATAGTTTTCTTTTAGACCTATTTTTCGACAAATTTATCCAAAAAACTGTTAATCATAAAATTAAACCCCAATGTAAAGTAAAAAGTAAATAAATTTCAAGGTTTCTTTGAAAATAAATTTTTCAAAAATAAAATAGATGATTTTTTTCTTTAATAAAATTGTTATTATATACATTTTCCAGATTTTCATTCTTGTAATACTGATTAATTAAAAAATTTTTTTTCTTTAATTCGAAATTGCATAAAAACAAGCGATATTTCAATAAAATTACCATAATGAAGCAAAAGCGTATATTTATATAGACAAAAATGATTAAAAACATAAGTGATGAGTGTACAGATTTTATCGTATAATATTTAAATAAATGAGAAAACAACAGAATAATTAAAATTTTTCAAAAAGATGATGGTCACCTATATCCCAAATCGGAATAAAAATTCATCAAAGTAAAAAAATACCATACCACATCACGCTGTGTAAAACTTTATTGAAACTTTATCATCAAGCTTTTAAGATTTATTTGTAGTTAAAAAAAATTCAATCCTTTCCCTACGTCAACTGATATAAAGTTTACATATATCATCAATATAAATTTTTGCATAGTTTATATATGAATATTATTGTTATTTCTCTCTTGAGGATTGCTTTTTTATTTTATTATTAATAAATTATTTAAATACACGTATTAATTAAAGGGGCATACCAGAAATATATGTTTAATTTAAATTGTTTAATAGAAATCTCTGTCGGAATTCTTTTTAAATGCTTAGTATCGTTACTAATCTCTCACCGCTCAAGCATTCAATAAGCGCTTTGTGATCGTATATATATAAGCCCTTGAATATCGATACAGGGTTAGTATAAGAGTGCTAGTAATCGGCAATGCTTTATTTTTCTCTGTGTCCGGTCATAAGAGAAATATTCGTCGTTGGAAATTTCGTGATTCGAAATTCTAATCGCAAGTAAATTCGCAAACATGTTTCGCATTTTTATGCTGATCGTTGCAATCTTTGTGATGATTGACGCGCAATTGCAGAGGTAAGTGCACATTGCATTGCATTATATGATATGATAAATATGAAGATTATAGGGAAAATTTTTTTTCGTAATTGCATCTGATTTTTTGGATTTGAAGCGAAGCTTGTGCGAACGCAATTAACGTTTCAATAACCATAGGATAAAATTAGTTTACAAAATGTATTTTTATTTATTAGTAAAAAGATGGTGACATACAATATGTTATAGAAAAAGTGATTCTATCTGAATTCGCAAAATTTATCTGTCTACCTTATAGTTTTGATCTACATTTAATTGTCGTTAACATACATGTATTATAATTCGAGATTAAAACACTTAAGTATAAGTTATTTTTTTCACGCGTAAACAAATAAACTCTCAATACCAATGTGTTATTGTTTTGTACTTTTTGTTTACTCAGCTTTGTGTATATATTCTGTATATAGAATATTACTTTTGTAGGAGTTATCTTCTTGTGCCAGATTGCATGTTTTTGTTTTAAAAATCACAGTTTTTTAAGTTATAATGACTATATTTTATATATATAATACATGATCCATAAAGTAAATATTATTTTAAACATATATGAAACGCATAAATTATATAAATTAAAAAAATTGCGGAGTTAATAAATGTTTCTGAAATAACTAATACATTAATTATTTATATTGTGTTAAATATGTAAAATAAAACACAAAATGTTCTTTATGTTATGTCAAGGATTTTATTACACAAGACGGATTCTATTCGACACACTTTGAGAAAGCTTGGCACTGACATTCCAATAGTTTCTATGATCGAAGCTAGCACTCATACTAGAGTGCCTTTATCTAATTATTTAGATGTTCAGTATTATGGTGTTATTACTATCGGAACTCCGCCGCAGAAATTTAAAGTAGTGTTTGATACTGGTTCCTCAAATCTTTGGGTACCATCCAAAAAGTGCAACTATTTAAACATTGCTTGCTGTAAGTAATTTATTAAAATATATGGGGTGTCTGATATAAGATGTGTCACACCGAAAATATACAAGTAGATTTTGTTTTTGAAGAAAATTTTTCTTCTGTGATTGTTTAAAAAAATTTTTATTTTTAAAATTTTTCTATTGCGATATTTTTTAATATTACTTTCTATTTCTTACAGTAATGCATAAAAAATATGATAGTAGAAAATCCAGTACATATATACGAAATGGTACTGCGATTCAGATTTTATATGGCAGTGGCTCTATGGCTGGATTTTTATCTACTGATGTAGTGAGTGTAAGTAATCATTAAACAATTAGCCAATTTAATCAACTTCAATCGTAGTTATAAACCCTGTTCAAGCATTTTTATACACTGCCATTCTCGTGATATTTTTTTATATTAATATACCAATTTTTTTATATTTTTAGATTGCCGGTTTCAATGTTCGAAATCAAACATTTGCGGAAGCAATACACGAGCCAGGCATTGCGTTTGTTGCTGCAAAATTTGATGGTATTTTGGGCATGGGTTATTCCACGATATCCGTCAATAAAGTAATGCCTGTGTTCTACAATATAATAAAACAAGGCCTAGTGTCATCAGCCGTTTTTAGCTTTTATTTGAATAGGTATGCATTTTCTTTTCATGCATTGCGTATGTCTAAAAATGTTTTTAACAAAAATATATATATATATATATATATATATTACAATATGAAAATTATACAACTGCGCAGAAATATTTCGGACAATGTCGGTGGTGAATTAATATTGGGTGGTACCGATCCCGATCATTACACTGGCGAGATTACGTATGTTCCTGTTAGTAAGAAAGGATACTGGCAATTTACTATGGATAAGTTAGTTATTTTCTAAAGTATTCTCATAATCATAGTTAGAACAAACTTTTAATATTATTATTGTGCTGTAGGATCACGATACATAGTCATACCTTGTGTGCGGGTGGCTGTCAAGCTATCGCTGATACAGGTACCTCATTAATATATGGACCAATATTGGACATCTCAATTATTCATGAACTTATTGGAGCTATTGACATTGCTGGAGAGTATAGAGTAAGTAAACAATTATACTTTTCACAATGACATAGCTTTCTGTAGAAAAATTATAAAGAGTTACTAAAATATAAATTGATATTTTTGTTTTGAGTTGCTATTTCTTAATTTGATATTCTCTTTTGTTTATAGATAAACTGCAGCAAAAGAGACTCTGCTAAGATGCCAGTGATCAGGTTTATTATAGGTGGTAAAATGTTCAATCTTACCAGTCAGGATTACATCTTACAGGTGAATATTATAGATCCTATAATTTAAACCCAGAAATAATTGTCGAATCGACGTTGATTTGACAATTATTTCTGGCTAGGAAATTATTTAAATTTAGAAAATTTACATTTTTGTGTGTGCTTCAATCTGTACAGATGTCTACAGTTGATCACACGGTATGTATCAGCGGTTTTGCACCGTCTGACAATATTGATAAATATTGGAATCTAGGCGATGTATTTATTGGCCGTTATTATACCGTGTTTGATTTTGAGGAAGACCGAGTGGGATTTGCCCCATCGAAATAAATGTCGATTGCTATTTCTTAAAATTATATAACAAGACATCGCATTAAATGATAACTTCGCGATTAATTTAGCAACTTTTTTACAGTTTTTATTGACTTGTAATTTTTATTTATAGTTATGTGATACATTGTTATCAACGTATTTATTCGTTTTGGAGAATTTAAATGAAAGTATATATGGAAAATATTTTCCATTAATAATTTGATAAATTTTTTTAATACGCGCGCTGTATTGTTATATTTCTGAACACAAATAAATTTTAAATAATTTATTTTTCCTTATACTTTATATATATATATACACACACATATATATATATATATATTAATTTTAATATATTATATTAATTTTTCATAGTTTTATTTATAATATTTATTATATTTTATTTCAATATAGTCACTTATATATAATATATTTATCTTCATAAAAATGTTTGTCGCAATTAAATTGTTTTGTTTTGACATTGCTATATTGCATTTTTTTAAATAAGGAAATGGTCTTTCGAAGATATCTATTATTTTTTAAATAAAATATTTTTCTGTGATACTTTCTAATATACATTTTATGATAGAAATATACATAATAATATGGATTATTAAGTTTTATACAATTTCTTGCTAAAAATTGGTATATTAAATATTATTCTACATACTAACATAACAACATAATTCACAGACCATAATGATTATAAGATACTCGTATTCGAAGACCATGCATATAGCTATACTCTTTTAAAACTGCAAGCATTTATCAAATTATTTGTGACTAATTTATATTTTCACTAATATAATTGTAGTTTTCTCTTACATCTATTTTTTCACAAATTTATGCAAAAAACTGTTTGTTAATAATAAAATCAACTCCAATGTAAAGTAAAACGTAAATAAATTTTAAGATTTCTTTGAAAAATAAATTTTTCAAAAGTAAAATAAATGATTTTTTTTCTTTAATAAAATTGCTATTATATACATTTTCCAGTTTTCCATTTTTGTAATACTGATGTATTTAAAAATTTGTTTTCCCCTAATTCGAAATTGCATAAAAACAAGTGATATTTCAATAAAACTGCGATAATGAGGCAAAAGCATATATTTATATAGACAAAAATGATTAAAAAGAAAGTGAGTGTACAAATGTTATCGTATATAATATAAATAAATGAGAAAACGACTATATTAATTTATAAAGAAAAAAATGATAATAATACGTTAACAGTTTTCTATTCACAAATTAAAAGAGAAAACGTAAAATAACAAAACTTTTACAAAGTAATGATGGTCAGCTAAGACAAGCCACTTCAAGCCGAGACAAAAATAAATTATATTAAATTTAAAAAAAATATATCATCATGTTACGTATTTTCCTTATTGTCGAATTAAATTGTATACTATTGAATTTTATTAAAATATAATATATTCACACAAAAAAGTTTCCAACAAAATTCAATTTTTATTGCCGGAATCTATATTAATACTGATAAAATTTGTAACCAACATAAATTTTAATATAATTTTATTGTGTCTTAATCTTGATCATCGCGACAATATATTGTAAAAACAGCTAACTTAGATTTCTTATAGAGATCACTTATAGTACTGAAAGCAAAATGTCATTTGTAAAATTGATTGTTACACATAGCTGCCTGTCTAATCAACAAAACAATAAATATTCTTTCGAAACGCTAATCGCACTTTTCTCATTAATCATGTACACATTTAATCATTTATTTTAATACAGTTTGTGCTAATTAAAAAAAATATTTAACAAGGTATTTTGATTGATTATTAGAAACCCGGAAGGCTTTTTCAAACGCGATTGTATATATAGTGTTGCCATACCTCGATAAACTAAAGCTTCAGTGGTTGACTAGACTTCATTTTTGTACGTCTAGAAGGTGCAGAAAGTATTCGACGTTCAAAATTTCGCTATCTGAAGTCGCTGGAAATTTTGGTAATATGTTTCGCTTGTTCGTGACTGTCGCGGCGCTCTTCGTGCTGATCGACGCAGAACTCCAGAGGTAAACACACACATTATATTTCATTACATACATCGACGTGATGAATATTGAATTTATAAATATCTATTTCATAAAATCGATATGAAAACTGCATAAATACGATTAACGTTTAAATCAGAACAGGACAAAGTTTTGTTACAAAAATGTATTTTTTTATTAATGAAAAATGAAAGTAGTTTCTAAAAAAAGGATTCTTCGTAAATTCGTAAAGTTAGCGTTTTATCTACTTTATCGTGATATCTTTATTGTGATTTTAATAGTAAATTATTATTATATTCTTTAACGTGTAAGTAAATAAAACTATATAGGGAACTAGTAAGTTACTCCTGTTATTTGTTTATTTGATGCTTTCTCTAGTATGTAGATACTTTATTTCTATAGTGATTATAGTCATTTAGTTTAGATTTACCTTTATATAAGATTGCAAGCAACATTATCTTCATTAAAAATCAGAATCAGTTAAATTAAAATTTTTTATTTTTGAGTTATGTCATTGTTGGAGCAAATGAGCGATATTATATATATATATAATATGTTTATATGTATGTGCGTGCATGTAACAAAATATTCTTGATATTTCTTTAAGAATTCCACTGCACAAGACGGAATCTATTCGAAAAACTTTAACGAAAGCTGGCATCAATTTGAAAGAAATTGGTTTGGACACAGTTAACCATACTTCTACGGAAACATTAACCAATTATTTGGATGCTCAGTATTATGGTTTAATTACCATCGGGAATCCGCCGCAGTCATTTAGAATACTGTTTGATACTGGTTCTTCAAATCTTTGGGTACCATCGCAAAATGCAGTATTTTCAATATTGCTTGCCGTAAGAGCCTTAATATATATATATATATATATATATATATATATATAAAATAATGTATAATTAATTTGCTCCTAATATATAAATACATAGTAATATTTTTTAACTACGCGACAAACGATTCGTGTAACAGAAGGTGAATTGAGAAGAATTTAATTTAATATTTCTTCCTTATCTGAAACCGCAAAAAAATGTAAGAAATATTTTTATATTATTTTATAAAAATAGCACACCACTATGTATACTTAATTAGTATAAATTAATTAAATATTTGTACACATACACACACTTACTAATATTTTATTATATGATATACACATATTGTACTTATATAATAATATAATATTAGATATTATTTAAAAGCATTGAAGAAAAATTTAAATTTTCTCGAATAATTAAAATCAAATTAAAATATATAATTAAAGAAAACAAATAAAAAATGTACATTAAAATGGAAATTATACATATAAACTAATAAAAAGACTAACAAGAGCCAAATGAGATGTAGGCGGGAGTACGAAATTTCTAAACAATCTTAGGTATTGTTTAACTTATTATTTTTTACAGAAACGCATAACAAGTATAATAGTAAAAAATCCAGCACCTATATACCAAATGGTAAGTCGTTTGCTATTCAGTATGGCACTGGCAGTCTAATTGGATTCTTATCTACTGATGATGTTAACGTGAGTCATCATTAAACACACAATTCAATTCAGTTATAATTACAATCGTAATTTTTTTATAAACATTTTCCAAGCATTTATATTGTTATTCTTGTGCATCGTGATATTTTATTATTTTAATAACAATTTTATTACAGGTTGCCGGTCTCAATGTTAAAAAGCAAACATTTGCGGAAGCGATTAGCCAACCAGGCTTAACGTTCGTTTATGCAAAGTTTGACGGTATCTTGGGCATGGGTTACGGTTCGATATCCGTCGATGGAGTGACAACTGTCTTCGATAACATGGTGCAACAAGGTCTAGTGCCACAACCTGTTTTCAGTTTCTATCTTAATCGGTTCGTATGTTTTTTTTATATTGCATCTGTCTAAAAGTACCTTCAATGATAATAATAATATATTATATATATATGTATGTTACCCCCAATAAAAAAATATGCAATCTGTACAGAGACCCTTCAGCCGCGGTAGGTGGTGAAGTAATATTCGGTGGTGCCGATTCCAATCATTACAATGGTAAACTCCTTTACGTTCCTGTTTCCCGAAAAGGATACTGGCAATTTGCTATGGATAAGTATGTTATTTTCTAAATTATGCTGATCATATTGTAACAATAAATTATTAACATCATTATGTTGCAGAGTAACAATCGGAAATCAGACCGTGGCGTGTGATGGTGGTTGCCAAGCTATTGCTGACACAGGTACCTCGCTCATAGTTGGACCATCAGACGATATCGACGCTATTAACGAACTAATTGGAACTAATTCTGATGGAACCGTAAGTGCACAATATTTTTCACAATAGCATAGTTTTCTATAGAAAAATCATAAAATATTACTGAATGTATATTTGTTAAATTAATATCCGTTAATTAGTAATTTAATATTTTGCTCTTTACTCAAAGGTGGATTGCGGTTCAATTGATGAGTTGCCTGTAATTAATATTGTTTTGAATGGTCACTCATTTCCTCTTAAACCTAGGGATTACATTATTCAAGTGAGTATTATAATATTTCGATTTATATTATATGTATTATTTAAGAAAACAAAGTTACAATTGTGTATTTAATTTTTCGCAGGAATCTAGTGATACTTGTATAAGCGGTTTGTCGGGAGGTAGTGATCTTTGGATTCTGGGCGATGTATTTATTGGTCCTTACTACACCGTATTTGACGCAGGAAATAATCAAGTAGGATTTGCTCCGTCGAAATAAATTGACTGCCTTGTTTTGGAGTCATATGGTTAGATTTAAATGACAACCTTGCCAGTAATTAAGTAAAATGATTGTATACCATTTTGCTTATTGTTTCCTAATTTTCAATTACAATTATCCAACAAGCGGTGTATGTATTATAAATAGATATGTGCGATGGATATATTCAAAAATTAAAACAAAGATATATGTGTATGCATATATATGATGATATTTTTCATCAATATATAATTTGATACATCTATATATTGTCTAAAATATGTCTGAATTAATTGAAATAAAATATATTCTTTTCCTATACTCTTTATACTGATATTTTATACATTATAATCCTTCACAGTTATATTTAAATATATCATTTTCCTTTTTTTCTACGTGTATATTATTTTTTTCTTTCTCTTGTATATAATAAAAATTATATAACAGTTAATAATAATACTGTAATCACAGATAATACAATAATATATTTTATTTTCAAATTATAGTGATAACATCAAACAATCTTTTTCTTTTTATAATATGTTTATCTAACTTGTTAATAATATTTCTCATGATTAAATATCTTACTATTTTCTTAATATAAATAAATTCCAATTCTTTAATAAAAAGTAAACATTTCAAAAATATCTGTGTATTATATCCTTTTGCAAAATTTTGTTTCTTGTATTCTTTCTCATAATTTACATTTTACATTATAAAAATGGAACAATTTATATCTTTCGAATTTGTACAACTATCTCAAACTAAAATAAATATTAATTGTTCTTATAAAGTTGGCATGTGTGGCAATTCAGTCGTTCGTAACAAATTTTACAAAATACTAAAAAATCAAGTACACATCTTTGATTTCTTCTTTAAAAACTCTTGTAAACATTTATCAAACAATAATTTATAATATATTTATTATACTATTAAATTTACCCGGAAAAAAAGTCCATATATAATCATATATAAATATATATATAAGACTTTATATATAAATATATATTATTATACAAAATAATAATGCTCCCAAGTGGTCATCCATCTAAATACTGATCATGCTCAAGCATTGCTTAACTTCAATGGATCAGACGAGAACTTCACTTTCTAATTCTAAGAGCTTTATGTAATTATTAATTCTTAATAATTTTCTGTAGTTTTTTCGTCAGTAATTGAACATTTTTTTGTAGATGAACATTTTTTTTCAATACTGCGTATGTTATAACCAATCTTAAAAAAATTGGAAGGAAAAACAGGTAAACTCTAGTGCAACTAGTTTAACTATAAAAACAGACCATGCAATTATATTATTAATATATGTATAATAACCACTTGGCTAACTTTATATAATTCTCATGACGAAATTTATATACGAGATAAATAAGCGCGTATTGCAATGTCGTATAGCAGTAAATAAAGGAATTAATAATTACTAAATATTGTTTTTTATATTTTCAAATTGTTACTATAACATTTCTCATAAAATTTTAATATTCGATACTTATTATTAGCATCGCGAGATATATATATACTACGTACATTATATATATATATATATATATATATATATATATATATATAATGTACGTAGAATATAAAATTAAATTGAATTTTCTAAATATAGATTAATACTTACTATCGATTTAATGAATATAATATAACAAAAAATGCGTTGCGATACTTATATATATATATATATATATATATATATATATATATATATATATATCGCGATGCTAATAATAAGTATCGAAACGCATTTTTCGTTATATTACGTTCATTAAATCAATAATGAGTATTAATCTATATTTAGAAAATTTAATTTAATTTTATATTCCACGTACATTATATAATATATTCATATATATATATATATATATATATATATATATATATTATAACACTTAAAATATTTCAGCAAAGAATTGTGAATAACATATGGTAATCAATCTTGCTATCATCAATAAAAGTGCGTTATTGTTAGTCGAGCTTCGACACTTGAGCAATAAAGAAGACATATAAGTTAAACGCTTTGCATATTGTCAAATTATTTTTCTACGACTGCGATCGATTTGGGAAAACTATTTTATATGTTAAAGTAATTAATAAGTTATTAATTTCTACAATTAAATCGTATACAATAAAATAACCCCCTTCCCCCCAATGAGTACACCTTGTCGTGATGGGGCGGCTCAGTACCTGGATGAACAATCCTTTAACTTTAAATTTATCTTAAAGGGGAAGCTAAGTACCTAAAATTCCTATACCTTTTCGCGTAATAATGCGATCTCGAAATTTTTTCGATATTATACTTGCAAAGTCGACAATAATAAGGGATAGACATATGCGCTTAATATTTAGTTCACTTTGGTAGTTAGTCTTTCTGTTTTCCTAACTATTCATCCCGCAGTATCGTGTGAGACGAATTATTTATTATGATGAAACCTCGATTCTCGTGATTTGAGTTTAGACTCTTTATGATTTGACAGAGACATACGTTCACACGAATGTAAGCTATACGTTTATACGAATGTCACATATATAGTAAGTACCCTAACTTATTGTCTCAAAATGTTATTTTCTATTAAAACAGGATTTAATCGCAAAATTCGCATGCTATATTAAAAGCATCGTGCGTGTTAATTATCGAAATTTTGCGTCATTTTCGTGTTTTTGCGCAATAGCTCGATTTTCTTCAAGATACGTATACGTGATATAGACGTAATAACTATTTTACTTCAATAAGCAATTTAAAGTTATTAATTATTATTTATTAATCATACTTGTTATCCAATAGTTTTATTATTACTAATATAGTATACATCTACATTCTCGAAAGGTGAAATATATTATTATGCGTTATTATTATTGCGTCTCGATTTTATTATAATTTTTTTATCTTTTTAAATACGTTATTTTATTTATAAAGAGTTTTAGTTATTAACTGTAAACGTATAATTTTTTCATCATTTCTGCATAGTTAGAGTCGTGTATGTACCTATTATCGTATGTTTGTTTCATAAAATTTAAAAATTTATATTTTTTGAAAAATTCAAAGTTTTATAAAAAATGAACCCTTTCATACCGATCCTCGCCAAATTCAACATCAAATATTCTTTATTGATACTATATTCATGTAAAAAAATTTAGCTTGATATCTTAAAATTTGCGAAAATTAAAAAATGCACACTTATAGAGGCCTTCATTTTTGCATTTAAATTTATAGCGTTTTTTGCAAAAATTATATATATATAGTAATAATTGATAAATTTATATCTTTTTTATTTTAGTAGATTTTTGGAACAATGATTTTTTAAAAATATTATATTCATTCAAAGTCGTATTAGTAACAACCAATATTTCGATATAAATGGCAAAATATATATTTATAAAGACAAAAAATGTTAAAACACAAGTGAAAATTTTTTTGTTCACGTAAATAAATTAAAAAATCAAAATAAAATTTAGTAAATTAAACGTAATTTTTTTTTTTCAAAATAACGATAGTAAGTTAAACCGCAAGCCGGGACAAATATCTATCATTAAATTTAAAAAAAATTATCATCATATTGAGAGTTTTCCTCATTGTTATCGATTTTATTAAAATTTATTCACGTAAGTTTCGAACACAAATTCAATTTTTTATTATTGTCTACTGAACAAGTTTATATGTCACCAACATGATTTTTTTCATAATTTCTGTTTCTTGACCAGTGGTAAAATCTTATTGTGAAAATAACTAATAGAGACTTGTTATATAAAGGCCAATTATAATATTGCAAGCAAAATGTCATTTGCAAAATTTATTATTGCATATAGCTGCCTGTCTAATCAACGTAAATAGCACATTTTTTTGAAACGCCAATCGTATTTTTCTCATTAATCACACATAATTAATAATTTATTTTGATATAGTTTGCGCTAATTAAAAAAAATATTAAACAAGACATTTTAAGATTTGATGGATCGTTGATGGAAACCCGGAAGATTTTCGATGCGCACGATCGTATATATAGTGATGCCATACCTCGACGAATGAGAGCTTCAGTGGTCGACTAGAATTTATTTCTTGTACGTCCAGAAGGTGCAGAAAATTCGCTATCTGAAGTTTTAGTTATTGTAAATTTCGGAAACATGTTTCGCTTTTTCTTGGCCGTCGCGGCGCTTTTCGTGCTGATCGACGCACAACACAGGTAAGTAAAAGCACACATTATGTATTGCATTATATATTGACATAATAAATATGAAATTTATAAAGATCAATCTATCTCATAAAACATAAATAAATTACATAAATACAATTAAAATTTAAATCAGAGTTTAACAAAGTTTTATCACAAAGAAATATATTTATTAATAAAAAAATAAGAATAGAACGATTTTCACAGAAAAGATTCTCCGTGAATGATTCATCTTCAGATAAAACTCGCACTTTTGTTTCTTTATCGCTATGTTCTTACTGTGTTTTTAATAATAAACTATTAGATATATTTTCTAACGCGTGTCAGCAAGTGAATTATAGAAAATGAACTGTTCCTTCTTATTTATTTACGACACTCTCTTTACAGATATCACATTTCTACTGAATATAGTCATCTCATTTTGATTTACTTTTTTATATAAGATATTGCAAGCAACGTTATTTTAAACTAAAAAGTTTGTTAAATAATAATGACTTAAAAAACTAAGTCATAAATTAAATAATATATTTCAAATATATATACAATGTATAAATCATATAATTTAAAAAAATATCGGCCTAATTAAATTTTGTCACATAATTATGTTTAAATCTTTTGTATTTGTACTGAAAATATATAAGTATAATAATTTTAATTTTTTCAATAATTGAACGTATATATAATTTTCTCATGAATTATACTATATTTTTTTAAATAACTGCTCTTTGTATCAATAAAAATATACATACATTTATGTGCATATGTTTCTCTGTGTGTACGTATGTAATAAAAAATTCTTAATATTATTTTAAGAATTCCATTGCACAAGAAGGATTCTGCTCGAAAAGCTTTAAGGAAAGCTGGTATTGACTTGAAAGAGCTTGAATTGGCCAATGGAAATCCTTCATCAGAAAAATTGATCAATTATGGCGATGTTGAGTATTTTGGTGTTATCAGTATCGGAACTCCACCACAGAACTTTACAGTAATAATGGATACTGGTTCCTCAAATCTTTGGGTACCATCGCAGAGCTGCAGTCGTCATAATAGGGCTTGTCGTAAGTATCTTTTAATATTATACATAATATTAATTATATGTTCTGTATATTTGTATATATAATGTTCCGTTTATTGAGTACGTTTATTCTCCTGATTTTTCGGATGTTTCTGCATTTCTACTGGATGTTAGAGTAGGTGTAGAAAACACAATGCATTTTTTATATATTTTCTTTTGATGATTGGAACCGATGAGAGGCAATTTTGATTCTGATAAAGTGAAAGAATTTTGGGATCCCGTATTTATACTATAGTATATAATGACTATAGTCAGAGTCAGCATAACATAAATATGTTAATTTTTATTCGTATTATTAACTGAAGATAATCCGAAGCGAGACCAAAACATTTAATAATTTTTAACTATAATAAACAATACCTAAGAGTGTTTAGAAGTTTTTCTTGAGTCTTGTGTATCTCGTATTTAGCTTTCATCATAATTTTTTTATTAACCAAAGTTGACGTAGAGTTTGTTTAATTTTATTGAATTAATATTATACATGTTATAAAATTCTCATTCTTTATTATATTTTTTTAAATAAAATCTTTTGTGATTTTTAAAAAGAAAAATAAATACATTTTTAAGAATTAATATTATTAATGATGCAATATATTACAAAGCCAAATTTTTCAATTTGAAGGCATAAACTTATTTATAACTCATTCTCTAAAGATACAAACAAATCTTGATAAATAAAGATAACTCATTTTCGGATCTATATTTTTCTCTTGCATTCATTTATTTATTTTCCGTAGGGGGGTTAAAAAAGGGGTATTGAAATTAAATCTCAAATATGAGATTATTTCATATTTTAAAATCTTGGCCGTGTCCAAGTAAAAATTTGGTGCCTTGTGCACCGGTATTTAATTCTAACGGAAAATTATTTAGTTTCGTTAGGATAACGCATTGTCATCCGCGATTTGGCTCTTGTTGCCCGTCTTATACGTTAAATTTATATTTATATTACAGAGCCTTGTTAAAACTCTTATAAAGATAACTCAATAGTTAAATAGGCGAATATAAGTATGTATATATGTATACATATGTATATATTATGTATATAACGTGATTTAAACAACTATATTTAGATTAATATTAAAAGAGAAAATTTTCATTTTTAAAATCTCCCTAATGTTATTAACGTATGATATTATTTACTATTTTTTACAGAATTGCATCATAAGTATGATAGTAAAAAATCCAGCACATATATACCAAATGGTCAGTCGCTTAGTATTCAATATGGCACTGGCAGTCTAACTGGATTCTTATCTACTGATGTAGTTAACGTGAGTCATCATTAAACACACAATCCAATTCAGTTACAATTGTAATTTATAAATATCTCTCAAATATTTATATTGTTAATAATAATATATATGATATTTTAAATCGGCCAATAGAGCCCAAATGCGAAAAATTAATTCTTCGGAACTGTATCTCTTGGTTTGAGATTACTAAGTTCCATATATAAATTAATCTCGAACTTACATATAGAGAAAATAAGCGAGAAAGTTAGTTGGTAAGAGCAGTCGCCCGGAAAGTGAAAGACGCGGGTTCGATTTCCGCTTCAGCGACTTTTCGGACCTATATTTTTCTCGCCTATTTTCTCCATATGTAAGTTCGAGATTAATTTATATATGAAACTTAGTAATCTCAAATCAAGAGATACAGTTCCGAAGAATTAATTTTTCGCACTTGAACTCTATTGGCCAATTTAAAATATCATGTATTATTCTTAATATTGAGAGCCGATAAAAATATTTCTTATTTGATTTATATTGTTATTCTTGTGCATCGTGATATTTTATTATTTTAATAACAATTTTATTACAGGTTGCCGGTCTCAATGTTCAAAAGCAAACTTTTGGGGAAGCGGTTGAAGAACCAGGCAACACGTTTGTTTATGCACCGTTTGACGGTATCTTAGGCTTGGGTTACGCTTCGCTATCTGAGGATGGAGTGACACCTGTCTTCTATAATATGGTGGCACAAGGTCTAGTGCCACAACCTGTTTTCAGCTTCTATTTGAGTCGGTTCGTATCTTCTTCACATATACTGTGTCTGTCTAAAAGTGTCTTCAATAATAATAATATATTATATATATGTTACACACATACACACACAATAAAAAATATGCAATCTGTGTAGAAACCATTCAGCCGTGGACGATAGTGAATTGTTATTGGGTGATATCAATCCAAATCATTACAATGGTGACCTCTTTTACGTTCCTGTTTCCCGACAAGCATACTGGCAATTTTCTGTGGATGGGTATGTTATTTTCTAAATTATGCTGATCATATTGTAACAATAAATTATTAATATTATAATTCTGTAGAATAACAAGCGAAGGTCAGACCGTGGCGTGTGATGGTGGTTGCCAAGCTATTGCTGACACAGGTACCTCGCTCATAGTTGGACCATCAGACGATATCGACGCTATTAACGAACTAATTGGAGTTGATTCTTATGGAACCGTAAGTGCACAATATTTTTTACAATAGCATAGTTTTCTATAGAAAAATCATAAAATATTACTGAATGTATATTTGTTAAATTAATATCCGTTAATTAGTAATTTAATATTTTACTTTGCTCTTTACTCAAAGGTGGATTGCGGTTCAATTGATGAGTTGCCTGTAATTAATGTTGTTTTGAATGGTCACTCATTCCCTCTTAAACCTAGGGATTACATTCTTCAAGTGAGTATTATGGATCGTAATAATATTTATATTTAAGAATATGAAATTATATTGTATACTTAATTTTTCACAGGATGAGTATGATGGCGAGACAATATGTGAAAGCGGTTTCTCGGGATCTTATGATGATCTTTGGATTTTGGGTGATGTATTTATTCGACCTTACTACACCGTATTCGATTTAGGAAATAATCAAGTGGGATTTGCTCCGTCGAAATAAATATCGATTATGCCTTGTTTTGGAATCATACAGCTAGATCTAAATGACAACCTTGCGAATATAATTAAGTAAAATTATTTTTCACTATATTTGATGCTTATTGTTTCGTAATTTTCAATTATAATTATCCATATGTAGTCCATCATAAGTGGATATATGTGATATATTGAAAAATTCAATTGAAGATATATGCGATATCTTCCATTAATAATTTGATATATCTATTGTATATTATCCGAAATAAATCTGTTAAAATAAAAAATATTCTTTTTGTATACTCTATATGATGATATTTTATATAGCAACCCTTCAGTTTTATTTAAATATATCATTCTCTTTCTCGCTCTTTTTCTCTGTCTTTATGTAGATATTATTTTTTTCTTATATAATAATAATTATATAACAGTCAATAATAACAGTACTGTATCACAAAAAATTCAATATGTTTTATTTTGCAATTAATAATGATAACAACAAACCATTTTTTTCTTTCTTGTTAATGTGTTTAATTAACTTTTTAATAATATTTCTTGTGATTAAATTGTTAATTAAATTATTACTTCTCTCTTAATATAACAAATATAAACATATAAACAAATTATGATTAAAAAAAAGTAAATATTTTAAATATCTATGTATTATTCTTTTTACAAAATTTCTTATAGTACTCTTTCTCTGATTTACATTCTACATAATAAAAACATGGATAATGGACAACTTTATGAATTCTGTACAATTTCGAGCTAAAAATCAATGTTAATGTCCCTGTAAAACTAGTTTAACATAGCAACCCAGTCATTCGTAACAAATTTTACGATTGCAAAATACTCGAAGGCCAAATACATCTTTCATTTCTTCTTTAAAAATTTGTAAAAATTCATCATACTCAAATTTGTATTACTATTCTATCAAGTTTAATGCTATTATGCACGCAAAGCAAAGTTATATTATTCTTTGATAATAAAATCTCAAAAATTGCGACGCATGCATGCAAAAATTATTATTGCAATCAATGCATAAAAAATATATTAATTATAATTATGCAATGCATAAAAATTCAATATTTAATTCTTTAACAGTAAATACGAACGAAGAAATCAAATTTTCTACAAGAATCTTTTGTGATTAAATATCTATGCTTTCATTAGACTCACGCGAAACTCCATACCCTTCTTCTTTTATGGCAATAGAACACACTGTATTTGATTCGTGCTTCAAGCTGCCAGATTTTCTTCAGAGATGTTTGAGCTTATATTCTTGATGAAATATTAGAACCAGAACGGAACGGAACACAAAGAAAAAATTTTCAGACGAAACATGTCTGAACGCATTGAAGGACGCCAACAAACTTTTTGAAATTTCATACCCTATACATCCATCACGCTGCGCGGCTCGCGCGAAACTGATTCTCGTACGGGGTATTGCGAGCGCGGGACTGATGGTCACATGACCAGTGGTCACGTGACCAGTGGATTCAATGATCACGTGATCACTGATCATGTGACCATCGGTCCCGCGCTCGCGATACCTTGTACTAGAATCAGTTCGCGCGAGCCGCGCAACGTGATAGATATGTGGGATGTACTAATCGTCGAATTAAAATTATGTACATAATACAATTATGTACATAATTCAACGAATTAAAATTATGGTTATATTTATTTATCACCAAGCTGAAAGATTAATAGTTTGACAGTTATAAAATAAATAATAGAAACAACAATGGCGCGCGCTTGTATTTAGTATCCCTAAAAAAGGTACAACGTTGTTATTGCGTTTATTAAAAAAAATTGCATCATCTTACGATATATATTGATCCAAAATATTAATTTTGTAGCAAGTATTAAAAATATTTCATAACACTGATATAAATATTATATCTACATAAAAGTTTTGTTTCATCATCTCATTTAATTATTGTTTCTATAATAAATAATAAAAAACTAAAATGCTTTCCGCAAAATTTATAAAAGCGTTTTAATTTAATAAATATAATTATCTTTTATTATAAATGTATATGTCTAATTTAATAAAAGTTTAATTGTATCATATATGGCAGGTTGCTGTGACAGACTTGTAGTTGATTAATTTCTTCAGATCAATCACATCGGACTCAAGAGTGTTATCTTCTCCTAGATTTGTTTCATCTTTGTTCAGCGATTTCACATGTACGAAATTAGCCAATGCTAATTGATTTATTTTAAATTATCCAAAGTCGCATGAGAAACAGAATATTTCAATAAAAATGGTAAAACAAGGCAAGAATATATAATTATAATAAGAAAAAGTGATAAAAATACGAGTGGACAGTTTTTGTTCGCATAAATAAGAAACGTAAAATACTAAAATTTTTCAAAATGTACGACAATTAGTAGCTGAAGTGAGCCGAGATAAATGTTCATCATTAAATTAAAAAAAAAATTATCACGTGTGTTTTTCATTGTCAGTTTTATTAAAATTTATTCACACAAGTTTCGAATAAATATTCAATTTTTTATTATTGCCAATTGACAAAGCTTCTATGCCACCAAAAATTTTGACATAATTTGTGCCTTAATCTGGAACATTATATGATGTTATACTTTATTGTGAAAACAACTAATAGAAACTTGTTGCCAATTAGAAAACAGTAAGCGAAATGTCATTTACAAAGTTGTTGCACAGCTATCTGTCTAATCAACGTAAACAATATATTTTCTTTTGAAACGCTGATCGCTTTTCTTCATTAATCATATACATTTAATTTATTTAAATAAACATTGTGCTAATTAAAAAATACGTGGTATTCTTTTTTTAGTTTTGATGGATTGATAAAAACTTATCCGGGATTTTTCACACGTGTCCTTATATATACACAAGTGCGATATTGTATATATAACGGCGCCGTCTATTGATGTGCAGTTAGTAGGAGCAACTTTATTTTATTATAAACAATTATATTTTATTTTTTGTTTGTGTTTCATTGTAAGGTAAAAAATCAAACATTTAAATTTTGGCGATTTAAAGTTTTAGTCGCCGAAAATTTCGGAAACATGTTTCGTCTTCTCTTGACAACTGCAGCACTTTTTGCGCTGATCGATGCGCAGATTCAAAGGTCAGTATATATTGCAATATATGTATACATTTTGAAATTATAGAAATCGATCTTTCCTGACTACATCTGACTTCTTGAAATTTACACGAGACGTAGATATGATTTATTTAAATTGCGATTAAGCAAAACCCTATTACAAAAATATATTTTTGTTTAATAATAAATAATAAAGAAATGGAAATAGAGAGAGAGAGAGAGAGAAAATTTTTGAAAAAGAAATTCTTGATAAATTCGCGAAGTTCGCTTTCGTCTACTTTATCGCGTTTCTAAATGAGATTAGCATGAATGCAATTGAAACATTTAATTGTAAATTTAAATAAATCTTTTCAGCTGTAAATAAGTAAATAATAGATAAATAAAGATTTGCTTTTTTTCATTTCTTTATTTGTATATATTATTTTTAATATTAAATAGTTTTCAGTTATATAAATTATTTTTATATACATATATTGTATTATATTTTATATACATCCCAAATAAAACAGAAAATCAAAATAATATCATTTTGACGTCATACTGATTAAACTTGGAGTTCAAATTTGGTTAATATGACGTCAAATTGACATTATTTTAACTTTTCTGTTCTACTTGGGATAATAAGATAATATATATTAATTTCTGCAACGATTAAATTTGTACAATTTCCTCATTATATATATATATATATATATATATATATATATATATATATATATTTTTTTTAATATCTGCTACATTAACAAAGATATAAATATAAATATATAACAGAATGTTATTTATGATTTTTTAAGGATTCCATTATACAAGATAGATTCTGCTCGTAAAGCTTTAAACAAAGGCAGTATCGACTTGGAACAGATTGATTTGACAGTAAATACTACTTCATCACTACAATTGACCAATTATTTGGATGCACAGTATTATGGTCCAATTACCATCGGAACTCCGCCACAGACATTTTATGTAATTTTTGATACTGGTTCCTCAGATCTTTGGGTACCATCTATTAAGTGCAGATCTACCAGCATTGCTTGTTGTAAGTAACTTACTTATAATTGATATATATATATATATATATATATATATATATATGTATATATAAAATATGTATATGTATATACAAATGATTTGATAATTGATTCACGTCCACTATAATTGTAAGTACAATAAATAACGATATTTATGATATTTACTAAAAAGCTAACTAGATACGATTTCAAGAATTAACATTACCGTGATAATGTATTTAAATATTATAAAGACAAAAACTTTATAATTTGCACGCACAGATTTATTTATTCATAGATTTAGTATTTAATCAAGATACAATAAATGAGCTTTAATATATCAAGATATTTTTAAAAAATTAAGACATGTATGCATATATATATATATATATATATATATATAATACAAGAAATTATTTTTTAAATCTTTCTAATATTACTAACTTATAATATTACTTACTATCTTTACAGTATTGCATAGTACATATGATAGTTCAAAATCCAGCACATATAAAGCAAATGGTACTCAATTTGAAACTCAATACCATTCGTATGGCAATGTGACCGGATATTTATCTACTGACGTAGTGAATGTGAGTAATTATATTGAACACACTATTCAATTCAATTACAATTGCAATTATAATTTATAAATATCTCCTAAGCAATTATACATATTGTTATTTTTGTACAACGTGATATTTTTTATTTTTTAATAGTGATTTCTTTATTATAGGTTGCCGGTCGCTCTATTCAGAAACAAACATTTGCGGAAATAACTACTGAACCAAGCTTAAAGTTTATTTTCGCAAAATTTGACGGTATCTTGGGTTTAGCTAATTCATCCACAATCAATGGAGTGGTACCTGTCTTCTACAACATGGTGCAACAAGGCCTAGTGCCAAAACCTATTTTCAGCTTTTATTTAAATCGGTATTTCTTTCGTGCATGTTTAAAAGTATATATTTAATTTTATATATATAATTAAATATTTATTTTTTATATATAATTATATATATATATATATATATATATATATATATAACTTGTGTGTATTTTACAATATTTTTTTCGTGCATGTTTATATAAAAGTATATATTTAATTTTATATATATAATCAAATATTTATTTTTTAAATATAATTATATATATATATATATATATATATATATAACTTGTGTGTATTTTACAATATACATATAAAAAATATACAATCTATGCAGAGACCCTTCAGGCGCGGTAGGTGGTGAATTAACATTAGGTGGTTCCGATTCTGCTCACTACACCGGCTCGTTCACATATGTTCCTGTTACTCAGAAAGGAACCTGGCAATTTACTGTGGACCGGTACATCTTTTAATTTTTAAATTATATACTAGTTATGTTCCAATAAATTAATTTAATGTTTATCGTACTGTATAGGATCAGAATAGGTAAAACTAAGGTCCAAAATAAGGTCAAAAAAGCTAGAATCTTGTGCCCAAATAGTTGTCAAGCTATCGCTGATACAGGTAGCTCACTAATAGTTGGACCAACATCAGATATCAATATTATTAACAGACGTATTGGAGCTATTAATAATGGTTATGGAAGTTCAGTAGTAAGTAGACAATTATACCTCTCACATTTTTATAAAAAATTATAAAATATTACTGAAATATAAATTATTAATATATAAATTAATATGTATTATTAATAAATAAATTTAATATTTCTTTTCGAAGGTAAACTGCAATCAGATTTCTAAGTTGCCCATAATTTATTTTATTCTGGGTGGTACGCAATTTCGCCTTACAAGTAAGGATTATATCATTCAGGTGAGCATTATGGCTTTGATAATCGGCTTAAATTATTAAGTTTAAAAAGCTGACACTCTCTTTATGTATTTAATTTGCAGGACACTGCGGATGATGGTTCCAAAGTATGTGTTAGCGGTTTCTCGTCATCTGATTCACCAGTTTGGCATTTGGGTGATGTATTTATTAGCCGTTACTATACTCAATTCGATATGGGAAATAATCGAGTGGGATTTGCTCCATCGATATAAATGTCGATTGGCTTATTATTTTGAAGTTATACTGTTGGACGTTAAATGTTAAATATAAATGATAATCTCGCAATTAATTAAATAAAATTATTTATAGCGTTTGATACCTTATTGTTTCATAATTTTTATTTATAACTATATTTTAATTTAAAAATATATGCGATGTTTTCTGTCAAAAATTTGGTATATATATAACTTTTAATATACATATATGTATAATACTATATTAATAAGGTACAAACATATTCTTTGAATACAAATAAATCTGTTAAAATAAAACATTTTCATTTTTTTCATATACCCCATATTATATATATATATATATATATATATATATATATATATAAGTAAATAAAAAACTTTTTTAAACTGCTGAATAATTAAATTACAAAATAAATAAAATATAATGTAAAGTTTTATAAAACAAATTTTATAAAAATAAAATAAAACGATTCATCAACGTTTTTATATTTTTGTATTTTTTGTAAATATATACAGTAATATATTTTTGATCTTTTTTCTTTCAATTAATTTTTAAAATATTATTTTTTAATATTGACTACCATTAATTTAAATAAGTCACGTGTAGGAAGCAATACTAAAATGGAGCAAAGCATATTTATAAAGACTAAAAAGATAAAAAATAATTTTTTTTTGTTCACATAAATAAAAAAGAAACGTAAAATAAAAATGTTTTAAAATGATAATGATGATCGCAGCTGTGTGTATTTCAAAAGCCATGACAAATATGCATTAAAAAAAAATAATATCATGTCATATATTGTGTGTACTTTGTAATTAGTCTTATTCAAACAAATTCATCTGCACAGGTTTTGATAAGATAGAAACTTCAATATTTTTTATCGCCAAGCAATAATAAAAATTTGCATATCGCACCAATATATAAATATTTTTACATAATTTGTACATTAAACAATACACGAAACTTTGCTATGAGAACAACTAATACTAATACAAAACAAAAAATCATATTTTGCAAAGTTCATTGTTGCGTGGTTGCCTGTCAAATCAATGTAATCAATATATTCTTTCAAAGCTCTAATTACTTTTTTCTCATTAATCATTTGATGATTTATTCAAATACAAGTCGAGCTAATTTAACAAAAGTATACGTACCTACAAAATAAAGCAGGATATTTTTGGAGTTGATTGATCGACGGCGACTTTCCGGAGCGTTAATTTTGAACGTTTCGCGCATTGTCATCAGCTGTCAATTCACTGCGCATGCGCGTAATCGTATATATATATATATATATATATATATATATATATAACGCTACCGCTGTCGATATCGATAGTCAGCAGTTGCAAGAGCGCTGGTGGTCAAGTACGCCTCATTTTTTGTCTGGTCGCAAAGCGCAGAAAGAAATTGGACGCTGAAAGTTTCGCGATTCGAAGCCGAAATCGCCAAAATCATGTTTCGACTTCTCGTCGCTACTGCACTTTTTGTGCTGATCGACGCGCAGATCCAAAGGTTAGCATATATAATTGTACATATAGCCATTGTAAATCAGCTGATAAATGTTGAGATCGGTCTCTCTTCTCTCTCTCTCTCTTTCATAACCGCATCCGATTTCCTCGAACGTAGAACCTATGTAAATGTAATTAACCTATCAGTAACAATTATAGACAAAATCTCTTTATAATAATATAATTTTGTTTATTTGTAAATAATTAAAATACTCGTGAAGGAGAGATTCTCTGTAACTTCGCAATTTTTTAAAATTAAACTTGTTATTTTTGTTAATTAATTGTTTATTAATTATTGCAAAAATCGTAAAAATAAGATTTTTCTACTGAATTTAACTTACTTTATTTATGTACGAAAGGTGACACGGTATATCCTGATGGAATGGAATTATTCTTTGTTATTTGTTTATTTGATGCTCTGTATATATACCCTATTTTTAGCAGTAAATTTAGTCACCTCATTTTTTTTGACTCATCTCCTTGTGTAACATTGCGTGCAACGTGTCTTATTTTCAACTAAAAATCAGAATTTATTAAAATTATAATCATTCACGACGTTATTCAAGACTTTTGTAAATTGAATAATATTTCAAATATGTATGTAGTGTAATATATATAATTCTTTCATCAAATTATATAAATTTTTCTAAAACGTTTATGTGAATTTTATTTTAATTATGATATAATTATGTCTCAATACATTATCTTTTGCATTTATATTGTAAATACATAAGATAATTGATGCATAATGATTTCTGAGACAAAGGATGAACTCTGTAGTTTCCTCATGACTCAGTGTTTTTGGAGTTCTGTTGTTTGTGTTAGTAAAGATATAAATATGAAAATATATGACATATACAGCTATTATAATTATCTCAATAAATCTGATACAAAGATTGAGATTGAGACTAATTGTAAAATTAAGACACATATATGCTATATATACATACATACACACACGCATACACACATATGCATGCATAAAAAATATAATGTTTTTTATGTTATTTCAAGAATTTCATTGCACAAGATACAGTCTATTCGAAGAACTTTGGAGGAAGTTGACACTGAGCTGGAACAGTTTCGTTTGATCAATGCTAATTCTTCTCTCATACCAGAACCTTTGTCTAATTATATGGATGCTCAATATTATGGTGTTATCGGCATTGGAACTCCGCCGCAGGAGTTTAAAGTAATTTTTGATACTGGTTCCTCAAATCTTTGGGTGCCATCCAAAAATTGCCATATTACCAATATTGCTTGCTGTAAGTATCTTACAATTAGAGGTACATATGAATATATTATTATTTACTTAATATTTCATTATTTATGCATGTATATATTGCATTTATTAATATTGATTATTGTTTAAAAACATTGAAAAGAAAATCTTAATTATTTTAATTAAAGTTAGTACGAAATTTATACTGTATATAGGAATAAAATTAATGTTATAGAATTTTATTCTCTTATCATATTTTCAAATAAAATCTTGGAATTTTTAAAAAAGTTTGGTAAACAAAATTGCAAAAAAAAAAATTCTTTACTAACAAATATTACAGAATTAAATTCTATAGTTTGTAAACTTGTTTTATACTTATTATTATCACATATTTACAATTTATCATATTCTCTTTCTCAAGATACAACCAACCTTTGACATTCAAAGATAACTCACAAGTTAAAGCGACAAATATATTTATATATTGACGATTTAAACAATTATTAATTGCAATTGATTAAAATAATAAGAAAATGTATGTTAATTAATATAAGCCAGTTTGATTTTACTTTTACTACTTTTTACAGTATTACATCACAAATATAATAGTAAAAAATCCAGCACATATAAAAAAAATGGTACTGATTTCGCTATTCAATATGGGTCTGGCAGCCTGTCTGGATACTTATCTACAGATGTAGTGACTGTGAGTCATCATTCAATAAATATAATACAATACTCATAGTATCATAGTTTATAAACATTTCAAGAATTCATGTTGATACACTTCTCAGAAGAAATGCGCAATATTTTATTATTTATATAAATTTCTTTGTAGATTGCCGGCCTCAATGTTCAGGATCAAACATTCGCAGAAGCGATCAGTGAGCCAGGCTTAGCGTTCGTCGCTGGAAAGTTTGATGGTATCTTGGGTATGGGTTACTCTACAATATCCGTCGATGGAGTGACACCTGTCTTCTACAACATGGTCAAACAAAACTTAGTACCACAAGCCGTTTTCAGCTTTTATCTAAATCGGTTCGTATCTTTTTCATATATGTACTGGATCTAAATTGTAAAAATAATTATATATATATATATATATATATTACAATATAAATAAATATACAATCTATGCAGAGACCCTTCAGCCGACATGGGTGGTGAGTTAATATTGGGTGGCTCTGATCCTGCTTATTACGATGGCGACCTCACATATGTTCCTGTTACTCGCAAAGGATATTGGCAATTTGCTATGGACAAGTACACTATTTTTTATATTATACTTATATTTTTTAAATTGTTAAAATGTTGACAAAATATTAACATTATTACATTATAGACTCAGTGTAAGCAATCAAACCCTGTGCCCGAATGGCTGCCAAGCTATCGCTGATACAGGCACCTCCTTGATAGCTGGACCAGTAGAAGATGTTAAAGTTATTCATAAACTAATCGGAGCTACTACTTTAATTAGTGGACAGGCAATAGTAAGTAAACAAACATATTTTTCACTATAACACAGATTTCTACAAAAAGATTATCAATTATTATTGAAATATAAATTAATATTTAATATTAAATTGCTAATTACTAATTTGATATTTTTTGTGCATAGGTGAATTGTAATCAAATTCCTAACTTGCCTGTAATCGATTTTGTTTTGGGTGGTAAAACATTCAGTCTTTCTGGTGAAGACTATATTCTTAAGGTGAGTATCATAGATCATAATTCGGTTTGAGTTATTTAAAAGTGGAAAACTCACTGTGTATTTAATTCTTCGCAGGTCACACAGATGGGCCAAACGATTTGTCTAAGCGGCTTCATGGGTTTTGATATCGGATCGCATGGACTACAATGGATTCTGGGCGATGTATTTATTGGCCGTTATTACACCGAGTTCGATTTAGACAACGACCGAGTAGGATTCGCCCCAGCAAAATAAATCGTCGATTGTCTTTTCTTAAAGTTACCATTAGATTTAACTTACGTTATGAATAATTAAGCAAAAATTTGATTTTTTTTAAATAGCGCTTGATGCTTATTGTAATTTTTACTTTTATTATCCATTCAGTACATACTATATGTGATATGTGTGTTTGAAAAAGGAAGATGTAATGTAATATCTTCCAATAATTTTATATCATCTCATTCAGCATACAATTATTATAAGATCATGTCTGAATAGATAAATAAGTCTGTTATAAAATATATATCCTTTTCATGTATCTCGTGTACTGATTTTATATATGTATTAATCCTTAACAATTTTATTTAAATATTTTTTTCAAATTTTTTTATATTTTTATTCCTAAGTAAAAGCATGATAAGAAGAATATCATGTGACATATTAAGTTATATATATAAACAATATAAAAAAATATCAATTTAACATTTTATAAAAATTAATTTTTAAAGGCTATCATATTTTAATTTCCGTTTGTTTGACTGCATGAAGTCCATAATTAATAGATGTAAATGATGCCCAAGACCATTGATTTGTTAGTGGATTAACTTTAATTCCATGAATTAATTTAGTTTTGCAGCCATCTATTAAACATAATAACAAAATAATAAAAAATTATAAAATATAGTATGTGAACAATTATTATAAACCTATATATATATATATATATATATATATATATATGTGATAACAAAATATTGATGACTCACATATAGATAAAATGTATAAAACTTACAGTTATCCAAGATACGTTGTATTTCATGTGGAGCAATAAACTTATTCCATTCATGAGTACCACGTGGTAGCAAATTGAGAATATATTCTCCTAGTACAATAGCACTGAGCCAAGATGTTGAAGTTTTATTTATTGTCGTTATAAAAATTGATCCATTAGGTTTTAGAATTCTCACACATTCCTGTAGAGAATTTTTATTAAAGTGATTCATTCATATTTATATATGTAAACGATTCTTATGATCTTTATTACAAAAATTTACCTTTAAAAATAATTCTGGATTTTCTACATGTTCTATGACTTCAGAAGCTATAACAGCATCATACAATTTCTCATTTTTCGGGGAAAACTCTTCTATAGTTGTCTGAATATAATTTACTTTCTCTGATATAGTGGGATCCAATTTTATATGCTCTTTAGCAGTATCTATTAATTCTGTTGATGCATCTACTCCAGTTACTTGTGCTCCTATTCTGGCTAAACGTTCCGTCAATATACCTCCACCGCAACCAACATCTACAATCTTGACTCCTTCCAGTGGAAGAGCTGGATTTTGTATTTTGAATCCAGCATTAGCCAAACCATCTCTTACAAATTGTATTCTGAGCGGAGTAAATGAATGGAGGAGTTTTATTGGACCATTTTCATCCCACCAAATATTTTTAAACTTAGAAAGATGTTCAACATTTTTAGAATCTACTGTCGATATTGCCCTGTCTATTCTATCCATATTGCTGCTTTTCAATAATCTGTAAAGTAAGGCCAACATCAATCTTTAATTTTGTAACCATAAACAAGTATTTTTTTTAATTTATATAATTACTGCAAAGAAGATTAATAATTGATTAATGTTTTTACAAATGAAAACTTAACAAAAGAAACAAATATCCCGCACTAATTTTATATAAAACTAAATTTCAATTAAATCTGCTGATTTTCTTAAATATTGTAGTTTATGACCTCCTGAAAAAAAGTTTTCTTATTTGATTGACTTAAAGATTCACTGACATCTTACCATAAAAACCATAAAAAAATTTTTTATATAGAATTAGTATAAGGTACTTTACACAAAAATCAAAAGATAAAAATCAAAAGACAAAACTTGCTGTGATTGATAATACAATTAAATAATAATAAGCAAATACAATTATATATATATAGATCATACCTATTGGAGAATGAATTTTGAAGACCAATTGACGGCCCATTGAAATACATCCGAGTTTTCAAGGCGTTCATATTTTATATTCGTATTATCAATTCTCTTCTGCTTCTTTTTTTTAGTCGCCGCAATAATAATGATTTTCACCAACAGATTTTGCAGAAATTCTATCGTTGTAAATATTCCAACGCATGTATGCTACTTCACTGGTTATATAGATCTGTCCTTTTTAACTGAATTTTGGCTGTACTAATTCAAAGTTTATCTTTTTTATGCTGAAATGAAAGAGATAAACTCTGAGCTAGTGGAGCCAATTTAGTTTAAAAAAATAACACCATTACGTAAAAAATGACTTTATTATGTAACAGGACGCGAACTACGAAACTGCGAACAGCTGATCAAATACACTAACGTCAAAACACATGGCAGGCTCGTGGCATAATTCGTATTTCGTTGTAGAGAATTCTTGGAACTCTAAAAATTATATCATTTATTATCTGTATTTACATTAATATGCATAATCTATTATTATTAGGATTTTACTAATACTAATATTTATAATATATGATATATATATATATATATTTTTTTTTTATATATATCATATATATATATATATATATATATATGTGTGTGTGTGTGTGTGTGCTGTTTTGAATAAATAATAGAACTTGCATAGGCATGCGTGTATTATACATACACAACACATTATATTAGAGCAAAATAAAAATAAGGAGGGATAAAAAAATAAAGAACCTATTTATCTTCAGATTATTTTGTAAAAAAATGATTTTAAATTAAATTTTTTACACATTTCTACATGTTGCGCATGGTATATGTACACATATACATACATATACATCCAAACTAATTTGATTCCAAAGTATGACAATTATATGATTTGGGATAAATAATTAAATAATTATTGAAAAAAATTTTTATAATTGCTATGATGAAAAACGATTATGTTATCGATAAAGTATTTTACACAGGGCTTATCTTTGTTGTACATTTTCTCAATTCGGCAGTTATTTTTCCTTTATTACATATGTGATATATAAAATAATAATTATGCAACAGTAAATAATAAAAATACTGTATAATTGATATTGTAGTAATGCATTCAAATTGCAAATCAATAATAATAATTCTCCTGTTATTTCTCATTATATTACGTTTGAATTATCTTCTTATAATAATGTTTTTCTAATGATTACATTGCCTGATTTCTATATAAATAAATCATACTTTTTTACTAAAAAAAATAAGGCATTTCAAAGATATCTATTATTTCTTTTACAAAATTTTTGTAGCACTATCTTCAAATTTACATCCTACATAGAAATGTATACATATAATGTGAATTCTTGGATTTTGTACAGTCTCAAGTTAAAAGTCAATATTAAATATTATTCTTGTAAAACTAACATAACAATCTAGTCGACTATGGTGGAATACTCGTATGTATTCGAAGACCATGCATATCTTTAATTTCTTCTTTAAGTACCTGTAAGCATTCATAAAAGGAATTAATAACATTTCTACTGATGTAATTATGTTTCTCTTGAAAAAAGAATCATCAGATTTTACCTCATTAATGATTCGATGTTGTTTCACAGTATTTAGTCCTTTAAATTCTGGAGCAACCACATTTATGTCAAACATAGCACCGCATCCTCCTAAAATATAATTGCAATTATATATTAATGTAAGTAAATTTCTGATTATATCTTCCTTTTAAAAAAGTTGTGCTTCAAAAATATTATACAAAGTATGAAATAATTTTTACCTGAACATCGGTAACCTCGATCAGCTGAGCTTGAGGAAACCTGGTTCTTAGGATAGATATCATTTTTTTTTCAGCCTGTTTACCTGCAAGTACACCATTAGGTCCATTCCATAGTCGAGATAGTAACTGCAACAGTTTGGTTTTATTCATCTTTCTTATTGTAGTCTTCCCAAGTCTCATCACTTATCTATAGCATGCAAAACATTGCTCAAGAGGGATAAGGAGAATTGAGCATAGGATTTGTTAATTTCATCAAACTTTGAAAAATTTGTTTCATATCTTATTTCTTTACATTTTCTATAAATAAAATAATTATATATTAATATTTTATATTTTAATAAAGAAAAAGAAATAAATATAAAATATAATAAAATCTATACATATATAGTTGAACTATAAACAGAAAAGAAACCTGTTTACAAATATAATTTTTAAATAATATATATATATATATATATATATGTATATAATATTAATAAATAATACTCCTTATTTTCAAAAATGATTTTTTCATCAGTCTATTCTACAGTACGCTCAAAAAAATTATTTCTTATTGAATGCAGAAAATGCAGTATTTTATTAATAATTTTAAGTCCACATTACTCAATTAAATTAAAATATATATACTTTTCGCAGTCAATGTAATAAATAAATTGAAATTAAATGTAGCTAAGGGGCGATAGGATTTCAAGTGAAGTGCAAATGTCATACATGCACACGTGCAGCTCGATTTACCGATATGCTGCGAAAGCTTGACGTAAATACACGTGGAAACATAGCTAGATGAGACGCGGTTGTTCGCGCGTTTATTCCCCGTTTTCGAGATCGTTGACAGATAATTTTTCGACCAGGATCTCGAAGAGATCGACGGAAGTCGTCGCCGGTAAACTCGGACTTAACCTCCACTTCACTTCATTCCTTAGGTTAGATTAGGATACATTAAGTTAGGTCGGCGCCGATCAGCTGATCGCGCATTATCATATAAACGGAGATTATCTCAGGACCGCTTCAAGTTGTTCGCAAGCCATACACGGCTTCTTTTGTAATAGATTTGACGAAAGAAATCATAAATTATTTCGTAATATTTTAACTGATGTGAGTACGATTTTGTCTTCCAAATTGCTCGTTTATATTTTAAATAAACATTAAAATGCATACGTAAATTTTTGTAAAGAAAAATATAATAATATACGTAAATTTTTGTAAAGAAAAATATAATAATATATATAATTGACAATTATATATAAAGATATATAAAATTGACATAATTGAAAATTATTTTATAAATCCATAATCTAATTCACAACTTATAATAGAGCCTATATTTATATAAACATAGATATATAGATTTATAGATTTAATGATTAATATTATGATGTAATAAATTTTTGCTTCGAAATGTATAATATCTAATTTTTGGTGCCCCAAAGATGCCTAAAGCCTCGAGTTCAGAAATAAAACGCCATCTGTTCAGTCATGGGCGTCTGTGATTGTGATCTGTGGATGTGATCTGTCCATATGGTACAATGTCCGGGGAGAAGAAGACGCAGTATTCAGAGGCGAAAGATGACTCGCCACGTGCTGCAAGCGAAGCTAAAACGCACTGTGCTTAAACGTTGAATTCGTTATTCTTCATTTTACGCTTGACCTTTGCTCCGTGAAACATATGCGGACTTTGTGCATAAAAAAGGAGCATCCGCCATAAGGACAAAGCCGAAACTTTGCTAACAAATTTCAATAGTTGGACATTCGTGATATCGCATCCAACAATGGATTATTTAACAGGCGACACCGAGTGGCTCAACAACGACTTGGTTTTGTCGACCGCACCGAGTCCTTCGGCTACACAGAATGATAGAACTCGAAGAGGTAATGTTATAGTGTGTAATATCAAGTATTATCTCAACCATGTTAATCATTTTCGTTATTATTATATTTAAGATTTGATATGATTGCCTATTAATTAGTAAAAATCAATTGAAATTAAATAAATTAATATCCTCACAGTTTCCTCTGTTTATTTAAATTATAATAATGTAACAAAGAATGATAATATCATGAAGAGAGATTTGTGGAAGAGATAATAATGAGATAAAGCAGATTTCTTTAAGTCATTTTCCTATCTCAGGTGCTGGGATCTTGGGAACAATCTTTTTAATTGTGAACACTACATTAGGCGCTGGTTTATTGAATTTTCCACAGGCCTTTGATAAGGCAGGTGGAGTAGGAACCTCTGTCATAGCGCAGTTTGGTTTTCTTATATTCATCACAGCTGCGCTGGTAATACTAGCCAGTTGCAGCGATAATACAGGCAGCAACACCATGCAAGATGCGTTTGCCTCATTGTGCGGATATAAATCGCTTATTTTCTGTGGAATTTGCATAGCTATTTATAGTTTTGGTTGCTGCTTAACGTTCTTGATAATTGTTGGCGATCAATTTGATAGAGTCTTTGCCACATATTACGGTCTCGATTATTGTCACACTTGGTAATTGTCCCATAATGATAAGAAAAAACAATATAGTATAAAATGTTTTCTTCAAACTATAGGAAGACTATTTAAAATATTACAGGTATTTATCCAGACCATTTGTGACAGCTTTGTCCAGCAGTATATTTATATTGCCTTTGTGCTTTTTTAAAAGATTGGACGTTTTGAGTTACGCAAGCTCTGTTGGATGCATAACTGTAATATATGTTATATGGTTGATAATTTATAAGAGTTTCACACATCAGGCTGATACTGTACCATCTATAAAAATTTGGCCAGACAATGGATACGAAATTCTACACATAATACCAATCATTTGTTTTGCTTATCAGGTATTTGAGTTTTTAATTTATGCATTATTTCATATTTCTCCTTTTTTAATGTTATATTTGAATATTATATTAATATTATATTAATATTTTTTATTTTAGTATTATATGATATGATTATATTATGATATATATTATCATTTTATATATATATATGATATATATCTCATAAATTTAATATAAGTCTTATATTATATATATATATATATATATATATATATATATATATTAAAATATATTAAATATATATTTTTAATATAAGTTATATATTAAGACTTATATATTATTTATAAGACATATACATAATACTAAAAACAAATTATCATTAAAATGATACGTGTATAAGTGTATGCATATATTATGTATATTTAACACAGAGCCACATGACCGCAATACCAACTTATGCCTGTATGAAGGACCGTCATCTAGGCAAGTTCACATTCTGCGCTGTGATCAGCATGCTGATCTGTCTTGGTGCATATAGCATCGTCGGGTACTTCGGCTATCTTACATTCGGCAGCGGCAAGGTACCGAGCGATATCCTGCAAGGCTACACCGAGAAGAGCGTCGTGCTGACCGTGGCGATAATTGCGATCGCTGTCAAGAACTTCACCACTTATCCTATCGTCCTCTACTGCGGACGAGACGCGCTTCTCGGTATCTTCAACATTGACCTCGATCGAATCGGCGTTCGGGTGATTGTCACGTTGATCTGGTTCGTCGCATCGTTGGTCATCGCTATTCTTGTGCCAGATATCTCGTCCGTTATCAACTTACTGGGAGCATTGTCCGCGATGTTCATCTTCGTGCTGCCAGGTATCTCCCTCCTGCAAAACATTCTTCTCAAGGACCCGGAATTATACTTGAACAAAAATCGCCTGTTGATCGTCTTCGCAATTTTCCTGACCGCCCTCGGTGCCTTTGTATGCGGCGTCGTATTTGTGGAGACTCTTCAGGATCTCTACAAAACACCGTCCAAGTCGCCTCCACTAGTCACCGGTTTTAGACAGTTTAAAGAGAGCCTATGCGTTTGAACATTACGTTTACTATTACTAGAAATATAGACTTTGCGTATTGTACCTGAGTCTATGCGTTTGAACATTACGTTTACTATTACTAGAAATATAGACTTTGCGTACTGTATTATATAATCTCTGCGAGACTTAAATTTTTATTATAGTTAACGACGATTTATCTCTATCTTACGATTAGCTGTGTGCCATGTTGTCTATAGATCGTACATGCGGAATCGAAACACCGATGGGAAACACAATTGGGAAAGAAAATTTGTAATTCTGCCATATTTTTTTTATCTTTTGTAACGTTCAGATTGAAAAGAAAAAGACTGATATATATATATATATATATATATATATATAAAATTTTTATTAGTAAGTTTTTATTAATAAGTTTTTATTTTATGAATTCACGTGCGTAACCACTTTGCGTAAAATTAAATTTTTTTTATATCTTTGTCTTCCATTGCCAAATTCGCTCAATACAACCGACCGATATATTATATACTTGTAGATATATGAATAAAGAAATTCTTAATATTTTATATATAATTTTTCTCTCTCTCTCTCTCTCTCTGCTGTTCATTTTATCCTAATTTTTACAGAACTCATCATGATAAAAATTATATGATAATTTTATGAACACTCGATACTTGACGCAACGAGTAAATATTGCGAGGATTACAGAATTCTTTAATACAGTATATGCAACCAGTGAGATGACTTTTATCACTGGATCAAGAAGTCGCTCTCGATATTGCAAACTCACTGATAAAATCGTGCAACGTGTTCCCGCTTAGATCTTCGACTTTATCTATGGTCGCTTTACAGAAAAAACACTCCCTCGTGTTGAGTAAATGACGATCTATGCAGGTACGACACGTCTGATGATTGCACGGTTTAAACGTGACGGCGATCGGGAATGCGTAGCAAATCGTGCACGTATCATCGTCGTCGCTTATCAATTTGGTATCGGGTAAAAGTGTGCGGCAGGTATCGAGATATTTAATCATCTCTGCCACTCGGCTAATTTCCTCCGTCATCACGTCTTCCTGATCTGTGAAGAAAAGACGAAATAAGATTGATTAAAAGAAGTTGTTAAAAAATTAGTACTAGATAGGATAATATTATGCACGTATTACTTACAATTTAACAATGAAAATGGCTTTACATTTTTCGTCTTTGTATTTTTCAAGTTTGTGTCACCCAAAACAAAATATAAAGAACTGATCTGGAAGCTCGGTTCTGTCAATAAATTTCGCGTGATTCTGGGCACTTCAATCGTCGGTTTCTCTGATTAAAGGAAAAAACGATTATTGAGATTCATTTTATATCTTATCTTTTTTTTTACAAATTGTAATACTTGCCTGTAAAATCCTTCATCTCCTTTTCAAGAAGAGCTAGTAGAATTCCAATAACGGCAGCTAATATAGGAAAATGATCTACGGATTCTAAATCCGGTATCTCCAACAGCACCACATGCTGAAAACAACTCGTCTGCGAGCTCATTCTATTCAACACTTGACAGAGCAGCTGAAATCACGACGTAGTCGTAGTAATTTGAGCATAGGCATTTGCTACTAGATAACATCACGCACTCACTTGACACAATCTGGCCAGTAAGGTCTCGCTGGAAGACTGCGTAGGATCGCTAAACACGCCTGGAGCTACCGTAGAGATCATCTCCAACACTCGGAGCAACGAAATCGCCAGGTCGAAGCAGGTGGCGCAGATCTTCAATTGCCTCGACTCGATAAACACTCGCTCCGGTCTCGACGAAACGTTGTGAATCTCCTGCACCATCCCGATGAACTCGGAGAACGCCCAATTGAGCTGATTCAAGAGCGAGTTCAAGAATTGCGTGGTTGCTTGTGAATTTCCCAACAACACATCTCTCACATGTGCCTGGTACACTGCCGATGGACACGGTTCTGAAATCAATCTCGAAGATACTAGGTCTGTTCTTTTCAGTTGAACTGGCTGCATTAGTTCAGAGTTGATCTTTTTTCTTAACGTTAGAAGAAAAAAGATCAACTCTGAACTAGTACAGCCAGTTCAGCTGAAAAGAACAGATACATTAGTATTTATCTGCAATATATATATTAGGTCTGTTCTTTTCAGCTGAACTGGTTGCACTAGTTCAGAGTTTATCTTTTTACTTGACATTAAAAGAAAAGAGATCAACTCTGAACTAGTGCAGCTAATATATATATATATATATATTGCAGATAAATACAAACAAAGTTTTACAATAAAAGCAATAATTCTCTACGTTAAAAAAGAAAATGACGTACTTATTGGCTGAGAGATAGATTCTTGCTGCAACAGTTTCGGGCCAACCTTCTTCGAGAGATGCGGACTCTTGTCGTATCGGAAGGCGAAGCCGTGGCCCTGCCAGAATCTGACCAGGACCCAATTGGACTGCGCCCATGCTCTATTCTCGTAAGGCTTGAGCAGATTCGTGACAACCTTTATCCTGCTTTCGCGAGATACGTTTTCCAACGCCTCCAAGGTCAACGGATTCGATACAAAACCCGCGAGTGTAAGGATCAGGACATCTTTGGAGTTGGCGTGTACTATGCGCGGATCGAGGAAGTGATCGCATAGGAACTCGGCGGAGTTTCGTAGCATGTCCCGATAATCCGGGATGTTCTCGATCGGCGCGGTAGGATGCATATGGGCACGTAAACTGACGCAGAGATCGGATAGGGTCTCCAGATAGAAATCAGGCACGAAACTGAACGTGCAGCCCTGCTGGCTGGCGGTCTGCAGGGTCAAGGTGACGACCTTCAGCAGCCAGGCCAATTGCGCTTGCTTCTCCGCGGAGTACACCGCTGCCCTGATCCACGCCATGTGTCTCGCTTGCTCCGATAGTTTCTTGTTGAATATATCCGTCGTGCGGAGCAGCTCCCTCTGAATCGCTTCCGCGTCGAGATCCTTCGGGATCGTCTTTTGTTCAACGTACTCGAGCCTCGCCTTGGTGTCGGCGATCGCGTTGACGTACGCGGACATGCTGTCACGTAGACTAGCTACCTTAGCCAGCTGCTTCTTCGCCGCCACGTGATAGAACAAGATAATACCGTCTAACAATTCCGTCAACGAGGTCACCGGATCTGCGGGACCGTGACGTATCGGAGTCCTGTCTTCTCTAGTGTGCGCAAAGAATCCGAATCTCTCCAGTATCATAGAGCTACCTTGATTACCCGCCGTAGACGGATTGATGTTAATTAGACGCGGGAATACGGCCGCAGGTATGGCCACTGGCAAGTCGGCCAACGGCCTCATGCCGCTGGCGACCACAGCGTATGCATTATTCGACGCCTCATGCGTAGCCGTCGTCGTGGTATTCTGTTGCTGCTGTTGGTCCATAGCAAGAATTACCTCATGATCCGGACCTAGGAGGCGTAGCAATTCGTTCTTGAATGTCTTGTTTAAGTGGGTTATTACGCCGCCGAGTCTGTCGATTCCAGAGTAATTGATCGATGCATCGTAGAACGCCCTGCCCATTCCAATTTATAAGGAATTTGCTATTACGTAAATCAAACGTCGCTCAATAATACTTGCGAGTAACGTATGAATGTATGATAAAGCGAGTGCTTATTATATATACTCAGAAAGGAGAGAACAAAAAGATCTACTCCGAAATATATATCGTTGTGCGCAAAAATTAAATGCAAGCGTTCAAGCGTTTCACGATATATAGTAGATATGTATAAATATATATAAAAATTATTGCAAATTTTATGTATAGTAAAATATAGTATGGTAAAAATTTCATGTAAGAGATACAAGATGAACTGATTGAAGGTGTCTACGTTACTAAAGTAGAGAGACTGTCGAGAGTCCTTTTGCAAGTACGTGTTTCACACAATTCTTGTAGTAATGCCTTATCACCTGCAGGGTATATAGACCGGGCTTGTTCCAATTTCAGTATCCCATAAAATTCTGAATGCAACCAGAAGCCGATGAAAGCAACATAATGTGATCGGCAAGGGTGTCTAGAATTGGTAAAACGTCTGGCAGGTGACTGAAGGCTCGATAATTACACGGACGATTCGCGCATATAAGAGAATACCTCTTCGTATCATATTTTGTATACTTACACGACTGGATATCAAATTCTCCTGAACGAAGCGTTTAAACTTTCTCAAAAATATAGTCCTCGACGCTGGTCTCTTAGCCGTTCCATCGCTATTATTTAACAGAGTGACTAGTAGTTCGACTTGTAACGCTTCCACCTCTATACAAAAAAAGTAAAGATGATGTAATTAGTTAGTCTTAAAAAATACTTCAAAATATTCATTTTTCAGAAAATACTAAATAAGATTCGATAGCATTGGACACAAATATGTATGTGAATTTCTTTATCATTTTATATAATTATTGCTTCTATTAGAAATAATAAAACTGTTTTTAAATAAATTAAAGTGATTCAATCGCATAAATACATAGTTAATACAAATAATTAACAATATATGAATAATTATAATTAAATATAAATGTCTCAAAAGTAACTTAATCATACCGGATATGGCAGCTTTGATACGCTCACAGGCAAATAAATAATTGGTTTTGTTCATCTCAATCGATGGATCCAAAGGATTCGTCTCCCACCAAACCTGCTCCACCACGTTCGTGAGTCCACCTTCGTCCAGAGGTTTCACGTGCACAAAATTAGCGAAACGCACGCGATCGAACAGGACGTATTGCAGCAAATGTTGACGCGTAACGGTGTGCTGACAAATCCTCGTCAACAGCATCAGGCTTTTGCACTGATCCGGATATTCGAGCAGTAGAGAAACGTGTCGGAAGGCGGACAACAAGTGAAGCACCGTGCTCTCCAGGCACATCTTGATCTCGTGCTCCTCCAGGAACGCCCACAGCAGATCCAGACAGATAATCGGCCGCGCGCTGCGACTATTCGAGTACACGGACTTCGTCGAAACATCGTCCGTGCTCACATCGCAGAGCCTCCGCATGAAGGGTACGAAAACCGCATCAGTAACGTAGGGAACTGTAAGCAACGGGCCGATGTGCTTCAAGATCGATCTCGCCAGACACATGAGGAATCCTTGGACGCTCAATATCTTGTCTTCCAATAAGACGTTTTGCTTGTCGGGTTTATTTTTACAGTGTTCGAACAGTTCGATCACTTGCGAGAACCATTGAAAAAGAAGTACGGCTTGGCGAACTTGCGTCGTCGGCGGCGCCTGCAAAGGTTCGTAATCCTCTACGGGATATCTGAACGGTATAGAGCCGAAATTCGCCGTCAAGTTCTCGGTGAAAGCTAAGCTGACAGTAGGAAAGTACGCGATTCCGGCGCCCATCGATATATTCTCGAACGCCTTGCCCAGACTCTTGCCGTTCCTGTAGAAGTTTATCGTTCCGTCATCCATGTCCAGTGCGCAGCCGATAATATCCCCCGTCAACCAGGATTCGCCGTACTTGTGCGTGGTTACATTCCACTTCCTCACGCGATTTCCGTCGTAAGCATACGAGTTTGGGGTGTCTCCTGATAAAAGAAGGAAGAAATAGGAACAGCTGAGATAAAGCAATCCTTGTGAAACTGAACAAATTATTTAAACTATAAATAAAATATAATAAATTATACAAATAAATATAATAAATAGATATAAAACATAGATATAAACGTAAAATATAAATAAAATATAAAATAATATTCATGTTTTCTTCAAAAATTATAAGTATAGTGACAAATAAAGGTGCTATATGATATTTCAACCTACCAACGCCATATTGTTGATTAAATTTACATTGAGCAGTTCCCCATCCAACTTGCATCACTCCTTTGGATCCTAGTTGCACCTCGTACATCCATTTTCCCTTGAATACTCCTGTATTAGCACGCATCGTGCTAAAACTACTCTGCGAATTGACGCTTAATCTGTCAGGGGAGACAATACAAAGACCGTGGTGCATAGATACGTCGAATCTAACGACATGGGGACCTATTCGACCCTCTCTGTTATCCTCTGAATTTTGGCTGTCAATATATAAATTCAATAAAGATCTTCTAATGTACTCATTCACCTGGGTCAAATTCTGCATTAATCTGAAACACCATAAAAACATTTTGGTTAACAAAATAGATTAATAATGTGAAAAGAAAGAAATATTATTAACGAAAAAGGAGAGAAAAATCAATATAAATATATACAGCCTATATATTTTCGCGTGTTACGTCTCCTTAGATTTCACAATAATTTAGAGCAAAATTAAAGTAACAGAAGAGAAGAAAAATTATAAGAAAGCAATGGAATTTGTAGTATTTAAAAATAAAACAGAGATATGTTTAGACCTTGGAAGATTAAAGAGTAAAGATACTGAAAGATGAGCGGGTCAGAAACCGAGAAATTCCTACCTCGATCTCTGTGCGGGATGCTCCTCTTTAACGGTGACGACGCGAGGCTCGACGACGCTCGCGCCGAAGATCCTGCAGACGATCTCGTCCGCGTCCATCGCTGCCACTGGAAATTTATCGGCGAGACAGGCAGGTTAATTCGGTCCTCGACGCAACATCGTCGCGGTCATGTTTTTTCAAAGAATTCCGCAACCAGGGTCGTTTCATTCGCCGCGTTAATCGTCGTGGCAACCTACAGCAAGGGCAGGTGATAAGGAGATGATTGATAGACGACGTCTCACTTATCTCAAACTCGTATTGTACGAGCAAAACCTGTCGACGTCGCCATGTCCGCTGTCTTGCACGACGACGACGACGACCGACGACGATGACGAAAATCACTGCCCGCCGCGATTATTCTCGTTATTGATGAGGAATAACAGAGGCAACGCGCGCGCATGACGTGTCACGCGTCTGGCGCGAGAGTGGAGGGGATATCAGCTGATGCATCAGCCGATGAACAGCGCGCGTCAGTAAGAATGTATTCTTGCTCGTAAAATTTGGAAAAAAATATAAAATATTTATGTACATGATTCAAAGCTTATCAAATTAATAATTATTTGCTTAACTATCATTATACATATACATATATATATATATAATTTATATGTACGTATTATAAATTAAAAATTAAATTGAGATAAGATAATCCAAATTATATATTTTTTTAAATTATATTTTAAGTATATATATTTAGTTAAAAATTGTAAAAAGTAAATATTATTTGTACGTGATTACATTCCATTTCTTTAAAATACAGAATTCAGCAAATCTTTCTTTCATACATAGATATTAATAAATTAACTCTATACAGTTAATATGTATGTATTAAATTAAAAATTAAAATAAAAACTTTTTCAGCAATGATTGCTGAAATTTTGTTCAGCAATCTTTCTTTCATATTAATACATAGAAGTTAATAAATCAATTCTATCAATTAATATTGTTAATACATAAATCTCTCGTACCTTACTCCCTTTATCAAGTCGAGGACTATTAAATAAGAAAACTTTCTGGAAATGCCAAGATGTGATTCGGAATAGATATACGAAAGGATACGCTATATCAATAATCGGATAAATAAGCACACTTATAATATAGTATACAGCCTGTAAGTTCGTTTATTACGATATCCATATGTGTCATTAGCCTTAACGGGAGAGATTATCGATTAAGCTATTACACTCCTCTCGGATCATCCACTGATAAGACGTGGCTACGCTAAATTATTAAATTACGTTTTACAGATTCGTTTAAAAATCGTTATCGTTCGGCGCGCGATAGGCGTCGTATAAAAAAAAATAATAAAAGAAAAATACGAAGACGGGAGATCACTATACAAAATATTACGCAGTCCACGGATATAAGGTAATTTAAAAAAAAAAAAAAAAAAAAAAAAAAAAAGAGTAACGAAGGGAGAAAGGTAACACTTAAAACCGAAACCGTGAAGATCGGAAAGAGTTATTTTTACAGTCAACGGGGAGCGTATCCTTGGCTTTGGTATTTCTTTAGTGCGGTGGGTTATAGAGCGCCTGCGATGCTCAGCGAATCCTTGCATCGGTCAGTGTTATTGCATATTTATATTTTAAATTATTTGGCCGACGACGATTCTCCGAGATATGCATACATATATCGCATATTTCAGAACCATTGCCGAATTTTTTGACAGATGACAAAAGAATCGGTTTATCCTCGACTGAAAAACTTGTAAATTAAAAAAAAAAAAAGACTTTTCGCATGAAGAATTTTTTCCATGAGTTTATAAAAATACTTAATATCGAGTATTAAAAAGAGAAAAGACGGAGCACAGAGGAAAGCTCTAAAATTCGATTCCGAATCTGTCAAAGATTGATCGTTTTAAAATTAAAAGCGGAGGGGTTTCTCGCGTTTAAATTTTACAAAATATCGATAAAAATATATTTATATATATATATATATCGCAATAACACCGACGACGTGGGGACCGCGTGCTAAACATTTAATCGATACACACATAAAGTTGAGATGGGCGGGAAGAGGTTCTCTTCGCGAATTCGCTTATATAAGGTATACATTTCAAGTGTGTTAATTGCGTATACGCTATTAGATGACGAGTACAAGTTTCTCTTCTTTTTCGATCAATTATAGGGAGAGGCAAATACGCGGGAGTACGTCGAGGTGTTACAGAAAGTGTCTTTTTTTTCCTCTTCTTCAGCTTTCTTCTTTTATCTTCTTCCTCCTCTTCCTCTTCTCTATACGACTCGTTGATATCGGAATTACGATGAGAAACGGCTCGTCGACGCTGCGTCAATCGATAAATACTCGCGTCGCCGTCGCCGTCATTATATATTTATATATATATATCTATATATAATCATCTAGCTAGATTCTTCTTCCCCTTTATCGCGGATATATCGAACATCGCTGTTTGGATTAATTAGTACCTATAATTAAGACGGTACGCGGTATACATATAATATAACGCGTCCTATTATTATAATAGACTTATCGATAAAAGTCGCGGGACTCGTGGGACCCTCTTCTCTCTCTCTCTTTCTTTCTTTCTTTCTCATTCACTCACTTCCGCTCTAGAACGCGAGGAAATTCTGACCTCGCGTCCAGAGGAAATTAATCGATCGATCTGGCGAGAAAGCTGGGGAAACAGCTGTTTTCTCTTTTTCCGTTCTTTTTCTTTTTGCCTTCTGTCAAACTCATACGTAACACTCGTTCATGTATAAAGGAACCTTCGAACACGACAATATACTCGTCAAGACTGGCGACAGCAGGAAAATCTATTTACTGACACATATATATGCGGGCACGCGCTAAAAAATAAATTACATTATGTCGTCCAACATTAGAAATTCACGTTCTTCGATGCTACGTCTCTCTTTCTCCCTCTCATTCTTTGTTTCCTGTTCTCTTTCTCTCACACATACACGCATGCACACTCTCTCTCTCTCTCTCTCTCTCTTTTGCTGTTTTCATTTTTTTTTCTCTTATTCTTATCTTCGCTCGATGACTAGAAACATTACTTCGCGCGGATCATTTGGTAAAAAAATTATGCGAAAATGGAAAACATCTGTAGAAAAAATAAACTCGGCCCCGCAAGGATAGCGCCGTGGTCTCTCTAGTTCTGCGTGCGAATTTTACTCTCTCAACACTTGGGAAAAAGTGTAGTTTTTGTTTGATTGCAGCACGCGAAATTGATCGCACCGCGCTATACCGCGGCAGCTCCTTTCCTCTCTTCAACTTCGGGCACGATAATTAATACGGTAGAAGTCCTCGCGACTGGGCGGAGTAACTGGTCGATGGGACGTGTGTGGTCGCGCTTCAACATCGTTCGAAAATCTACACGCTACCGTCTCGAAATCTCCTTGGCGAGATCTAGAAGGTCGATCTCTATCCATCTCTCTTTCATCGAAAGCACGATCGGTCTCGGCTTAGACGCCTCCCTCGGCAATAGCCTAGTATTCCTAGTTTAACATTGTTTGTCAATTAAATTTGCAATTCCACGTACGGTTTCTTTTCGCGCATGCATGAAAAGGAAGGCGGTTATTGTCAAGTTGCATCGTTCGAGAGCGAATAACTTGCGTAAAATATATAAGATTACATAGGAGGTATGGGGGGATATAGAAGGGGGAGAGAGTCGGCGAAAAAGGAGTAGACTTTAAAAGTCGAGAAGAGAGCTCGAATTCCCTTTGAAAGCTCGAAATTGGACTCGCGTCTTCTCATCGTTCGTCGAATATATCCTAATATCTCGGCGATCGCCGGGGGACCCGACCGCGATTTAATACAACGTCAAAGCTGCTCTCTCAGCTGTACGATTATGGCAATCTTTTTTTTTTCGCCTCCTATTTTTAATTGGCCTGTTCCGCGCTTTGCGCTTGTTTCTCGATCTTGCGCGCAAGCTCGGGGCTCATGTGCGGATGCGGGAACGGCATCACCGGTTTGCGCAGGATCGTCGGCTTGACCTTGACCTGCGGCTTGAACGGCGACACCATCTGGCTGCCGCCGGTCAGATGCAGCTCGGCGAACTTGGCGACGATCTTGGGGGTGGAACGCGGCGGTAGGGGTGACCTGAGCGGCAGGTTGACCCCACCCCCACCGCCACCCTCCCCCCCGCCGTCGACGGCGATCTGATTCGAGCTGGCCGACCGGATGATCTCGTCGTTCTCCGCGTCAACGACGACGACGACGCCGTCGTGCTGCTCCGCTGTCGTTTCGATTCGCTTCAGCTTGCCACCGGCGATGGGTGTCTCCGCTGTGCTCGCGCTCTTCGTGTTCTTCTTCAGGGTACACTGGTTCTGCTTGGCGAAGCGCTCGGCGGCGGTGCTCATATCCGGTGACTCCGGACCGCCGGTCGGCGACGTGGCGGCTTCCGCTCGCGAGGGAACCGCTTGTTGCTGCTGCTGCGGCGGCAGCAACGACGACATCATCATCGTCTCGTCGTCCGAGCTACTTAGACTGCTAGACGACGCAGATTTCTTGCCGACAGGATCCTGCGCGGACAGCGGTAGATCCATCACCAGGTCCGGCGTATGCTTCTGCCGCATCTCGCGGAATTCCTGAGACACGCGAGAATAGGACGACGATTTCGGAGTAACGGGAACCACCACCGTCGCGTTCAACAACTGGGTCTGCGAGGTGGCACGACGCTGCCAGAGCTCGCGATTCGCCGAGAAGTTCGGCATCTGTTCCGGCTGCGACTCGTCGTCCGGGGTCTCGGACGATGACGTCGTCGTCGACGTCGTGGTCGTCGTTGCCGTGCTCGTCGTCGCCAGGGAATTCGACAGCTGCTGCTGTTGCTGCCCCATCATGCTCTCGCCGACGCTCTGCGACTTCCAGTGCTGCTGCTTCCGGCTGGCGCCGCGCTTCGACGCGATCCCGTCCAGGGACGAGATCGCCGAGAGGACGTTACGCTCGACCGTGACCTCCTCGTTCACGACGACCTCCTCGTTGCCGCCTCGTTGCTTCAGCTGAACCGAGTTATCTCCACCGTCGACGCACTCGATGCTATCCTCCGACGAGAGCTGGGAAACCGGACCGTCCAGGTTGTTCCGATGATGATGTCTCTCGTTCTCCGTCGGGGTTGACACCCTGACCAACCTCGACCCGCTCACGGGATTGTCGGCCTGCGAACAATCACGAGAACCAATCGTAGCCAGGCTTGAAGCGTGCGCGCTCGTGGGGAATTAAATAAGGTGTAATGTATATGTGTTGCCTGAGCGAAGCCGACAGACGAGTCTCGTTTACTATTGCGGGGGATACGCAGATACTACGGAGTCGTCTTGATCTATCAGCGATCGTGCGCGCTGTAATGAGATACGAATTATTGTCGAATTATTATCGAATCACGTTTCTCTTCGTGTCTATATACAGGGAATCTCGCCACTACCGGATGTACTTTCGATCACATGAATAAAAAAGCTCTTCCTTCTTCTTCTTCTTTTTCTTATATTTTAACATCCATTTTTAGAGTTTATATAAATTACTGGAAAAATTTATCTTTCTCTGAACATTTTTTTATACCTCTAACAATAGATATAACTTATCTTGCTTGATATTTTAGTTCTTTTAAATTAAATTATGCTTGTGTATATACTTTAATATCAGAAAACATAGCAACGAATAATTGTCGATTATATTCGCGGGCAAAAAAATCGAGAATAAATTTGTACAAAGGAATATGTGGCTAAAAGGCCATCCAATAGCAGTAGAACACCCTGTATACGATTCTCCATGTAACAACGTGTAGATAAAAATTGGGACAATGAGTGAAGTAATTCAATGAAAAATTTACAACTGCACGATACAACGATAACGTGAGATATAAATACATAAAAGGGGATTGTGCCGAGATCGATCTGACAAAATATAAGTATATATTATATATACTCGATCAAAATTGTTTTTAAAGGTCTCCATCCAACAACAATTGCGTTGTCTCATCGTAAGGTGAGATGAAAAATTCACAACTTTACCATTTTAAACACGAGTGATCTAAAGAGAAGTAAGAATTTTCGAGACTATAAATTTTTGAAAGACTTACACAATCGCTCGCATGCAACAAAAATTGACGCACAAATATTAAAGGGGTACACATACATAAAACAGTACAATCTATGTGTAAGACGATTAATAAACAATCTATGGGATTAAAAACTGCTCGTAAAACTGCTAGAAACACAAACGTATTATCGATGTTACGTATGGATTAGTTTACCTATTTCTTTTTATTGTCCGGTGGATTAATAGAGTTAGACTATAGAGTTATTGCATTGGGTGAGATTACTCTCATTACTCACCTCGGAAGTCGAAAGGACATCCGCTGGAGACAAGCAGGCCCCCCCTATTCCTTTTGATCTCATCAACTACAGAACGAAGAGAGAGATTCGCTCTGTGGAGAAACTTTAGAAAATTGTCACAATATCGACAAGAATAAAAAGAAAAAAAAACGAACACACTCTCCCGTCGAAATCTCGATATATCGCGACACAAACAACAACGACAGAGTAATCGCACAGCTAACAATAACACTGGCGGTCAGTTTTATCGAACAGTTTTTAGTCCGCGTTTCGCTCTGCGTGTATATATATGCACGTGCGGCGCGAAACGGCTTGGCTTCTCTCGTTAACTAAAGGGCCAAGAGAGACTAAACGTATATCTGGAAAAACACAGCACAACCATCCAAACCATTAAAACAGTCGTTTATAAAAAAAGGAAAAAAAGAACGCAATGGAAAATAAAAATTCGAACTTACACACGCACACATACGCAGTAGAACGGTGCAACAAAGGACACAGGCGGCGCAAGACAACAACCATAAGGCATGCAGCACAGTATATGTGTATATATATATATATATATGAACAAGTATATTTATATTTTATTTACAGAATTATGTATATCGTACAAATTCTCGTATAAAATCTATAAAGTACTTGCAATTCCGGGGTTTACGTTAACTTAAAATTCTCTCATGCGCGTAAAAATACTCCCCCACGTCTCGTCGTCTTCCCTAATGTATGTATCGCTGCGTTTTATCAATTCCGTATTTACAAAGTTTTAGATTTATATATCTCAGAATCGCACGGCAAATAGTATCATTTTGTTATTAAATTACTTCGATTTTATCGTTCCTAATTTTCTTTTCTTTGAAAAATCTCTTCACGTAAAGTATTTGTTTGCAGTCTATTGCGAGTAAAGATTACAGAACGAAGCGATGCATGGATCTGATATGCGAGTGCAGTGCGCAGGCTAAAGAGAAATTTCGTGTAAACAATTCTACGTGCATCCAAACGCGCGGTTTCGTTTACGGAGATATAATAGAGACGAAAAAAAAAAAAAAAAAATTAAAGTTGCAGCTCTCTGCATAGCCATGCACCGAGGTGTGCGCTTAAAAGAATACGACGAGACGATAAAATCCACGGTGTAACAGCGTCACGGGTATGCACAGGGGTGACCAACCAGAAGCGAGAACGAACACGAAGAGGGGAAGAGAACCGGGACACAGATTAAAAAATATCAAAATCAACTCTATTAAACGGTGGTTTCCAATACCTCTCGACTGATGATCGGCTGCGCCGACGAAATGCAGGGCACATTCGCCACGGACGCGATAATACCGCTGGCATTACTATTGTCCGTTATTATGTTCGTCGTGGCGGACGACATGTCGGACGCCGCCCCGGACGACCAGGTGCTCGGATTCGCCGACGGGCCCATCAAGGGTGAGTTGTTGCTCGATAGGACACTATCAGCCGAGCTGGACGCTCTTCTGCGCATGGATTCCTCGCTGGATGATTTTAAAAGCTCCTTCTCACGCTCCTCATCTCTAAGAAAAGAATGTGCCAACGAAATAATTAGAAATTGGCTAAATATAATAAATTTCAACTTGAATTATAATTATATTTAAACAATAAATTGATTTAAATATATTTTATAGATAATTGAATTTAATACTACAATTTAAATAATACTAACTTTATCTTGAGCATGATATATTTGTCAGGAATCAATCCCTCTCTGCCGGCTAGAGCACCTCGCCACCAATCATTACTAACTTGCGTGTATAACGTCAGAGTGTCGCCCTTCTTGAAGCTCAGTTCTCTCTCAGATCTCGCATTAAAGTCGAATTGTGCTGTCGCTTCGAGATTCTCAGATTCTAAAACAGATATACATTTTTATGACAATACTTCCAACTTGTATATCAAACAGAATATATTCGAAAAGTGCATTACCGTCTTCGGATGGGTAAACTTCTGAATCCATATCTTCTTGAACTTGATCCGTCGGCGAATCACCCACGTCCCTAAAACCATGAGAATCATCCATATATAACAGAAATTCAAGAAACATGCATAGAATGATCGCGACGTCTGATTAGATATTCTTTTTACGATATGTTTAATAATAAATAAAACTGCTTACGCATCATCAGGCTCTCTGCTGATATATTTTTCATATTGAGTACCACCGATATCCTCCGGGAAGATCTCTTCGCAGAATGTGATGATGTTCTTAATAAGCTCGTTAACTTGATTCTGGTATTGAACCTGATCCTTATCTTCGGGAACGGGCACCAGGGTCGGGCCGAAGCAGATTGCCAAGTTGTACGGATCCATCATATTCTCATCCGAAAACTCCGACAGACTATTCAAGCGTAAAATTAAAATTGAAATCCGACACAATTCCACACATTCTTCATAGAGCGACAATACTTACTGGTTAAGAAAAGCAAAGAGATACCGCATGACGATCACTACCGGCCTCGGCAGACTCGCTATCAGCTCCTTCATCTTATTGACAAAGTCCTGTTTCGACTCGAGTTGCGCAAGCTCCATTAGATGCTCGAAGTAAATGATAGGGAAGAGCGGTTCACGTAACTCCCTCAGGTAGAGCTTCAATACCCCGGCGACGCTGTTAATATCCGAAGCGTCGGTCACATCTGCCAGGGGGTCCTCGCCGCGCTCGAACCACTCGCGGAAATTGTTGATCTCCACCTGCGAGCCTGAGACGCGGAAAATACCCTGATGGTGCAAGCCGTACAGGTTGATGACGCGAATGCAACTTTTCATGATCAGCGGTATCTCCTGATTCGTGGTCTCCAAGTACTCCTCCAGCGAACCGCCGAACAGCTTCGGCTGGCCGTTCATCTGTAGACGGCCGATTCGCTTGCGACGCGCCTGCTTCTGCTTTGTCGCGGAAATCGACGGATTCGGACTGGCGTTCGAGCCATCCAGCAGACTCTGCCGGATGTACTCCTGCTTTGCATCTAGCCTTGCTATTCTCGACGTGCCGAGAAGATACTCCCTGAATTTCTGCAAACACCAAAGTCAAAAGTGTCAATATCCTTGATGATAAATCACATGTTTTCCATGCCGAAGAAAGATTGACGAAATATATTACTTATTATACCAATCGTTTTACGAAACAATTCAAATACTCGATTCTATTTCTACAATCTAATCTAAATATAGATGAGAAGAAATAATTGGATGAAACCGTGCAGTTTAATTTCTGATATCTTACCTTTCAAAAAGCTTTCATGCGAGAATCATTTTATCTCGGGGAAAATAATAGATTCATGGTACCAAAGCGTCCTCCTCGGTCGCTTTTCCTCTCCTGTCCCTTATACGCGCACTTCCTCTATCTTTCGAATGCTAATGCGACGATCAATATTCTACCGCACGGCCGCGTGTCTGTCTATTACTCGTCGCGAAGGAAGAGAAGATAGGAGATGCTATTATGTATTACTCACTATGAGGTAGAATTCTTCAGTCTCCTGTCTGTCAGCTCGCAGTTTGATCTGCACTGTCTCAGGCGGCCTCGACGTGGGCACAGCGTTCTCGCCAAAGTATCTCGAACAATCGTAATCCTTGGCGGTCAACATCTCGAGCAGACTCGCTTCTGCCGTCTCCAGAGTCTTCCATACCTCTTCCGACTCGGTTCGCAGCGACGTCACCCTCTGCTGCAACTGCTGCAGTCGTTGCTCCATCTCCGAGTGCAGCATCTTTTGTAATTCGGGCTCCGGCGACTATAAATCGATAATCAATTTTAGTGACAAAAAATTACAGACTCAATAGTCGTCTCTCTTTCACATCTTATATAATTATATTATTCAAACATCATTATAAGTTATATTTTAACTATACATATAATAAATATAAATTATATTAATATAAAAAATTTATTATTTTATTAAAACAATATTACAAATAAAATATATTTTAATTTACTGTAAATTAATCTCGATGAAAATAACAAACATAATACAATATATTAATAAAGTTTATAGTGATAAAGTTGAAATTCAATTCGTACCTCATCTCCGCGTTGTCCTTGGAACTCGAATTTCTTGGGAATCATGAAGGCCGCGTGATGGGACTCCATGAATCTTTGTTTATCCGCCCGAGAATCGAGAGCACCAACACACGCTGCTAATTGTTCAGCGCCAGATTGTAAGGAACGCTGCCTGCCTTCCTCTGCGCTGCAGTGCATCAGCAGTGCTCTCGCAATGCAATTGTGAAATCCAAAATCCATGCACTGCGGAGCCGAACGCAAATATGTGATTGTCATTTTTCTTTTTTTATCGTACGTATCCATCATTTGTATAATCGTATCCGGAGAGAACTTTCTCTTAAAATTTACAACTTATTTATTTTAATTATATTATTAAATTAAAACAATAAAAAAGTAATATCAATAGTATTATTAAACACAATCTTCTTCTTTGAATAATATTGATACATTGCGATAGATAAATATACTATACATGACGATACATAAAAAAATTCCATTACATTTTATTATTATATTCTTTTAACGATAAAATTGCCGACGAGGCACGTAAAATTTACACTCGATATTTATTGCATGAAATAAATGGCTACTTTTCATTCGTGATCTCTCGATCAATTTTTATCGTCTTACTTATTTTAACAGTTTCAAAACAGCAAGAATTTTATCAGTATTTTTCCGCTTTCTAAAGTAAATTACATTTGTAACGTAACGCGTGGCGAGTGCTGGATTCAATTTAATTCAGATTTATGTAGCGACGAAAGTTACAGTACCACAAACAAGTGCAACGATTGCAAGAGAAAGCGTCCGGTCGCGGGGTCATATAGGTCAATAGGGTGCACGTGCGTATGTATTTGTAACTTACGTCGATGAGGTCGGATAGGTCGTCGACGAAGTACTTGTGTATCGTCGTATTCGACGCCTCCAGGCACAGGATGTACTCGTTTCTCGCCTTGAGCGCCTTCAGCTTCGCCTCCTGGTACTTGCTCTTCCTCTGAAAAAGAAAATTCTCAGATCAGAGAGCCGGAATCTAGGCTACCCGTATTAGAATCCTCGTTTCGCCGAACAAGTCATTGTCTGTCGCTCTATTTTATACTTTTAATAATATATTAAATATGTGATGATATATATTAAATAATGATATATTAAATATAATAAATAATGATATATTAAAGATAATGACGTGCAACATAAATTTCAGCTTTTGTAATTACAATTTAATAATATATAATTAAAATAAAAATAATTAAGTTATAATTTAATAATATAATTAAAATTAATATAATTTAATAATATAATTTTTGATCAATGAAGAAAAGTACTAATTTACATTTTTCACAAATGATGTAATATTGTAAGGGAATGTCATGCAGAAAAAAACGCTGCGATCGTACATTTCATGTATAAAGTTTGCGTTCTTTTAATACGAGCGATGACATCAAATGCAACGACAACGAGTCGGTTGCACGTGTTGTCGATCTCTCTCTCTTTCTCTTTTTTATTATTTTCCAAGCCGCTTGGACTCTTACGCTTTTCTCTCGATGTCCCTTTTGCTTTCAGACCGTTTCAACCATCTGTCTTATCGCGCTTATAGCTGCGCTCGAGCTAAGGGGAGCGCTATTTATTTTTCATTGGGTTGCATGTGCCAGGCAAAAAACCCTACTGGCAGGTCAACCCTAAATCCTCGGTCGGCGTCTACTCGGATTGGGATGAAGCAGAAAAAAAAACAGAGAAAGGAGAGAAGAGAAGAGAGACGCTTCATACGAATTTCCTAACATTTCTCCCGATTCACTCCGCAGGATGGATGATATTCTCCCGACATAGGCTGGAGAAACGCTTTGAATCCCCGGGGACCCTTGAGTCATATGGACAAAAGAGTGAAGTATATACTTAATCCTATACGACGAATATATATGGATACAAACGCGTTTGTTGTAAAATAAACGCACAAAATAGCGAATATCTTTGCTGAAAATACTTTCATCGATAAAAACAAAAAATGTGTTTTTCTAAAAAGTTAAAAATTTATGTGTTATTTATTCTCTCTATAGTGATTAATAAAGAATTTTAAGTTAAAACATCTCGAACATCTCAAATATGAGAAAAAGTTTACAAAATTGAGTTTAATTGTTAAAAGTTAAAATAACTTTACGTGAGATAATAACCCGATGAATAAATATATTGAATATATTAATTATGAAATTAGATAATGTGCGTAAAAGGGGTAGTTTCAAAGTTTCTTCCCGATTGTCATCCTGTTCGATCATCAGTGTTCGATACAAACGTGTTTGTCGTAAAATAAACGCATGAAATAGCAAATGGTTCGACTTTATTGAAAATACTTTTATCGATAAAAACAGAAAATGTACTTTTCTTTAAAATTAAAAACTTTTATGTAATCTCTCTCTATAGTGATTAATAAATTAAGAATTTTTAATTTTTTTTTAAGCTAAAACATCTCAAGCATCTCAAATACGAGAAAAGTTTTTACAAAAGTAGAGTTTAATTATTAAAATTAACTTTACATAAGATAATAACCCGATGAGCGAATATATTAATTATAAAATTAGTTAAAAAGGATCTTTCTTAAAAATTAAAAATTTGAAGTTAAAACACATCAAGCATCACAAATATGAGAAAAAGTTTTTACAAAAATGTTGAATTTAATTGCTAAAAGTTAAAATGACTTTTACTTAAGATAATATCCCGATGAGCGAAAATATATTAGCTATGAAATTAGATAATGTATGCAAAAAGTCTTCCTGATTTCGATTCTATCATCATTGTTCGATTAACATTCCTGTTTCGCAGGCTAATGTGGCAAAAACGAGTTTTCCGAGATAGAATCCGTTCTAGAATGCAATTCTCAGATGCAGTTCTCGATTCTGTGAATCGTACGGTGGGACGATAACGTTGGGAGTTGGACGGACAAAAAGCGGAACAATTGCTGAACCGATGACGTAGACACCTAATTCGGACATCCTGCCTCTGGCCTGGATAGTATCTAGTTCTCGGTTCTTCTTCTCTCGATGTCTCCGTCACCTGTCGTCGGACACACATTTTCGTCGTACTTCGTACTTTATCGCCGATATATATACATATATATTTCGTTGCGAGAGCGTTATTTCCGCTCAATAATGCGGGTAGCATGATGCTACCGGAGGAGGATATAAAGTTATAAAGTACCATCGATCCCGTCACGAATTTAATCTTTATTGGCGTGGAAAACGCATAGTGACATAATACAATCCTCGTGCATCACGCGACGTACGATACGAAGTTATTAAAGAAGAAATATATTCTTTTGAGTACACATCTGACAGAAACTATTCTCCTAAGTGACATTTAAAGATTTATTCTTAGACCGAACAAAAACACATCGATATACTTATTTTAGCACTCGACTTTTTTACGCACTTACTATTTATGGCATTATCTAGAATTGCACCCACAAGAATGATGCACAGTTATACAAGTTTTTCCCTCAAAAATATTATTCTACACGGGAAGCATTTACCCTGAAAATAATGGTAAGAAATTTACAAGATTTTCTCTAATTAATATTTTTATCACAATAAAAAAATTTATATCCATCACTAATACAATATAAATGTTCGATTAATTTTACTATGTGCATATTAATAATTTTTATTGTGGTAAATTTTAATCAGAGAAACTCTTTCAATACCATATTGTCCCACAATTACTATGATTTTTAGAATAAATTCCAAGAGAAAATTCTTTCTGTGTAGGAATAGAGAATCTTGAAATTCCTATTACCAAAAAGGCTTATTTTCAGTAGTTTTTAATGGTCTGATTTTATTATAACTAATAAATATAATGATTTAATTTTTATTAGCGATTTGAACTCGGAAGATGAGAGGTCCATACGAAGACAGAGAGAGATCTCGACAGTCCACCATTTTAATAATGTCCTTATTGTTAAATTGTGACAGAGGAAATTAAGGGCGCGGCCGTCAAGACATAATGAACGCGTTTCCGTTCAGCTCGCGAAATAAAATTATTAAGACGCAGCAGACGGCAGTCCACTCGTTCCAGCTGTACTTTCAATTTCCTTTCAATCGCATCCACGAAGGCCAGACACGCGAACTTTTAGTTGGCGCAAAGTGTCTCACCGCTTTAAAGGAACATGACGAAACTCCAGTAGGTATCTCTCGATATTTACACATTTTTTTCGAAAATATCAGCTCTTAATTTATCGAATTAATTTTATTATATATTACTTTTATTATATTGTTGTATTATATGTATATACTGATTTTATGAAATTATTTCTTAATAATTTATAACGTTTTTTCAAAGCTATCTCTCGCAGTTAATAAAATTATTTCAATTTCCAAAGAAAATCAAGTGTAATTATTTTCTTTTAATTCTTAAAATGCACGCATTCTTAAAATTCAATCTTGATTTTATATCTTGATTAAGAAAATATCTGATCGTTTATCGAAATATCTTTATCGATCTTTAATAATAATTCAGTATTATAAAAAATTTAATTTTTTATTTTTTCCGGAAGATTATGCGAATGATTTCCCACATCATGCACGTATAAGTCATCATGCGAAGACACGTTGAAGCACTTCCTAGTCGACGCGTCGCTTTGACACAGCAAACAGCTGGTGAACGTGTAACGACGAAAAGGAAGCACATCGAAATCTGTGTTTATCGTCGCAAAAAGAGAATCACCGTGTTGATCATCGCGATAAATCGTGATGCTTTTGACGTAAGATCACCGTTGATCCTTTGCCAGAAGCGACCACCGCTTCCAGTCCGCGCCAGGTGTTAATATTTGCCAGAATGACGAAGCGAGAGGGAAAGTCATGCGCTTCGATGAATAATAATTTCTCGACCGACCGTGTCTCTTTTTCTTTCTCTCTCTCTCGTAGCATAACATGTCATTTGCCAAAATTTGAAGGGCACACGATCGTAATATGCCGGATTTATCCACGGCCAGGGTCATTTTATAAGAACAAATCGCAAGCGACGTGTGCAATCGAAGGAATCTTCATTCGTTATCGCGATATAATTATATTAAATTTAATTTTATTAAATTTAGAATATGTCAATTTTTTCGTTTAGATTTGTCTCGAGAAAAATTTTATTTTCTAGATTAATTATATATTATACATTTTACGATTTAATTAATATATAACATATAATATATAATACATTATATAAAAATATATTGTGTAATATCCTATAATATTATATATTATATAATATTATATAAAATACATTATACAAAAATTAGATGTTAAAAATTTACCCATGAAAGAAAATGTGAAAAAATTGCGAAACAAATCCCCCACACTTGTCAATGTAATTTTCTCGAAGCGACAAGTTGATGTAACTCGAGAGAAGAGCTTTAAACTGCGCAAGCTCTCGCGAGAGTCAAGCACCATTAAACTACTTCAAAACGAGTGCTTCCTTCGTGTAAAAACACTCGCGAACGGTCGTCTCGGTATATACACGTATATATATATTTTTACTCCAAGATCTTACCTTGTTAACTTCCTTCTCGATGAGCTTGTACTTCTTGCTGCGCGCGAGCTTGTCGCGGCTGTCTGCGTTCGCCACTTCGAGTTTGTTGCGCTGCTGCTCGGCGACGCGCAGCTTCGTCTCCGCCTGCCTGGACTCGGCTTGATAAGCCTGGTAGGTCTTCATCGTCGTGTGAAGTTCGTGCAGCACTCGGAGTATTTCCTCGTGCGTCTCGTAGCCGATCTCGCGACACTGCAACAACCAGGAAAAAAAACGCGTCCGTGGATTGAGATAGAAACGAAAAAGTGTCGAGAGTATTTAAAGCATCAAGTTAATAATAATTTAAGCATCTTATTTATCTCTTAAATACAGAATGTTTTTTTTTGGCAAATATTTATCTTAGAAAAAAACATGTTGTAAATATCTGTATTTAATTGAATATATGTATTTAATTGAAATTCAATATAGTTTAATTGTCTTTATCTCATAAATCGTCGGGAAGAATATGATAAAAAATAATGAAAGACAAATAATGATAAACTATAATATTATTAATATTATATAATATCCTCGTGTCTGTTAAATTTCAGAAAGATTGCAAGGGTAAAAAAAATAACAAAGAAATTTCAATTAAGATTACAAAAAGATAAAATCGAAAAATTGCAAAAATTTAATTAACAACGAGAAGTTGAGAAATTTTCGAGAATCTAATGACAGATATGAAGATATATGAGGAGAAAAATGTTTCGAGGGAATACAAAGACACGTCGCGATATATCGAGAAATTGATATCCGTTCCCTGCATATCTCATCGCCTTATCATGCATATCGACACACGACAATATCTGCAACAGGAATGGAGACATTCGAGGCAATTAATTCGACGAGACAATGGAGTAGTCGAACTTCTCACGACACGGCGTCGTGATGCAATCGCGAACTACAACCAACTGCTTTGACTAGCAGGAGCAAACGCTATATACACTGTATATCGTTATTGCATCACGTGTATGACACTCACACGCTTGTAAATTCGCTGCACGTCCTCCATCACCTGATTGAGACGACCCACGAGGTGGGTGCTGTAGACCTCAGACAGGGCGGCGTGGTCCCTGCTTAGGGACTTGGTCTCGTTGACGAGCTGCTGCCAGCAGGCGTAGCTGGAGAACAGGGGCCATTGTTCCCGCCTGCGGAAAAGCGATCGATCGATATAAAGACAGATATTGTGTGACGGCGTGTACATATGTTATATCGATGTAATTACATGGCAATTAAATCGCTGCTAACGAACCGATAAAGCGTCTCGACTTGCGGTCCTCGAACGCATCGTTATGTTTCTATATATATATATATATACAAGTACGTAACAGCGATCTCGTTCCACTTGCACGTTCATGCATACCCAATTGCGCGATATACAGCATAATATATTATATCAGTAGCGTAATGTATTACCCAAGAGTGTGGTAACGCGAGTAAAGATAACAACGTCTCGCATTCCCCTATTCATTTTAAATATCATACTTTTTTAAATAGGAACGATATATTAAATTCGACTTAAACTAGCCAAGAAATTTTTATTTTATTTCCACAACGTTTCGACCATCTGTTTTTGGTCCTTTTCAAGTGAAAAATTCCTTGATAAAAGCGCAATCAGTTGATACTGTTGTCATGATTATTAAACAATATGATCATCGGAATTTTTAAAAACATTTGAAATAACTTTTGAAAGAAAGTAACCGCATCTTATCGTTGAAGTTATTTCAAATATTTTTAAAAAATTCCGATAATCATATTGTTTAATAATCATGACAACAGTGTCAACTAACTGCGCTTTTATCAAGGAATTTTTCACTTGAAAAGGACCAAAAACAGATGGTCGAAACGTTGTGGAAATAAAATAAAAATTTCTTGGCTAGTTTGGATCGAATTTAATATATCGTTCCTATTTTAAATACCACTAGCGACGTTTTAAGTATTCAATTTGTGATTTTATACTTTTTTTAATTATTCAGTGAAAAAGTTGCCTACAATTGATTTATTGTTAGTTAGTTATAAATCTAAGATGCTTGAATATGATAGATTAGATGTTTAAAATTGGATATTATATATACGTACACAGAAAGAATTTTCTCTTAGATTTACCCTGAAACTCATGGTAAGAATTTTACAAGAGTTTCTCAGATAAATATCTACCACAATGAAAAATATTAATATCTAAGTATCACAACAAGATATAAAATATGTTCGATTAATTTTACTATGTATATACTTATACATATTAATATAAGGTAAATTCTAAGAAAAATTCTCTCCGTGTAGAAATATGAAATTGATATAAATTGCGTTGTATATATGTGTTCTTCGATATTACAAATAAAATAGTATCTCTCTAGAATTACGTCAATATTGTACATTAGAAAATAAATAGAATTTGAAAGTCCAAAAATGGGGCATCTTTAAAATCGGTTATCGATCGCGAAATCTAGTTTATGGTGATTACTTTTTTACGCGACAAAAAGGGTGAACGAATGTGTGTACAGCCGGGACGACCCCGGATGCGGCTTCGTAAAGAAGAAATTATCGATCCGCGATATCTCCCGAAGCGAAATGAGGGAAACGCGACGAGTTGGAAAAGAGTACAGCATCGCGTACTCTTGTGCGCTGGATTACGTGTATGCGCATACATACATATATGTGTGTTTACGTATATGTATGTGTGTGTTTACGTATATGTATGTATGTGTACATACATACACGTCGCATCCCTTTTGTGGACGACGCTGAATACGGTGCACAAAAGGGGCACTACGCGTTCAGGGTTGAATGACGAGAAGGAACTGGGGCATGTCGCAGATGCAGCAAGAGGCTGCGGCGATGCACGCGCGTGTGGGACGCAGGAAAAATGCGCTTGCGGTTGCTTTTCCGTCCGTCCGTCCATTAGCGAAAGTGGAGCGCGAGAAATGTCAATCGCGTCTGTATTAATGGTACGAGAAAATACAAATTGTCACGTAATACGGAATTCATATCAAATCTATTAACAATAAACTTGATTCCATACCCGTTAATTGCGTTTCGCGATATATCATGATATAATACGGAATACCGTCTATTGAAATCTTGCGTGAAAGAAATAATATTTCAAGAATTCTCTGATATTTGAATATTTTTCAAAATCCCAAATAAAATTATAAAATTTTTAGACGCAAAAATAAGTGCTTAAAATAAGTTTTTTTTTATTTAACTTTCATATAGGATATTTTTAACTTGCATACCATTTACATTTTTTTAATCAAGAATTACAATGAAGTTTGTGTACTGCATATTCAGTATTTTGCTGAGAAGAGATATTGAATATATAAACGAGATATAAAAAACTTATATATATTCATAATATATTTTAAAAACAGTAATTTAAAATCTTCATATTTTCAACATCTCAACATTTTCAACATTTCAACCTCAAACATATTTTCAAATAAATATCCATCGAATAAAATATAGAAAGCATATCTCTAAGATATGTCAGGCATTACAAGACAGAATTTTTAAAAATGAAACTTGAAAAGATAGTTGAATTTAAAATTAAGGACGCTATAAAATTGTCTTAATAATATAGTGTAAAAAATGTTGTGTATTATTTTTATATAAAATTACCTTAAATTTTGTGAAATACATGAAATTATTATATAAATATTTAATATATAAACACATAATGTGTTGAAAAGAATTATTTCGATATTAATGTAAATCAAATGTTTTCTTAATATATAAATATAAATAATTAATCGTAATATATAATATATAAACAATTTTCATATCGCAAATATATAAAAAAGCTCAAATATTATCGCCGTTTCCTTTTATACATATATTTCTATATATTAAATATTGATTTTTCTCTTTCCAGATATTAATGAGAGATCCAATATTAATTCTTAAAAGTAGAAATATTATGTCTTGAAAATATGTATGCTGAAATACTTATGAGCACTGACGTTTCTAGCAAGAAACGCGGATGAATATTTAAGTACCCGAATCGATTTCCGCGCCGCTGCAATTAATTATGCGATCGGAATTTAATCATGCATGATCAAGGTCTACACGCAAATATAATCACGGATTCGATAGAAATTTTACGTAACGTAATCGTGAAATAATTCGCGTTGCACAACGTAATGCAACGTAATGAAGTAAATGCACCGCGCTATATGTATATTACATGCATCATACGCGCCATCATTTCAATCACGCCGTACAACACGTGGTGCACGCGCATGAATTACAGCGAATTAATTAACGCATGTACCTCCGTTAATCGTTTAATGCCGCAATGCCGTAGAGGAATTATTTCCGCAGGAATCGCGCGTTACGTTTTTTATAAAATTATGAAATGGCCAACAAATCTTCGCGTTGTTAATTTCATTTTATTTTACACACTCTCGTGCGTAAAAGAGGCGAATATATAAATATTTGAAATTATATATCCGTTTTAATTCCCCTGCTAAACGATTAACTTTTTGATGATTACAAATTCCACAGCTGACTGCATTAAATAATAGTATCTCGCAAAATTTATTTTCGCATGATAGGAACGAGACCCCTTAATGTAATAGATTTTTAATTTTTTACCCGTGCTTATTATGTACTTGCTTAAGATTTATTTTTATTGCTGTCTCTATTTTTAAATCAATATCCCCGAATGTTTTCTTAATTTCATACACAGAGAGAATTTTACAAGAGTTTCCGTGATTAATGTTTTACCACAATAAAAATATTAATATCTATTACAATAATATATAAAATCTGTTCGATTAATTTTTCCTATGTACACAGTAAAAATTACTATGTATTGTATATTATTAATATTTTTTATTGTGATCAATATTAATCGGAAAAACCCTTATAAAATGTTTCCAATACTAAATTGATTTTTAGGGTAAATTTTAAGACAAAATTCTCTTCGTGTATGTCTTAGAAAATAAAAGAAGGTTGAGACTAATAACAAATACCTGAAATAACATAATGACATACTTTTGTTTCTGCTCCTTGTGCCTCAATTGTATACTCCTGGCCATCTTGTCGAGGGACTTGCTGTAGTCCAGCTCCAGTTCCGCTCTTCTGCGGAAGAAATCCTGGAGCTCGGCCACGAGGGCGACTTGCGCCTCCATTCTCACGTCGAGGCATCTCAGCTGCTCGTTCAGCTGTAGCCGTATGTCTGCAAACAGCAAAAAAAGAGAAGCCACGTTAAGACCCGGCCTCTAATCGATGTTGCGTTTCGGGTTTCAATCGGGGTTTGGAAGACCACGCACGAAGACTCTGAAAAGTAATCCCCGGAAATTGGCCGTCTCCTCGGGATTGCGTAATCCCTCCGATCAACAAAAATTTCTGTCACCGTCTAGGGCCTAGGGCAACGAATTTCCCGAGATTGCAAATTTTCTTTTCGTCATCGTTGTTAAAATTCTCGAAGTCGGTATACAGAATTTTTTCATCTTCAAGATAATGTCAAAAATTCTTAATGTATCACGAAGAGAAATTTCTCTTAATCATGATAATCGTAGGTCAACATATGGTATTGACAAAAATTTTATAAGAGTTTCTTTGATTAATATTTACCACAATAAAATATTAATTAAATGTACATTTTTACATGTTATTGTGGGTATTAATATTTTTTATTATTACAGTAGTGCAAATATTAATCGGAGAAACTCTAATAAAATTCTTCCAATATCATGATTATCATGCAGGGTAAATTCCAAGAGAAAATTCTCTCCGTGCATATTACCTATTAATTTATAAATACAATTTTCTCTTCGCTTCTTCATATCGTTACGATAATCCTCCCTCTCCTCCTTTTCTCTGTTGCGTGTCAAAGTCGTTTTATTCTCGCATCGATGACGATGACAATGGCAGAGAGGCGGATGCTGCGCGGAATAATAATAATGCCTCGGTTATAACGGATGTCGCGCGAAGAAGGACTTTGACACAATCGTCGAACTTCCGACTCTATCCTCCCTTCCTTTAATCCGCATGTATATTCCGTTAATGTTATCCGTCAGACAATGACAAGAAGGAGGAACGACGTCTCGGCTCCGCGTACTAAAAATAAACGATGTGTACGCGAAACAATCCATCGTTTCGCAGACTTCGGCGAGACGAGGATGAAAGACGATTGCGCTTTACCGTGCGTGATTTATTGTCGACGGTCGTATCTCGTTTCCGTTCCGAAACTTCCTTCGGCTCTGATAATAATAAACGACCGCGAATACATTACACGCATAATCCATCGTCGATGCAACGAAAGCAGAGTTTTTCTTATAGTAAATTCGATTGGATGCACTAGTGCGCACTGACAATAAGTGCACGTAAAGGTTTATCACGCACAAGTTTACAATGACACAAGTAATTAAAAAAGAAAAATAATTAATAGTAAGAGCTATATTATTATTGTTGTTCAATATAAATAATAATAATAATAATAATAATAATAGTTCTCTTTTACTATTTTAGTTTTTTCATTACTTACATCATTGTAAAATTGCGTGCAATAAAACCTTTATGTGCACTCACAATCAGCATTTTTTCTTCGTACTTACACTCTCGGAATAAATAAAGTCTCGGGATATCCGTTCAAACTCCTTAAACGGAAGAGATTCTTTGAGAATCGCAGGCTTTTATTCCGGACTTTTTTCCCTGCTTATGACCCGACGTTTTATTAATTAAGAGGCAAGATTTATTTTAATTATCCCGAGTCTTTTTCGAGAATTCAGACCATTATCGAATCACTCGATTTAATTTATCGTATTTCGCTCAACAGAATATATAGTTCGAAAGCGGAAATCCCGTTTCTCTCGCGTAAGCGTCGATCAATCCAGCGTAATTGGACGATTGGAAGGAAGAGCTGGACGATGGTTTTAAGTCGCTCTTTCTTTTATCGAGCGAATCGTTAAAGAGAGGACGAGAAAAAAAGCTCGAGCGATAAATAGGCATGAGGGACGCGCGTTTCGAATCAAAATGAACGTTCTGTTCCTGACAGATCGAGGACGAATAAATTCGTTCCGACGACGTCGCTTTACATTTTCGGGTATATCCATCGTCGATATTGCCCTCCCGAAAGAAAGAAAGAAAGAAAAGAAAGAAAGAAAACAGAAACGCCTGAGAGAAACGCCATATGTCAGTTCGCCTCATGTGTTACCAATTATCGAGGGCTCTAAACGGATCGGTTCATTGGCGGTTCAGCCTCGAAACTCACGAATGGACCGTTTATGACCGGAGGCGATGATAGAACGTTAATTCTAGGAAATACCACGAGTGCGGATTAAAAAAGATCCGCCGCCGCAGTTTTTTGCCGTTATGCGGTCGACAATCGTGTCTGGTTAATCGCTACGTGGCTCTAACTAGAGGTTAAAGGATATAAAAAAATTTTAGACATTTTTTTACAGAAAGAAACACGAGATGTGAAGGAAAATTATTTTAAATTAAAAATTTAACTTTCTTTTTTCTATTATTAATTGCTCGGACGATTTAAAGTACTCGGAATTCTTGACTTAAAAATCTGATGATTAATTTTTTACGTTTGTAACTTTGTGAATATAATGTGTAAAATTTTTATTTAATAAAGATATGCCTAATTTTGTCTGGTTAATCGCTACGTGGTTCTAACTTGAGGTTAAAAGATATAAAAAAATTTTATAAATTTTTTTTACAGAAAGAAACACGAGATGTGAAAGAAAATTATTTTAAATTAAAAATTTTATAAATTTTTTTTACAGAAAGAAACACGAGATGTGAAAAAAAATTATTTTAAATTAAAAATTTAATTTTTCTTTCTTTTATATTATTAACATTGCTCGGACGATTTAAAGTACTCGGAATTCTTGACTTAAAAATCTGATGACTAATTTTTTGTTTGTAATTTTGTGGATATAATGTATAAAATTTTTAGTTAATGAAGATATGCTTAATTTTAATGGTTTGCTAAATTAAAAAATTTGAAGAGGGAAGAAGATTGCTATAAGATGCGACTCTAAACCGCTTGAATAATTTCAAAGGAAGTCGATAGCACAAAAGACTTTCCAGTCTTCATTCACATCGTTTATATTTTCCATATTGCCTATTTATTTATTTCATATTTACTTATTATAAATCATAGTCATAAAAGTTCTACATATATCGTCTGCAAATAGTTTAAATAACTGTAAGAAAATATTCCATATAATATTAAATATTATTTATATTTCATATAATATTGAATAGAAAAATATTCTAATCGAAGAAAGATAAGAAAATTATTAAAATAAATCAATTGCACACAATATCTGTATAAATAATATGATGATAAAAAATGCTAACCATAAATTTAAAGTACGATTTAAAGTAATTAAATTAAATAATGACACAAACTATAAATTACAACAAAATTAAAAAAACAATTCAATATAATAAAATTATATATTATTAAATATTATAGTATATGTATATTAATGTATATATTAAATTTAATAATATCATTTTCATTATAATTAATTCTCTTCTAAAATTAATATCTTTTAGTTTTCGAAGAACAGAGTCAAATACAATAAAAGTTTTCCTCGCGGTGCTGAGTCTTGAGAAAACCGGTCAGTCCGAGTTCCCTTCTAAGGACAAGTCCCTATATATGTACTGCCGAATAAAGGTTTTATCGATTTCCTTACTTCCGCGTGCGTGATTCATCCTTTCCGAAAGGACGTAGAGCGATCTTTGACCCCGAAACGCAGACACGTAAGCAACGCACGATGGAGATAAATAAACTCCCGAGTGCAACGTGAAGCCACGATTGCTGCATATAGGGTACTCTAAAATCATAGTCTATCTTTAGTAGTTTTTTTTTTATTCAACATCGATTTTTTTCTCCGACATAAATACCACATAAAATTTTCGCGCAATGGATGGTTAAAAATAAAAAGTTTTCAGCGAACTAAAAAATTTCTATTTTTTCTTCGAGAAAAAAAATAAACAAAATTCTATTATATTATAATTTTAATTTAGAAATTAATTTCAAAGTTTTTATTGAAAGTTTACAAATTTACGAAGATATGTGTGGCGTTGAAAAATGAAAAGAGACGCGATAAAATAAAGATAGCCGTCTCTGGATTAATAAAAGAAACAGAGAAATTTTTTCGATGGATGGGACACCCTCGGTGGCTTTGGGACACCCTATATGCAGCACCCCCGCCGAGTTAGTCATCTAACGAGCGAGAGGTCGATGTGTACATCGTGGTCGGATGCACCAACTGACGAGCTACTAACCGACGAGAGGGCAAACAACGGATCGACCGAACAACGAAGGCACCGCGACGCTCTTGTCGTGCACTTTAGGGACAGAGAATTGCGACCTACTATGATTATTAACTAGACCGCGATAGGCGCTATTAGCGAAATAGGCTGTACAATGCAGGCCGCTCGTTCTCTTTCAATCTCGTCCCGATCCTTCTGATTGATCGATTATGGGGCTGTATTGTTAGTCGTGATTAGTATATGTAGTGCGGAATTACATGAAATTTTGATCAATCAAACTAATGGGGGAATATTAATATTTATTTTACTATTGCCTAGCGACAATTTTAATAGAAACGATCATTTATTAGCAATACGAGTATGTTGATACTATTAAGAAATTAGTGCATATAAATATAATATTAAAATTGATTAGAGTTCTAATTAGCAACCCGATATTCCTAAAAGTAAATTTATTTTTCAATTAATTATAAATTATTTCAAGTCCATCACTCTCTCTCTCTCCTGTTCTCAATTATACGAAGATTAAACAATATATGATTATTAAAATATATTTAAATGAGTAAAAATTTACGAATTTGCATTTTTACATGTAAAATCAACAAATAAAGTGTACAGTGTGTGTGCATAAATTAAGAAAATAAATTTATGTATTAAAGAGACGCTGAACCAGTTACTCGTCAGTCATCAGTTTTCAAATCAAAACGGAAAGGCGGATAATCCTCTCATCGGGTGTTAATAAAGTTCAAATGATAATGCCGGCGAGATATAGAGCGAAAAACTTGGGGAATATCGTCAAAAGACTCGCGCACAAAAACGCTTCTATGTTGAAGAAGAGGGATGGTCGAGAGAGCAGCTGCGCCTAAAAACCACCCACGACAAAAAGCGCGAACCGGTTGCACCCCCGCCGTGACAGAAATACACGTGCATATATGTGTG